TCTTCAAATACAGATTTCCCAGATTTATCATACTCATGTCTGACATATGATATTAAATGTGGCTGCTTAGAAATAAGCATGTGTAATAGTCCGCGCAATGCTGATGACGCATTATTGAGACGAGAATCCGTTGCCTGATGGAAAAAGTAACACAGGTCGTTGGAAGGGGCGAACTCTTGTAAGTGATCGATAATCCCGCAGAGTAGCATAGTCTTGCCTTTGCCGGGGTCGCCTCTTATCCATAATAAACACGTTTGAGGATCCTCGCACCACTGCTTATATGCGTCATTGTTCAATATCCAGGCGTAGGCATCCATCAGTAAACCGCCCTTGGTCTGTTCGAGACGGATCTTATCATTTGGGGGACTGGTGATATACAAGTCCCTTAGACAAGCTATGTCTGCCTGATTCTTGAAGGCTATTTCGGTCTCATTCTTGGACTCCAAGGAAGGCAACCTATCCGTCTGGGGGTAATAGTCGATTAAACCTCTTGCAGTGGATGCAGCTGTTGCGGCGGCAAAATTTTCCCAAGCCTCCATGTCGCTCATAATATGACCGTCTCCGTATGTAGACACACCTTTGATAATTATACAAGACAGTTCGTCCCAGACTCCAGCACCTTCTGTCTCAAAAGCTATAAGGTTATGCTTCTGGGCAATGTGGTCGCGATCGATGGCTGAATTGAAGCTTGTGTCTCCAGATCCAAAGCTTCCGACGAAAATAGATGGTTGCTGGGCGGCTTTCGCATCGCCATCATCTTCCAACTTCTTCCTATACTCAAGGCGCAATCGAGGGAGCATATAACCTTTATCGCAGCCGGTTTGTTCACAGGATGCCTTTCTAGATCGACCACATACAGGATCTCCAGCTTCATTGTGATCATCGCATATACATTGCGGTGAGCGGTAGTGTTTGTGACAGTATGTCGATTCGAAAAGAACGTCGTTTATAGAACCGGGATATTGGTAAGTAGCCCTGCTTCTCTGCTGACGCTGTTCCTTAGATACTCTACGCTGTATCTTTCTGAGATAGGATGCTATTTTCTTCTCTAGGCGCTGTAATCCCATTTCTGTTTTGAAAATAGCGACCAAGTTCCGAACATTCTTATCTGGCCGACCGAGACGATCTTCAAGGGTATCGCTTTCACGGAATCCATTTGGATAACGGCGGCCTAGGTCATATTGGACAACAGTGTCGCTAATAACCACATCCCCAAGCAGTAATTCTTTGCCCATAGCATCCGGGACACCGTCGCAAATTCCAGTTAATAACAAAAGTTTAATGCAAGGGTAGCTCGATCGAAGGCTGGCTGCTGTGCTTGCGGCCGCTACTTTGCCCGAGTTGCATAGAAGCACAACAACGACATTAAACCCTCCCATGTAACCTGTCGTATATGTATTGGGATCTCCTATAGCTCGACCGAAGGCATCCTCGTCCTCGTCCCAGAAACCGTCTACTAAGAGACAGACGGCATTGTATTCGAGGGCTCTGGCACAAACGATTGCAACTTCGAAATTATCGCGGCTTGTCGGGCGTAATGCTTTGCGGGTTGTCGTACTGACGGCTGCCATAATAGACGTAGGTACGTAAAGCAGGCGAAGTGAACTAATAATTTTCTTTCCTTTTTGTTAGCTATAAGGTAGGTACCCAAACAATGAGAATTTATGTCGCTTACACGAAGTCGACCACCAAAGTTGACTTCTCTGTCCAGGTATTCGGGTTTGACACACCTAACTAAATGTAAAACGATGTTGCATGATGATGGGCATAACATGAGAAACTCTGATCAAAACCCGAGAGAGCTTTCAAGTCGAAGGACCGAGATTTCAGGATTCTAGGTTGCCTTGCCTAGGTATTCATGCGGCTGAGTTTTAGGCGCCAAAGAGCCCAACATTATTAGGCAGCTAGGGTGATACAGAAGGTTGTATTATTTCTACCTGAAAGTACGCGTATCAAAATAGCCAATAGCAATTTTTATATATATTATGATAGAGGGGGTACCAAAATTTCACCACTCTCCAAATCTCAGCCTTCCGATTACCAGCATTCCGCAAGAAAAGCTGCTGTCAAAATTGAACAATTAGCGGGGTGGATTGACCTCAATATCCAGGCTACGGTCATGATTCTGAAGAACCTGAAGGGTTTGAATGCACCAATTCGTCTTCTCGACATTCCCTCTGTCCTCCCAGTAGGTATAGAGATTGAACACAAAGATTAACGCCTCCTGAGCGTGAAATGTACTAGCAGTCATCCCTGCGCCAAGAGAAATTCCGATATTATCCGCATACTGATCCAAAACATCGTCATCTTTCACAAGGTCCGTCAAAGCCGTTGAGAGTTGCGGTTTGTCCGGAAGTTTTGAAGACAGAGTCGAAGATATATCATACAGATGCTTTATCAGTCTGTTCAACCGCACAGTAACGGACCAGTAGAAGAGCCAGTTACACTTAGACGAACAGTCTGTAAACTCCATTTGCTTCCCGGGGAGGTAACATTCATCGCCCTCAGCAGTTAAAGTTACAATGAGCGTCGGATGTGATGTAACGGAAGCCATTTGTTGCAGACACTGGTTAAATTTTCCATCCACAATGGCAGCCTCGCCGAGCAAAAGTTCGGCAGCCAGCCAAGTTTGACGAATCTGAATTTCAGTATTGTGCTGCGAAGCGTAGAGCTTGTTCGCATCATATTCCAAGTTTGGTAACGCAACGGCCGCTTCAATCATCTTCTGCATTAGATAATCTGGGTCTTCTCGCTGGGCAAGATAAAGAGTGTTGTACGGTGGCTGGGACATGAAGTAGGGTTGTTGATGTGTTACAGCGTCGTAAAACTTGCGGACCAGTTAGCACATAATTCCCAAATAATAGTACCACTAAAGGTTATTTGGACTTACACCAAGGAATCTAAGTGCCTTGAAGATAGTTGACGTGAAGAGACTGTTTGATAATTTCCCACCAAACCGTTTCACGAGCTGTAGGCCACCTCTGATATGAGATATATAGCCGCTAGGTCCGCCTTCACCTGTTAGACGCTCAATGCAAGAAAATATCAATACACTTGCTAATATTGCATCGATTTCATCTGGACGCGGATTTTGCTTTAACCATACATCACTGTTCCGTAGATTGTGCAGTGCATTAACGTATAGTTCGGCCGAGATATGCGTCAGTGTAGCATCCCCGTCTTTCCTACCAATGAAGCCCATATACAGCGCCAGCAGCCCTTGGTTGACTAGTTCGCCTCGATTGTGGAATAGCGTTGGAAGGGAGCATATCCATCCTCCAGGGAACGTTCTCCAACTGCACGGATCCGCGTCAGGGGGGAAGAGTAATTTGAGGAACGGCCCGACGAGGGCGTCACAGTCAACAGCTGTCTGCCTAATTCCGCTTTCCGGTCGAGGTATAGACCTTATCGCCAGCTGATACCCCCCGTACGTATTTGAAGGGTCTGTGATCAACCTGGAAGAAGAGTCATGCTGCGTCAAGTGCCGAGATTTATGGTTAGGAGATGGACAGCTGTTAACCAATTTGAACTTGTAGTTGCGTTCATAGCCCATACATCTCCTGCCCGTACAAAAACAGCGCTGGCACTCGGGAAAGCCAAGGTCGCACTAACATCCGATCAGTAAGTAGAAGACCAGGGGAATTGACTCAGCCGACCCGTATCTTCCTTTGACGGCAGGTTCCGCATCCTTTAGACCATCGACTGTAGCGCGCCATTCCCAGTGGTTCTCGCAGAAGTTCATGCAGCCCCGTTCATGTAAGTAGATAGTTCAAATTTTTAGGTTTTCTCTGGTTTACATGGGCGGGTGGTAATAGGGAAGTTGGCCGCTGAGTAGAGTAAAGCGGCAATGTTGAGGCTCATTAGTATTAGGCCAATCAAGTTGTGGGACATTTCACTCTTCGGTGTTTCGATTCGGGGTTTCAGTATTAGTTCTGCCGACTCAATTGCCGTATGGGATCATCTGAGGGAAAACAATGGGCCTGTTTCGATTCCTTGAACCTGGATCAAGAGACTAACCAGAATGACCATAAGTGGCAGGACAGGCTACGATTTCCGTATTTGGAAATACTTAAGCTGACGTCCCATCATCAAACACTAACACATGTATCATCGCCAATTCGATCTGAATACGTAAACCCAGAAGCAAAAGTTTTGGCTATTGGATGCTATACGCATTAAGATATGCAGACCGTTCTACCTTGTTCAAAGCCAATCAATAAATTCTTATCAAACTACCTAATGACTATCGTGATGTGAAACAGTCCATGATGATTGGAGTTCTTGAACCTCGCTACTTAGATTTAAACCAACTACATTGATCATCTTGTAGAGCTGCTTTCGTAAAGACATCTGCTGTGACTCGTGGGTCATCTCTTTGCCAGCCATCATGACCCCTGCGAATACAACTGGGTCCCAGCTTTCTGGATAGTGATTATTGATTACCGCCCCTGCAATAGACTGAGCTTGCCAGGCCATAGATGTTACAAGACTGGAATGAGCCCAGAGCTTTGATAGACGGGGCCGCCGACTAAGCAACAGAAAAGACGTTATGTAATACGTTACGTTGGCGACGAGTGCGAGAGGCTCGGTGAACAGCAGCATTGGGAAGGATGGGTCGTCTAGGGTGTTGAAGCTGCTCACTTCTATGCTGTCCACAACTAAGAGGGGCTGCACTTCCATTGCGCGATGTTTATGCCATTCTTGGCATTCTCTCCAGAGAGAAGTCCACCGAGACCAAAAATTTGTCAATTGTGTCTCGGAGTTTGTTGAGTCTTGCCGATTAGTTCCGTCGGATTTCGGGCTTAACGAGTCGTCAGTTCCATACACGATATGTAAACACTCCCCCAGGCGCAGCAATGCTGCTTGGCAGTCACATCTTGCACCTGCACGAAAGGCGAGTCGTTTGAAGATGTCTCGAAGGGTGCTTATCGACATTTTTGGGGGGTGTTTGCCCATAATAGACGCTGCAAGATCTATGATAACGAAACCAAGTCTTAGTCTCACTCCAAAACGCGATATCCAGGGTCAACCGTACCAAATTTGAGCAATGCCCAGAACAGGGAGCCAATGGTATCTTCGCGGAACGCGAATGACGCAATGGTATCGTAAATATTACTCTGTGCCAAGATATCGGTCCACTGTTGAGGCTTCGATCCGAGTAGCTCCTTCAATGTTGATAAACCGTGTCCTATATGTTTGATAGCAGTGTCGTCGGGCTCGAGCTCGAAGCCCTCTGTAGCATGTTGGCGGTACTTAGAAGCATCTGGCATAAAATCCATCCCAGACTGCAAAGCGATTGACGTGTAATGTTCGGAAGCTAGCCAAAGAATCGAGGACATAAGTGTTTTGCTAGAGTTGGCCAAGACCATAATGTCGAGCCCCACCGCTGACTTTGAGCCCCCAATATCCAGCCATGGACAGAGATTATCGCGAAAGTGCCGCAGTAGTGCAATTTCTTGATCACCAGGAGGCAAACCGAAGTTTGTCGGGAAGTCATAGGTTGAGGCTTTCTCACAGCTAGGCTTTCGTGGAGCTGTTGGATTCACACAAGCCGCAGGTGTCACGGCTGGACTGCTGCTTGATGCAACAGTCACTGTAGACGCGTTATTGGGGTTGAAAGATGGAGAAAACATGGACCTTGGCTCTTCAGCTGGATCTCCCAAAGTCACAGAGTTCTCTAAAGCTTCACGATGTTCTTCTCGGATATCCGAACACCGCGAATTGATTGTCTTGGGGGCGAATGGGGACCGAGGAGTCTCGACCGTGACAGATTCTGGCCCAGGTAGCACACCTGAAGTGTGAGCATCCGTAAGTTGGAACGACGTAGCATTTTCTACAAACTAAATCCAAATGCTGTCAATAATTATCGTAAGTGAAGAACAGGGTGCGGGGGTATACCTCGATAGTATCGTAAGTCTGCGCAAACTGATTAATATCCGGGTCCCTCAAACGATGATATTGAGATGTTGGAGCAGGTACGAAGATTAGACCGTCAGGATACTGGCACGAAATTCCTCTGGTATCGCAGCTGTTGCATTGAGGTTTCCGTTCATCACCTTTAGTAGGACATCTATCGTCAGCGAGTTCATCGCTGCCTGAATATGTCGCAGCTAATCATCGAATAAGAGTGACTCACACTTGCGCCTCCGCCTACGACAACTCAAGCAGCCAGTCCGGACGCGTTTTTTGACACCAGCTATGGATCTGTTAGGCAGCATAGCACAAGTTTTCACAATGTGATAGATATCAAGGAGGTATTTGACAGGGGATCGGCTTCAACCCAAAAAGGCAAATTATCCCCACCTCATTACAAGCAAAAACTATCGCTCTTGTTTTTTTTTTCTTTGACTTAGTATGACTCTAACGGGGCCCTATACTACACGTCATCTGGACGCCGACGCTCCGTCGCGGTTGAGTTCCCTTGTCCGTCTTGTGGCGGCTCCCACCGGATATACCCTCAAGTTCGGCGTGCAATGGGATGAGAAATAGGCAGGCTGACACATCTCTTGGCTGCCCATGAGAAGATGATTTATAACTCGAATTATTAGCCTGTTGTTTCATGTTTAGACACTCTTGATTTTACTCTTCATATGCGTTGAGAAAAATTATCAGATCACATGTCATCTGCGTACTTGATACTTGAAGAAATCCGAAAATACCATAGTTATTGCCAGTTGTCGGTTTCCAAGCTATGTGATGAAGAAACGCAATATCCCCTCAACCCTGTAGCTGTTGGTTCCACTTGTGATGTGATAGCCAACTGAGAGTCTCTATTGAGTTGGTTTCTCGCGGAAAGTTGCTAAAAAGAGATTATTGGTCCCTAGCTGTTGCCTTGAGACACATCAAACTCTGCCAACAGGTCTCACTTAAGTATCCGCGCGGATGAGCGATAGCCGTCGGCTCGGATTAGTGACAGCCGTCATGCAAGTTCTCGGAGAGTGAGACCTAATATAGACTAGTACCAGAGCTAAGAGCAATTATGCTACTATTTGGGGACCAAAGGATTTACAAGTATACCGAAGCGGATGGAGCTCAAATTTGGCGAGATGACGCATGAATTAGAACGACTGCCTGGGCCTAGCCAACATCAGACACGATAACTGGGCTAATAAAGTGTTGCAAGCTGCCCGCCATTCAGACGGTGTAGGTGCTTCGGCAAGGTCGCGGAGCTGGAAATTCAAAGCCATCCTTGAATTTCGTGACGGCGAGAAAAAGAGCCAAATTAATCAAGAGGATGTATTTTACTTCATTGACGTTTAACGATAATGTGACGCTCGAAGCCGCCGAGGCAAGCTAAGAAGAAATACACTTGTTGCGGTAAACTGGGCTATACTGGTTGATATTGCCATCTCGTACAACATACAGAGTATGCCACGAACTTAGCACAAGTAATTGAAGAGAGTCATTGTATTCCGGAACAGGAAAATACAGGCTCTCTTCTCTTTCTCGTTACTTCAGTGAAATAGAGCCTCGTGTTAAATGCACGACAATATGTCTCCGCGCCTGTAGCCCCAGGCTTGTTCCAAATCTGCCACCCTCCACAGCGTGCCCCATCCAGTTGTATCTTCAATAAACTTGAGCAGTTTACCAATGGTAAAATGTTCCTTGGGGTGAGTAAACAGCCTTCCCGCCAGAAAGAGAGGCTGAATTGCATTGACAAGACTTCCTGCGTGTGAATTCGTTAAAGAGATGCCACATATATGTCGAGCATGCCACAAAGCGGACCAGTGTGGTTCCGAACAGAGGCCTGCTCTATCTTGAGGTTGTATCTCTAGCATTATGATTGAGGCGGCATGGCGTAGTTGGTTTGCAGAGATGGCCGCGTGATGAGCATAGAGTATCTCAGGAAATCCCTGGCCAGTAGCCGCCTTAGTTTTGACCGGTAGCATTGCAGGACCACGAGCCTCAGCCCAATATTCCAAGTCATTCCATAACTGGTTCCACTGCTCGTTAAATGGCTGACTGCCGGCTTCCTCTTGCTGGTCTTGCTCTAAGAACTTGTGTCTTCCGCAAGCCAGATCGCAAGCTTTGGCACATAGATAGACCACCCAGTTTGCATGCATATCGGGGTTGTCCCGGCTTGTATGATGAAACATGTCTCGTATCTCATTAGGTGAGTTGGCTAGTGATTTGGGAATCCATTTATCAGTTCCAAGTACACTGCTCTTCATGCCATCTGCAATAATGGCGCCGCAAAGATCCATATGCGCGTAGCACCAAAAGACTGGCTGGAGAAGACCACCGGAGAAGCCATTTACTCCGGAAGCCTCAAACAGAGCAGCACATCCTTCCACATGGCGTCTCCAATTCTTAGAGTTACCGGACATTAGTTCTAAGCAGGCTAGAATGCAGGCAGTCATCAGGCTGGTCGCGTTTCCCTCGCGTAGTTCTGTTTTTAAGAACTCAATAGACGCTTGATAGAATTCCAGGCTATCAAGAGTTCCACTAAGATGCTTTTTCCTCTCTGATTGCGTAGCAGAGAAGGCTAGCATGGCATAAAATAGTGCTGGTGAGGTCCGAGCGATGTTTGGTATGTGGATGCCGAAGTGACGAGCCTCGTCAAATTTATCAAAATGAGGGGCACATTCTGATATCCAGTTCTTCAGATGCTTAATGATACGGGTTTTGGGGACTGTCGTCTGAGTAAAGTCGAATCCATCCTGCTTCGAAGCCGACTCTCCAAGACCAGCCGAAGGGGAAGACGGATGTTGGCTGGCTGGCGGGTTAGCTACACCAACGAAGAGAACGTTTCGCAGCTCTTCTTGAAGCGCTAGCAGCCGAGGATCAGTCTCTGTTCCATCAAAGCTTGAAAGCGTCTGCGGCGACAAGTTCTTGTCACGAACAGTATGGGGTCTGGTGTCGGCCATGGCCTAGAAAATGAGTCTCTTGGGCGAGTTTGTCGCAAAGTAATCGCTAGCAGACTGATGGCGACACGGAAACGCAAAGATCAGTTGTAGCTCTCCGGGTTACGTTGGCTTCGGGGAAAGCTTCATGGCACCCGGATCTATGCAGCTGGTGAGACGCTCGTTGTCCGGTCTTGCAACGAATATACCGGTGTAATGTTGATCTGTCTGAGTCTACGGTGATGAAATACTGTAGTCTCCGTTTATGATCCTAGACCGAAACTTGTGGCGCCATGCGGCAGCCCGCTCTAACAAGCAACAAAAGATTTGACAATGTATTCAATCGAGGTGCAAGGGGGGGTAATTGTATATAAGCATCTAGTTGACTCACTCATGAATCAATATATTTTCCTTTTACGTACCACAGAGGTCAATGAGATTGGAGTGCGTCAATCTGTTTTCCGTATAATCGGCCAGCTTAGTATTAGCCGCTGCTTGGGAACTGAACCTTTTGCAAGCATTGACCAAGGCGGCATTCACATAAACATGAGCAATGCACAAATCGACTGCATGTCACTGCATTCAAACGATAAAATATCATGCCGGGACGTAGTAAATTCGGTTAATTAAATTATTTTGTTATATTCGTTGCTAGTGCTCGCCCTGTGTGTGGATGGTGCTGAAACACACTAAGTTAGACGAGCTTAGAGAAGTAGGAACATAATCAGGTTGATGGGAGTCGCCGAAGTAAGTCATATTATTAACATTTTATTTCATCAGATTTCCGTAACTTATAATGGTAATTAATGTTATTGCAACGAAAACCACTGGATCAAACTGTAATTGAATGAGTGAGTGTAGATTAGGGCCAAGTATATGTCTTGAGGCGTGTCTACTTGGGTATACCCAGCTCGCTGGCGATATTGTACTTTCACGGCCGTTATTTGTCAAGCGTGTACTAATACCAGATGGGTGTTGCGATATACATAGCGCATGCATTTCTTCTAGTTCAAGTATTGATCTATTTTCGTTAATGGTAAGTAGTTGTACATACCAGAAACCAGCTCAACGGGAGTGGCTACTATCCAGCACCCCAAGTTCTCCAGTATCTGGCAGTCCGTCTCTCAAATTCTAAGTTAGCGATGGTATCAGATGCTAGAGGAACATAGCGACAGTCTCGGATACTAGGTAGAGAAATATAGAGACAGTATCAGATACTGGAGAAGTGTAGCGATTGTATCAGATGCTAGAAGAAGGTAGCGATAGTATCAGATAATAGAGAAATATAGCAATAATATCGAGTGCTAGAAGCGAGTAGCGATTGTAGTAGGTTCTAGAAGAAAGTAGCGATAGTAACAGAGAGTTCACCGCCAGGTCTGGGCACGCAAACTATGTCCTTGAGCATGGCTTACTTGAGTTTATGACTTCAAATCCACTATGGTGCAAATTTCGCCACGTAAAAGTATAAAGTAGAACAGCAATTCCTTTATAACCCTTCACATCCCCTCTCATTCACTTCCGCCAACATTCACTGACATCCATCCCAATTCGCCTGATTCCAACACTACCTCTATTACAGTAGCCATGAGTTCTACCCTCCCCGATCAGTTGTTCTCGCTGGCCACAGTTAAATATCTAGGATACGATGACGAGGCAGCCTCTCAAATCTGGAATAAATGGACTGCCCAAGCGCCCGGAGTCGACCCTGTTCCAGAGTGCATTCCTCTTGGTCCTTTTGAACTAACATTTATGGACTATGTCGTCGGCTGCTCCTACGGTCATCGCTACGACCCCGATCTCAACGCCCATGATGACGACGATGCGAAATGGTATGAGTGCATGGATCGCTGTGGGATCAATAAAGATACTCGAGACGCAATCATGGATCCGGTTTTTAGGCACACTCGCCTGACTGAATCGTGCATCTTTTGGATCCGCAACACTATCGAATTTAGATATGAGGCCCTCAAATCATCAATACAAGAAGCGTCTCGAGAAATGGAACAAGCTAGCCCGGAGGATTCTACCTCTCAAGGTACCTCAAGGGGAGGGATTGGTGCCCGTTCCGACTCCGAAACTATTCGAATGACTCCATGGGTCTCTCAAGATACCGCAATGTCAGAGGCCGCCTTGTGTGCCACCAATGCACCAGGCTCCCTTACACTATACAGAGGCATGGAGAGGAGTCGCTTAACCACACTGTTCGATAGCAACGGTAACCTGGATAACATCCGAGCATTGTCGTCACGCCCGCCCACAGACTTCGATGGCAGAGGTTCTTCTTATTGTTTTGTCGTTGACCGAGACGTTGCGATCGAATATGCTGCCTTTACCAAACGCCGTAGTGATAGAAGCACGGTAGTAATAGTCCACGCTACCTTCGAAAACTCGACAATAGAAGGTCTTTCAGAGGACAAATTCCAGCGGATATATTGGCCCAGCGAAGAGTGGAAAAGACTCATCTTTTTCTCGAGGAGCATGAAAAGACTTCCATCGGACCTAGGGAAGTTCAATCAAGCGTCGTTGATCATTGGAACCCTCTCAGCAAGGCCAAGTCTAGCCTATGTCAAGATGAAATGTTATACAGAGATTACCGAGGACATGGTTTCGAAGAATGCAGCCCGCCGCGATGCAGTCCAATACGCCTTCCTGGGTGATGAAGGGGAAGAGCTATTTGAGAAAGCCGAGTTGAAGGTGTTTCCCATCACTCCCGATGAATTCAGTCAGTGGCATAAAAAGGCTCAAGAAGAAATGGAGTCTCGAGGATGTTTATGAAGTGGTGTTGGAGAGAATTTAGAATATGAATAAGACTGCACTTCTCCCCATATCCGTCCAGTATCTACTACTGTAGCGCATTTTCGTTACTATCAAGGACTATATATATTATATAAATATATATATATATATTAGATATATATTAGTAGATACTACTATAACATAGGTATGCTGCTATGACTGTTTTTATTCTCAGTATCCGGTAATATTAACGAGCTTTAAACTTAAGAACGGGTTGCCGTATGGCAATCTTGGGGGGTCCAATAGCTACCCCCCTCTAGATAGATTTTGGTACATGTACTTGCATAGCCTTATTGGCTTATATTCAAACGCGGAGGGCTAGAGAAACTCAGGAGGAAGAAATTCAGTAGGTACTTCAGTGGTGGTGGTATGTGCATATTGTTAGATGTAACTCTTCGAATGTGAAGCTCCCAAGCACCTCTCCGGTGTGGAATAACGGCTGCAGTGAATTCACTTCATATTTGTCGCTTTAAAGATTAAACGGCGAGCAGGGGTTTTTTTTTTTTCTCTTCTTCTCTACCCTTTTTCCTTCGCTCTCTTCTCTCGCAAATTCGCAGCTCCACCTTCTTCCTCTATTTCTACCTCCTATATCTCTTCGCGATTATCTTCTAATCATCATTCTCAAGAAGACCACATCAGTTAATGATGGCGTCAAATAATTTCTCCGCGCAACAAGATTCCCGCCAATCTTCGGAGACGCCATCTTTCGGTCAGGTTGAGGGGTCCCCGTTTCATCGACGACCTGCCCAACGACAATCTGAGGGCTCGGGATTTGAAGTTGATTCGACTACCAACATTCCGAAACAAGGCAATATCTGGGCCCCCATCGATAACTTCAAGACTTCATTCTTAAATTCACTGGGACATCGCCTCGTTCAACTCCTCGAAAAGGGCGATCTCAAGATCAACCCCAATGCCATCATTTGGATAGATGAAAATGGGCTGCCGACAACGGAGGGATTAAAATCTCGAAGCCGCAAAGACTTGGAGAAACCAAGCCCCCATTTCTTCGCTGGCGAAAATGCCGATGCCGCAGGTTTCGAGAACGAGATCCGCATGGGGCATGCCCTTTGGCGTCAACATGCCTCGGCAAAGGAGCACAATCCAGAGAGGGAGGCCACTACATCTTCCCTTTTCGATCTCATCTTCGAAAAGCTGGAATCTATGCCTCTCATTACTCACATCATCTGGAAGAATTTACATCGGGAACTCAAGATAACTTCGACGTTAGGCAGGCCGGTATCAGATCGAGTAACAGCCAGCCGCGTGGAAGAAGCAATCGCCCGTGAGAAGAGTGATTTCGAGAATCTTGAGCTCTTGAAAAAGGCATTTACAAATGTAGATTCCTTGTTAGAATCGAATTTGTCGATCCTTTGCGAATCTATCTATTCGCTCACGGGAGTAGATCCCTGGGATCCAGACAGGGACGCGGCCCTTGATCTCCTCGACGACGAATTAGCAAGCAACGTTTCCGATGTCATGGGGTTGGCCGCGTTACTGCAACTAGGCAAAGCACCTCATTTTCGGCTTACTAAAGGGATTGAGAGATTGTCCAGAGTCGCAAGTGTGCTCCGCGCGAGAGAAATGGGGCCACTGATGAGTGATCATCTTGAGATGAGGGGATACCCCGTGGGCATTGATCTCGAAAAACTGGTGTCTCGAGGTCGTAAGCGTCGTCTAGATTCGGAGTAAACATGTTGGCGCAAACGCTTGTAAGAATATGTTCTGACGAGAGCTGGCGAAAGGTGTGAGGAGAGATCTGGCGAGCATCGATCTTTGTTTCAATGTCATTCAGGTAAGCTATACCATCTGGCTTCACGGAGCAGTCAAAAGCATAAAGGTTCTTTCTTGCTAATTTTTTTTGTTTTAGATTTCGACATTCGTCCACTTGTTATCCGATTTCAACAAGGCATCTTCTTTTCAACAAGCCATATCATTGGGTTTCGTGGAACCATGAACATTGCCAGAGTTACTATTCGGATTCAGTGATCAGAAACTGTACTTTTCTTTCGCCAGGGTATTCTATCAAGATTTAGGGACCACAATGGAGTATGGGAAGTCTCCTTCTTTTTATCTATCTTTCAGATGTTATATGATCCTTCTTTCCATCAAACCATAGTCCATGGAATAGGACGTCTCTTCGTTGACAGTCGCAATGATTGCCCGAGCCACATATAGTTTCTCTCTTTTCTCCGTCGTTGCATCTTCATGGAAAGCGAATCAGTCAGTTCTCGTTTAAAACTAGATGGGTTACCACAAACAAAAGGCTCTAGTACAGCTGTATTCGTTCTAATTGGCTTCCACATGTTGATATCACCATAGCTGTAAACTACTTCACCTTAACCACCTCCGCAGCCTTCCCCCAAAAATCATCCGTCCCCCATCCCCGCTGCTCACTCTGCCTCTTCAAAGACTCCAGCAACCCATCTCTAGCCACTTCAATCTTGCGAGCCCCTTCTTTACTACAGCAAAACCCTGCGTCGGCCTCCTTGAGCTCAAATCCGCCCAACAAAGCCACCGTCGTCAATCCGAGGTAAGAATGGTAGATGTCCGGAGGGTCGCCAACGGATTTGCCAAACCCGCCGATTCTGTGTTGGGTAATGTCCAGTAGGTAGTTGCAAGATGGCTTGGGGTCGTAAAAGCTGTCGCAATCAAGGAGCTAGAGCCAGAAAAGTCATCCCTTCTCGTCAGCGACACTCAACAAAGGAGACAAGCAAAATGTCAAAGACCAGCAGACTCACCCTCAAAGCACCGCAAGCCCACCATGTATAGCAGGTATCAGCCTTCTTGTTCCACCTGCCATTAAATCCAACGTAGGGGAGTCCTCCATCCAGGCTCAACTCTCCCAATTTAGCTTCAAGGTGATTCACTGCTGTCTCGTCTCGTGTCTCTTCTTTCTTTGCCAAGTACGGAAAATGCCTGCTTGCGAGGAACCTGAGCAGGCTTTGGCGATCTGCGATACCGCGATCCAGCGCCCGCTTGGTTTCTCCCGGTGTAAATGTTTCGGAATGCCGATCAAGTAAATTCAGAGCAGCAATTGCGCAGTATGCATATCCACCTGAACAATGTTAATAAGTCGGTCAAGTATTCAAGGAGAGAGAAGCGCTCACCGTGTGATTCCTCCGTTGAGGACTCGGCAATACCACCGTCATAAGTCTGTTATCTCTCAGTCAGTACCGCCATCACTCCATGAGGCAGAGCAAATTTACCTGAACACTCCTAATGTACTCAATCATTCCCTCAGTATCGATGTCCTCGACCCAATTCTCATCCCCTTCCTGAACCGACCCTCGCAGCATAAATCGAATGATGCTCGCTAAATAACTATGCCGCATGTCTCTCCCACCCGTCGGTTCCCCCTCCCACAGGATCTGTCCAAAGCTCCCATCGCTTCTCTGCAATTTCTTCAGCCAAAGCAACAGTGCCTTGCGGTCCACACCCGCAAAGGCTGAACGCTGCTCCTCTTCCGACTCCGCCACCAAGCCCAAGATGATCAGGGCAAAGAATGTCGCTGCTATGTTTGCTGATCCTTTGGACGCGTCCTCGCCGGTGATGGAGTGGGTTGGACTGCCACAGAAGCCGCCATCGGGATGCTGGAGGCTCAGGACCCAAGCTCGCGCCGCAGCCCGGTCTGAAGCTGTGAGGGGCACGGACAAGAGATCGAGGGCGGAGATGATGAAGAAGGCAAAGGTGAGTCTGGTGGAGTCATTGGAGGTGTAGGCACTTGGGAGGAAGGTGTTGTGACATCGCTGCCAGTATTTGATGTGACGAGCCTTGTCAAGCTTGGGCTCCTCGGCGTCTGGGTTGCTCATGATGCTGATGGTGAGGCTGTTGTCTGTTGTGGGTTGAGATGGCTGAGACAGATGATTCAATCAGCTGACGGTCCACAGCTCAACACCGGTAATGTAAAGATAAGGCAATCAATAAAGTCCTCAATCGAAAAGAGAGAATCAGAACCAGCAATGCTCCATACTTCAGCTCACACACAGCTCAATCAATCCACATCCATAATAGCTCGTTCCGTATTCACTTCAATCTTGCCCATCAACCTAAAACCCCACATCATCATTCAATGCGCCACACCCGCAGCGCCACACTCATTCCCCAAAGTCCAAGCTCTCCAATCGATAAGCTCAACAAAGCTTCCCAGACCTTCTTTCACCCTTTAACAGGCACTCGAGCATGTGATGCCAAATCCAAACCACATGGTCTCTTTGTTTCGAATTCCACCAAAATAGCCCATCTCTTCTATACTTCCCCCTTCCCCTCCCTCCAGAAACTTTTGCCTGCCCTCTATAAAGCAAAAAGCATGATTTGTTCACCCGAAACACGCCGCGAAATATAACGACTGCTAAAAAAGACAAAACTCGTGCCACGTATACGGAGCACGGAGTCTCGGAAACAACCCCCCAAAACCTCAACCTCTCGCATGCTCAACAACACAATCTCATAACAAACAAAACACCAAAGCAATCTCCTTTGCACAAGTCCCCCATAGGTCACGAAAATCGCCCACAATGGCTCTCATATCGTCCACCACAATCATCACCTCCATCTCCCTCTTCCACCTCACCCTAGCCTACTTCTTCCTCTTCCGGCCCAAGACAGTAGCAGACCAAGCAATCGTCTTTGTCCTAGGAGAAAGCATGAACATGGTAAATCCCCTCCAAGGCCCACTCATCCATTCACACATCTAACACTGCAGTTCGCACCAGCCCGAAGTTCGCGGCTTCGACGTCCCAAGCCCAGCGCTAGCCCTCCTCGCCGTCATCCTCGCCTTCTCCGGCATCAGCGACCTCGTCTCATTGTCCATGCCCGAGGAATTCAGCGCCTTTTACTACTGGGGCACTCAAGGTTCGCCCCCATCTCCCTCTCTCCGTATCCTAAGACTACTGTACTGATAGCATCAATCGCTCCAGCTCCCCTCCGCTTCTTCCTCTCCATGCTCCTCGTCGCCTACTCCTACGCTTTCGGCCCCTCGTCAATATTATTCTCCTCTTCCTCTTCCTCCTCCTCCTCTTCATCGAAAAGACGCCCAAACACCTCTTACAAAGCCTCCGGGTCGGGCACCGACCACCTCCACAACAGACTCCTCTTCGCATTCATGTTTGTCGAAATGATGGCCTGGTTCTGGACTTGGATCACCCTAAGAGAAGAGCGCTCCGTCCTCGTCGAAAAGATAAGAAAGCAGGAGGAACGACAAAAGCAGAGCTTCTAAACTTGCCCCAGTAAAAGAAGCTTTAAACCTTTTTTTTTCTTCCTACTGCCCACTATTTGGAGTACAAGCATCACTATTAGAGCGACCTCTTCTGGGAGCAATCATCATATAATTAAATGAAAACACACACAAAAAAAAGAGCACATCTTGTAAAGAAACAACCAAGGAAAATTTGTCTATCGACTTTCGGAATTCTAGCTTTGCTCAAAGTCTAAGTCGTAAGAGAATACAACGTAGATATCCATGACCACGGTGGGTATAGTACATATAAAAAAGGGACCTTTTTTTTGTTACAAACTGACAGTCGACCCGTAGTACCGCAAAGACAAGAAAGAATTTTTTTTGCAAATATACAGTAGCGACCTAGTTCCATCCTCGCCAACGTGGGCTCACTAAAACAATAATAGAAGAAGAAGAAAAATTAAAATTGAGATAAAAGAGGGGTTAGGTAGGGGATCTCGTTGGATCCCGTCGGGAACATTCTTCCTTGGATGTGTTCCACGTTTGATGCTGTATTACGCATCTGCCATTTTTTTTTCAAGCAGTCCGTTTCGATTTCGAGTTGAAAACTGAGCTCGTTCGTCTCTTTCCGTTCAACAAGCGACATTATGCGAGTATAGTAGTGTTTCTAGGAGAGATTGTCGAAGAAGGACTGTGTATCTCTGCCGTCGGAGTCGTCGCTTCGTCTTCAAGGATCTGCTCCTCAATAATCTCCCCCGGGCCACCAATCACGGGGCCAAACGCATCCACCTCCTCGATTTCTTCTTCTTCCTCATCAAGACCGCCCATGTGGTCTTCATCTTCCTCCTGGATAGTAATCTCTCCGGAGCGGCGTCCCAATCCCGAGGCGCTGCCACTGCGGGAATGGGAATGGGATCCGGCAGCCGCATTCCGTACCGGTCCGTGGGAGGCTCCGAAACTGAGGGCCGGGCCCTTGAAGATGTTCTTCTTTCGCTTCGCAAACATGACGCCCGAGGCAAAGGGGTTGGGGGACCCAGGAGCTTGCGATGGCATGCCTTCATTGTACGAGTTCACCGGCGGAGCAGGTGGCATGCGAACGAGGCGAATGTTGGAAGGGAATCCTGTGCCCGTGGGCGTCGCAGGGAGAACTTTGACCGAGTGATGAGGCGAGTGTCCACGGCCTAACGGCGTTTTAGACGTTGACACGGAGCCGGTGGAGCTGGTGGAAGATGCCTTGGAGTGCGTGTGATGATGGTGATGCATTGATCGGACGGAAGACACGGAAGATGATGTCGATTTTCTCCCCCGCAAGCCTGCCGACGAACGTCGAGCGGCAGTACCTCGAGGCGTTAGCGGAGATGGCGAGAGTGACTGGCGTTTATAAGCCTGTGAGGTGGCAATCCGAGGTCTCAACGGTTGCTGAGTTGGTGTCACTACCGGCCCGCTTACGCTTCCTCGAAGAGAGCCATAGCTAGAGGATCCGTTAGCCTTGCCCAGGTGTCCGTTTGCCACGACCCCCTTGGGGAGGGGAGCGGTAGCGTTTGGTCCTAGGGAATTCGTGTTCGGGTATTTGCTGGTTTGTGGCCTGGGACTGGCATCATTGCTGCTTTTGGTGCTGCCTTCTTTCTTATGCAAGTCTGGCACGCTTCGACTCGTGCGCCTTTCATGGCCACGTCGCCTCCTCGTCGTGTTCTCAATGAACCAATGGGTCCAGTTTCTCCAGTGAGCGATGATGGCCTGGCTGGGCTTCTTCTTCGCCTTCTGTAAGCTATTGTCATCCTGCTGTTGAGAGCTTGGTGGAGCGCTGTGGTCACCCAGGCCAAGCGACTCGGTCGTGGTGACAAGATGCAGAGTTGATCCTCGAGACCTGGCGCTGCGCAAAATGCCTTCCTTGGGCGGTGGAATCGGTCGGTAGTTGCGCGTCGTCGAGACTGAGCGAATCGAGTGGCTGTCAATGGAACGATGGCGGCCATTCTCGTCTGGAGTCTGTGGACCATTTGAACGACTGCCCTCGGTGGTAAAGTAAGACATGTCAGCAATGGCCAGGTCATAGTAGTGAGCGCTTCTTCGATCCGGTCTTCCACGAGCTCTGGGCATCGCCGGGTCTCCTAATTTGATAAACTGCTTTGTCAGACCGCCGTCCTCGTCGACATCCTGCAGCATTCGCTCAAAACGACTTGACGCTACTGATATCCTATGCAGGCTCTTGTCGTTCTCTCTTTCTTTTCTCTTTCTTTCCCTCCGACGCATCTTTCGTTCCTCCTTTTCGAGCAGCAGCGTCCACCATCCGGCCAAGGCATCACACTTTTGCGCGAGTACACTTTCAATAATCGCGTCGGTGTCCACGCCAGCACTACGCATGCGGTGTAGGCAGTCTTTCTCCAGTAGAGTAGAAAAGGGAGGTAGGGCCTTTGTTTCGAGAATGGCCTGCTGCGCCGGTGCGTGCTCTGCGAGAAAAGGATGAGCTAGAATTTCCGGAAGCGATGGTCGGAGAAGAGGTCGCTTCGACAGGAGGGATTTGATGAGAGGAATTGCCTCTGTAGGAAAGTGTTCGGGATAGGCTGGTTCTTCTGTAAGAATCTTGGTTCGGGTTACGTTGTCATCGTCGTCGTCAAAAGGTAGCTCTCCACAGAGCAAGGCGTATAGAATAATGCCCAAGCTCCAGACATCCACCTTTTCGCCAGCATACTTTTCCCCCTTTAGCATTTCAGGCGCAGAGTAGCATATTGTTCCGCAAAAGGTCTGCAAATGGTTCGTTCGGCCTTCATATTCTCTGGTGAAGCCAAAGTCGACAAGCTTCACGTTTTCGTGCGTATCGAAGAGGATGTTCTCGAGCTTGAGGTCGCGATGGACACAAGACTGCATGTGAACGTAGCTGACGGCGCCGACTAGTTGGGCAAAGATCTTTTGCACCTTTGGCATAGGAAGCGGGCCATGGTCGAGGAGGTAGTTGTACAGTTCATCGCCTACAAAGGCGCAGACATATTAGTTCACATTCGAAAGAGTACCAGATGATCCATCGGAACTTTACCTGCACAATACTCCAGGACCATCCACACCAAGTTCTCCGTCACAATCACCTCATATAATCTTGCGATATGGGGGTGGACGAATTGTCTATGATGGTGGATCTCGCGGGCCAGGTTCGAGTCGGTTCGATTCGCCGACTTCAAGACGACCTAAGCAAACAGCGTCGTTAGTCGGAGGACAAAGTCGATAGGGCCGCCAACGAAAGAAAGCACTGACCTTGGAGCCATTTGTGAGTTTGTGGGAGGCCAAGTAGACCTTGCCAAAGGAGCCTTTGCCAATCAAGCGGCCGAGAGTATAGTTGCCGACGGACTTGAGGTCGGTGCTCGAGAATTCGCTACAGAAAGTGGCAACGTCAGTCAGGAGAGCCAGTCCACAGAGAGACAAATCTGGAGATGGGGGGAAAACTCACTCCAAGAGCTCCTGGTAGGAAGTCGCAAGCTATGATAACAACCAGCATCTGTTAGCTAACCTCCCCTTGTTTTCCATTTCGTCCGCCTCTCAGCTCGAATATCGAATCAAACCCACCTTGGCCTTCCGTCCCTGCGCCTCGGCCTTCCCCTTTGCCGTCTGCATGCCTCGTCGTCGTGCGCCAGCAGCGCGAGCTCTCTTGACGCCCGGAATGGAGATGCACAAGGCCCTTAGAATCCGGCGTCGTTGTCCGTGTCCGTCAACGTCTCCGTTAACCACAGGGGACGGCGTCTCGCCCCCTTTGCGTGTCCGTGTCTGCGGCGTCGGGCTCGGGGTCAGGCTCCGGCTCAGCCTCTGGCGGCGTCAATGCATTCGACGATGGCTCCGAGGGCGAGATCGCGGTGGCAAGAGGCCGAATTGGCGCGTCGAATGGCGAGAAGCAGGACGAGACGCTTCCCCGCTGGGCATCGGTCGCATTAAGATGAAGCGAAATTGTCTGCAAAGGCGAGGATGGATTGGGAAATTTCGACATGGGGTCCGTGACGGTGACTTGACCTCCAGCTGCTGGGGGGGGCTGACTGATGTGCCGTAGGTTCTGCAGCATTTGGCGGCACAGAGGCAGAGCGTCTTCTGGCTGGCCCTAAGCCATTGATGGAGAGAGTCGGGTGCCTGTAACTCCGTAATGGCCCCCCGTAAGCCGCCGTACGAGCAGCACTCGGACTGCCTTGCGCGTGGTGCCACAGCGCCACAGACTGGAGGTAGCGGTACATGGGCCTCGAGTGCCAGGCACAGCAACACAAGGTGCTCCCTTCTCTGTAGGTACCTTGCAGTGCATTCCCCGGTCCCGCCATTCTCAGCATCTCCAATGTTCCTGGTACTATCAAACTCGTATTCCACTGATACCTTACTCCCGCACAAGTAAGAACCATTGTGGACAGGCACAAACATTAAAAAAACGGACTTGATGTTGTGCATAGTAGGTACATACAATCAACCCGTGCGTTCTATCAACAGCCTGTATTGGGTATAATGCTCCGACTCAACCAAGTACCGGTACTTGAACCTCTCCGTCCACTCGCAGAGCTCCTTGTGCTGGGCTGGCCAAGTTAGTGCCAAGTGGGGCCCCAGATGCGCTGTGACATCTTCTGCAGCCGTAACATGTGCGCGTGTCCTTGTACTGGTCTAGCTTTTGCACTAAAGCCGCGAATGAGCCTCGGTGATGATATCGTGCATATACGAGCGCCAGACATTCGATCAGTGGCTTGGACGAGAATTATTTACAGCACTTATTTACAAAACTTCCATTGTTGACGCCATCCCAATCAGAGTCAACTCGATGACTTCCATTCCTCGGCACATTTCTGTCTGGGATCAAGGTACTGGCTAGTTTCAAATAGACAAAGGTACAGGATTTTTGGTAACGGCCTCCTGCTGATCACGATTAACGAGTCAATAACCAAGACACTCCGGACGACAATCTACAACCATGTCGGCGGAACCAATCCCAAAGAGACAAGGTTGTCTACTGCACGATACTCTTTATACTCATGGGTCTTAAAAAGAAGGCAAAGTCGAATAGTACTCTCCAACTTCCCACTCACATTCTATCCCTTCCTCATACAGGGTAGCAGTGCTTCAGACAAACAAGTTGAAGAAAGAAACGGGACGAGATAAAAGTCATGGGAGATTTTTCGATTTATGCGCATTTCCAATGGCAGTGCCTGTGCCCACCAAATCTAAACGTAGTAATCAACCTGCTATCGCCTTTTGAAAACCCCCAAACTCCCTCATCATGATAATGTCCCCTTTTTTTGTAAACACATGCAATGATATCTCCCTCAAACACTACTATAACTTACACCAAAACCATAGGTAGTAAAGCGTACTATACACAATGCTGATTTTACACTAGATGGTAGTGAGTCTTACAGCAAAACTCGCTTGAAAATAAGAGCCGAGTTGCGTTCGCCATCATCGTTTCCTCGTGTCTTTGCCCTTCTTCTTGCCCTTCTTCTTATCCTTTGGCAGCTCCAGTTTCGTGTGTTTCAACTCCTCGGTCATGATAGAAAGCATATAGTCATCAACGTTGCCCATTCTTCCGCCCCAAGCGTTATACTCCTCGATTACGTCGATGCCGGGCTCGTCTGGTCCGTCCAGTATTCCAATGCCCCCATCAAAGATAGATTTGCCTGCTGGCGTCCCTTGGCGTGCTGTCGAAGTGCCCGAGGTAGCCCCGCCGGCCTTTTCCGTAAAATCAGCATCGTCGGCCAAGATCTCCTTCTCTGCCACGCGTGCGGCGGCGACGTCTTCTTTGTCTTCCGCTTGCTCAAAGACGCGACCGACACGGCGCTGATCATTGCTGCTTTCCGATCCGCCAAGGACTAGATCAAGAGCGGCATCTGCTGCAGCAACGCCTTCGCTCATAAAATCGACCTTCTCGCCAAGGACGTCTCTGACCGAGGGGCGGTTGAATGAATCCGTGTTAAACTCGCCCTCTTGAATGACTACATCGTCAAGCATCTGCTTTTGTGATGCTTTACGAAGAATATTCGCCTCGATCGTGTGTTCGCTGACGAGACGGTAGATGTGCACGTCACGCGTTTGACCTATACGATGACATCGGTCCTGACACTGTTTGTCCATGGCCGGATTCCAGTCCTGATCGTAGAAGATGACTGTGTCCGCGCCCGTAAGATTGATGCCCAGACCTCCTGAACGAGTGGACAGAATGAAGCAGAGAATGCGCGAATCATGGTTGAACCGATCCGTCAAGATTTGACGCTGCTCAACCTTTGTGGCGCCATCCAGTCGGAGGTATTTGTGCCCGTGAATATTTAAGAATTGCTCTAGGATGTCGAGGACTTTTGTCATTTGAGTAAAGATGAGGGCGCGGTGGCCGCCAGCTTGCAGTTTGCGTAGCAGCTTGTCTAGTGCCTGGAGTTTGCCGCAGTCGTACTGAAGAAGACGTTTGTCGGGAAACTGGATGGTGAGACGCATCCGAGCCTCGTGCCAAGGGTCCGCAGGGGGTTGCTTGGGCATAAAAGGCGCCCATCGCACCGGTGCTGATAGCTTGAGATCTTCATCGGTAAATGCCTCGACACCCTTTCGACCCAGAATGAGCTGGTCAAAGTCCCGAGTCACCACCGCGGGCGTGACGCAGGAGAACTTTTCGATGGCAGTCTTGAGGCTATCAGCTCTCTGTTCGAGAGATGGAGTTAGCGCCTGTACAAAGGCTGAGTCGGAATCGAACCATTCCATGATTTTTCGAGGAACCCTAGGCCGGGGTTTACGTAGACGGTCATGGGCATTGATGTTCAACAAGTTTATGACGTTGCTGCCATATATCGGTCTTTGCTGCCGACGAAGGGCATTGAGGTAGACGCAGTGTTGCAGCTCCTCGAAGCGTCCCCACCGGGCGGCACTCTCGACATAGGCAATATTCGATTCTACCGTAGCCGGGTCAAGGGTTGTGTAGGCATTCTGTGCTCGGCATTTCTGAGCCTCTCGAAGATCCATGAGGACGCGGTGGGAGCTCAGCTGGGCTACACTATCCGCCTTCGTGGTAGATAGATGCTCATGCTGAGTGGGCACTAGGTTGAGAAAACCCAAGTTGACAGTGCTCATGGGGCTCTCTGCAACCGAAGATCGCTGCACAGCTCTCACGGTATCCTGAAATTCTGCGACGATAGATTTGCGCATGCGGAACGAGGTCATGATGGGACGGTCCACAAACAAGTCGGGATGGTTGCAGACTTTGCGCAGCTGCATCAAACAGTTGATAATGGAGAGATAATTGCCGGATGCTAGCGTATCTCTTGTCTCGCTGCGTGCCAGGAAGCCATCGTACAGTTCACGCTGGCGCTTTGAAAGTCGACAGAATTCGACGTGTTCGTATTTGGCTGGCATTTGCTTCTCCACGTCGGCTTTGAGACGTCTGAGAAGATACGGTCGCAGAACCTTGTGCAGTTTTCCGATGATGGCCTTGGCCTCGTCATCCATCTGGTCTCTCCCATTCTCTAAGATCTGTGACTCAGGTTTGCGAAACCAGTCATGAAACTCTTGCAAATCTGCAAATCCCCCAACGCCGTTCTCCGCAGGCATAAGGAAAAATAGTAGCGACCATAGCTCGGTTAGGTTATTTTGAAGCGGAGTTCCTGTAAGGAGAAGGCGCGAATGCGTGTTAAACCCAAGGAGCGTTTGCCATCGTTGTGATTTGAAGTTTTTGATATTATGTGCTTCGTCAAGAATCATATAGTGCCATCGGCGTCGCCTAAACACCTGTTGGTCTTGAAGCACCAATTGATATGAAGTAACGCAGACGTTCCAAACGTCGTCGTTGTTCCAGCCTTGACGTTTCCTCTTCCGCTCCTCTTGAGAGCCGTAGTAGGCCAGTATCTTGAAGCCAGGACACCACTTCTTGAATTCCATTTCCCAGTTGAGCATTACACTGGTGGGCACGATGACCAAATGAGGACCCCAGACTTCGTGACGACAGGCAAGATGCGCTAATAGCGCAATGGTCTGAATTGTTTTGCCCAGACCCATCTCGTCTGCCAGGATGCCATTGGTATTGTTTGCATACAGGCCGGCAAGCCAGTCGAGGCCCTGTCTTTGGTACTCGCGTAGTGTTCCCCGTAGGAGGAACGGAACCTCTATTTTATGGGCTGCGGATGGAGGTGTTGAAACTCGCGCAACGGTAGTGGGCGATTCTTCCGGTACGGTGTCTTTCAGCGGCAATGTTTCGCTATCGGATTGCTTCGATTCTAACTTGGTGTCCATGGTTGTTGGAAGTGATGTACTCGGTGAGGTATTGGCCGATTGGACATCCGTAGCCGCTGTGTCAGGATGAGCGCATTTCTCTGAAGCTGCTGTGCTTGTAGGCTCTTCCGACTTTGACGCATCGCTGGCCGCAGTGTCGGGAGCATCTGCCATTGCTATGTCCTGATTGACATTTACAGAATCAAGATCGGCATGGTCCGAAGAAATTGTAGGCCTTTTGTTTTCATCATCGTGTTCCGTTCCACTTCCCACGCCATTTGGCTTGGTTTCTAACATGGATGCCGTATTATTAGCATCATCCCCGTCATCATCTGCGCCATCACCATTGATAGAATCCGGGTGCCGGACAAGCGACATTTCATCCTCGTCCTCATCTTCCATCTCAACATCTGGCTGTGCGATTTCCGGCTCAGGGGCATCGACTTGACCACTCGTCTCGTCGTTTTCGGGACTTTCAGCCTTGGCCTCGATTTGCTTCATTTCTTTGAGCTCTGATTTTCCAAAAAAGAGTCCCAGCAAACCACTGGCCTCTTCTTCAGATCCCGACTCATCCGTGGACCCTTCATCCCCAGACTCGTCACTACCATCAAAATCACTGGATCCTAAATCGTCATCCATATCCACTGATTCATCGCTGGTCTCGGCGTCTGACTCTCCTGCATTTCCAGGGCTTTGGCTCGTGCTCTCGGCAATTGATTCTGGTTTCTTAGGTCTTTTTAGGTCGGGTATGTTGGCGTATTTCGCTCGTAGCTGTTCCTGTGTGAGGCCCTCGTCTGCCACGTCTTTCTGATCTTCATCATCTTCATCTTCGGAAGAAGACATCATATCGCTATCGTCGCCGCCGCCGCTGTTTCCATCAGTCTCTGCGGAAGAGAGACGAGACCCATCTTCGTCTGCGTCATCGTCGCTAGGGCTGTCGCTCATATCATCAAAGCCATCATCCTCGTCGAAAAGAGATTCGGAATCCATGCCTCCGGCGCGGCGAGCCTGCAATTTCTGCTCCGATAGACTGACGGCCTGGTTAAGCGCGGCTTTGACTCTTTTTTGTTCTTCTGCCTCCCACTGCACCAATCGCCGTCTGTTTACCTCTGTACGTATATTTTCCCAAGTACCAGAGAGAGATTTGAGAACAACTCGATACCGCGTTAACCACAAGGCCCTTGCTTCCGATTCTATCTCTTCGGCGGATTTGGGCTGGCGCCTTAACCATTCTTCACGACAGGCTTCGGCAAGCTTCTTGGCTGCTGATCGATGGCGCTGTTGTTCCACTACCATGAGCTTTCGAAAGTTGGCAGCAGCCCTTGTCATATGGTCTTGTCGAGCCCATTGTCTTGGTGGCTCCTCTTCTCCTTCAGGCACGAATAGGGAGCAGCGCTGCATCGAAAGGAGCCCACCCGGCTCGACCTCTTTTTCAATGCGGAGAACTATCCGTGCATCATTCTGTGCCATTTCGTCTGTGTACGGTGGCCCATCCTCAGAGGCCATGAGGCCGCCATCTTCTACCGGAATATCTCCCGCTCGAGTCCAGAAATCGTCAAAGTCAGTCCCTATGCGTGGTCGTTTGCGAACCTGGTCCGGATGAACCAGCGGAATCACACCGAGCCGAGACGAGACCCTCAGCTTGACTCGAGGTGACTTGCCGGAGCTTTCGAAGGTATTATGCTTAATAATGTTGCCTGCAGCATCTTGTTCAGCTGCAGCAGACGCATCACTGAGCCGTGTTCTTCGCGTGCGCGTGGAGTGTCTGAGGGACTGTGGCGGAGGCGAGGGAGTTCGTCGGCGTGTGAGTCGTGAAGATGACCTGGGCTCTGGAGCAGCACCTCGTTTAGAAGCGTATCTCGAGTTCGATTCGGACGCCGTGGTGCTGGCTGGCGTAGCTTTGCCCGAGGGCTTCTGCTTGGATGTGTTGCTTCCTGCCATCTTGCTTGATTTGCCATTAGTCATCGAGCTCTCCTTGGGCGTGCTTCCTGTCGATCCGTTCGTAGAATGCCTAGTATTGCGCTTCGGATTCAGGTTGGACGGCTCGGTCGGGACGGGCAACGAATTGATACGGCCGGATTTGCGCCGCCCGTTCTCGGTGTACGATGTTGGGCCGTCAGCCTCGATCTTCTTCCACGGTGGCGAGATGGGCTTCAGCTTGCGAGAAGCCAGCGGCGGCGGTGTCGCATTCCGAGTCCTCTGTCGCTTCGCAGGCCGCTCGCTGTCGTCGAGACGAGCACCGTCCATGGCTTCCGCTGGCTGCAGCACGTGGCCATTTGCCTGAGCCGGCGTCGCGTCGTGCTGGGCATGGCCATTCGCATGAGATTCGACGGCAGCTTCCCGACCCTCGGGCTCGACGGGCGGCGCGTCACTGGCGGGAGGGTTTAGGGGTCCGTCTGCTGATGAGGCAGCCAGAGAGTCCGCGTCGAGGATAACATGGTCTGGCGACGCGGTCTCGGGCATAATAGCAACGTGGAGCTAGGGGACGTCGCAGGCGTAATCTCTGTGAGGCTATCATTTGGCGGGGAGAAATTGACATCTACGGATTCGTGGCGATTTACCGAACATTCGGACAAAGTTTGCACATGATCAGAGGCCTGGGCGGAGCGCTGCAGCGGATTTTGCGAGCAATTCCAGTCTCCTCAGCAAAAACTTTTGAGCAGGAAGAATCTCGACGGCGCCATGGTACCTAAGATGGTGCGGAAATGGGAGCAAAGGGCACTGGAGGGGCTACAGTACATGCGGGATACTCGCGGTACCCATGGCGCGGCAGCTGGGTTGGTGCGCTGACTGCGCGTTTTTGCGTTGGTGGGGCCACTAGCTCTTGTACCTCCAAGTACCGCAGTTCTGTTAGGCGGTCCGATACAAATCCCGTGTCGTAATTCCCTCCAGCTGCAGAGAATCTCGGGCTCGATGCCTGAGGCACCAGCTGCGCAGGTCGATTGTCGTTACAACCTCAAATCTAACCAATTCGGTAGACTGTCGAGGTCATTATACGGAGAGCAATCCCGTTACGCAGCAATTGGGCGCTGAAGCAACAGTCAATCCGCCCAAGGTGAGCGCTGGGCTGATCCTACAATCGCAAGACGATTGAGTAAAAGCGAGCCGACCGGCCGACTGACCTCTTCTCTCTCTGCAGATGCTCCCACAACGAATTGTGCGAGCTTCGGCTCTGCGCAATGCCATGGCCGCCAGCCGAAGGCTCCCCACGATTCAACGACGAGGCTTTTTGCCATCCCAGTTTTCCGACAAGAAAGTGATTGACGAAAAGTACCCCGATTTCCCGCGACTCAGCGAAGCTCAGGACCCTGGAATGGTTCGTAACGGCCCAGTGTTGATTGGAGAAAACGCTCAGAAATCTAACTGCTGGCTGGCTGTAGAATGGAGGCTACATCAACCCGCCTAGAATCAAGCGACAGTTTCGCGACCCATATGCCACCTGGTGGGACCCCCAGGAGCGACGAAACTTTGGCGAGCCGGTTCACGAGGATAACGACATGATGGGTATCTTCTCCCCTTGGGAGTATACGTGGACTACTACGGGACCTGGTCTGATCATGGTTGGAACATTCATTACCGTTTTCCTCGGAGTTTCAGGGGTTGTCTACCTCAACTACCCTGATAGGGTTGCCTACCCCAGGGAATTTGAGAATGGCCTGGAGCGGGAATTGGGTGGCCCAGGAGCCGTAAGAGTAAGTAACATGTTGATGTAACGACCAGATTTCGAGTGGGAATTATGCTGATAGATGAATTTATAGGCACGAATGGCTGGCGATGAGGACCCGTGAGGTAAACTGTTAGTTTGTACATAATCAAGAATAAAAACATTTTCTTACTTGATGCTTCTTTCTCAGGGAAAACGTTGGGATGGCCTGTTTATTTGGATGGCCGGCCAATCTACAATTGAACCCTTAAACTGACTCCCTTCAGCATACTTTATGCAATATCGCTCTTGGGCCTGCGCCAGGGGCGATCTACGACACGGCGCTCTCGCCCGTGAATACCCAGTCATTGCCGGTATTAGCTCTGATCGCATCGAACCATGAACCAAGAGATGGAAAGGATTCTCTGCATATTGCCTTGTTTTACTCCTGTAGTCGATGCCGATCAAAATTATGCGTCAAGTGCCTCATTGTAGTACTTGACGTGAGGTACCCTATGTTTAGGCTGATATCCATCCGATGAACCCATAGAAGACTCGTCAACCTGATTATGAGACAATTTATTACATCTACGTCAAAACAAGGTCATTTACTCCCGAGAGCGCCATCAGCTCATCTCCCAAGAGCTGAACTGTCTTGCTGCGGATGCCGCCACCGGCGACAGGTGCGTGCTCTGCCGGTCCTTTTACTAACACGCCATATTGGGGAGGCGGTCTCCTTATCACACGGGGTCTCTCTAATCCCCTACTTTCTGCTGCTTACATTTTCTGTCCCTCTGAACTTTAATCTTTCTGGCCATTTTCTGCCATCTTCCAGCTTCCCTGGCAACCAAAACACCGCAGGAAACAGCGAAGAAGCGAGTTCTCGGGAGCCTAAGCGAGCCCAAAGGCTAGCAATTCATAAATCAGCGTGTGCAGTTGCCTATTCTTGAAGTCACTCGCTTTACTATCGCGGAAAAAGGACCTGCGAATGGACCGATAGCGTTGCCCTGCCACTCGATACTCGCCTATCTCCAGGCATGATTGTGTTTGCGATTCTGCTTCCCCTCTCCCCCAACTTAACCTTGGAATAGCAAAGGCCATATTTGGACTCTTCGAGACGGCTCTTTGGGGCATCTTCTTTGCATTCGATTGGTTTTTTTCTATACTTCTTTTGATCTGCCGGCCGTGTATCTCCAATAACCGTAACCACGATGCGGTTCGAAGATTGGGATATTCTGCTCTTCCCCCGGGATTGCAAAGTTCCCATCAAAGAGTTCAAGGTAGCTTGTCATGTTATTCATGACACAGGTATGTGTTATTCTTTCATCAATTCGTGCATCGGGCTTGGTCAATCGACGAGTCCATATTATTGGAGTTGCGTGGCTAATGGTCGTAGAATTCACCAGTCCTCACGGCTCTTTTGGGCTGCCCACGGTTTGCTGCTTCATACCGAGTTTGGCCTCTGGAACCCCATTCCAAGTCTCGATCCATTCTTGGTCCTCTCCAATTGTCAGCCAGTTTACCAGATGCTACAGCAAATATGGCGACAGTGCCAACTTTGAGGCTCGCGTATTCGTTGATGGACAGTTGGTTGCGTATGTCTTGATTCCGCTTCCGATGCTACTCCTCCACAGGCATCTCGCTATTGGATAGGGATTTGGCTGACCGATACTATTTTTTTTCTGTAGATCTGCAACTCTAGATAGAGAGGGCGACTGGCCGCATGTCGTCATACACAGCTTTGGTAGGAACCGCACCCGCAACAGATGCGAACGCATTGGATTGCTAATTTGCGGCCGCCATAGGGGTTTCAAAGAACGGAGACCTCGAGCCTCTGAGATTTCCAAGCTTCCGCGAGGAGCTTCTTCGACAAAATCACTGGAATCCTGCCGATGACTTTGGCCGCATCAAAATCGTCATCAGCGAAGGCTTCCCACGAGATTCTCTTTCGATGCCCATTGAGCGGGTCAAGAATGTCGTAGCATTCTCTTTTCAACATGCGCCTCTAGGTATATCGATTTGACCCTCTCCATAGGTATGTGCCATAAAACAACTGACACGCTGAACTTTTTCTAGAGATACTTGAGACTTCCTGCATCGCCTGGCCAAATCCCTCCATGTGGCGACGAGTTCCAATTGTTACATCGATGGCGGTCCAAGCGTATCCTTCTGACGATACTGACTCGCATGCCCATTCACCTAGAAGAAAGTACAGCCGCATTACTGCAAATTTGCCATCTTCATCAAATGAAAGCTACCATAGTGGCATGGCCAATCGATCTATACGGCTCGGTCATAGGAAATCTGGTTACCAGGGTGGTAGCAGCCGCTCTACCTCTGGAAGCACCAGCACCGGCACCCTGGAGAGTATCAACGATTCAAATGCATATTTTGAGTGGCTTAATGGGATGGGAACGGGAGCGAACGATATGTATCGATTTGGCGAACAACAGTTATTCCCACCTACGGGTCAAAAAGGGAGGAAGCCGTCCAATGTTGATTTGCAGCCTTATATGCCAATCAGCAAGGGCATGGGGCCTTACTTGGATCAAACGTTTGGGCTGCAGAACTTCCGACATGGAGTTGACCGTGATCAATTTGGGTATTTGAACCCGCCCGCTGAGGTTTCAGATATTGAAACTAGTCGTTACAAGGAATCGCAAGGTATGGACCGAGATAAGGCACTCATTCATCTCCTCACGTAGTGATGAAACTGATTATTGATACCTAGGTCTGTTCTTGCCTCGATTTGCAGAAGATGATGTGTTCTCGATTGATGTCTCGAATTCATTCGCCCACTCGTTGCTCAACCAACCAACGCCGGCTCATCTCCTGGCAAGCAATCTTCATGCAACGACCTCTAATTCTGAATTGGGACCACACAGAGAAGATTGCCTTCAAGCCCCAGGCCAATCACCTTCGAGCATATCTTCAGCATCAAATTCTCATGGGGATCACGGCGAAGTACGCAAAGGTGCTCGCCGGCCGTACACCGCACGCAGTATCAGCTTACAAGCCGAATCAAACCGCTCCAGAGAATATAGGTCGGCCCGCCCAGATATCAGCCAGCAAATATCTTCCGTCGAGGACTATTTGTCTGCTTTGGAGGGCGGCACGATGGCGGTGGAAAATGCAGCAGTGCACTCGATCGAAAAGGGAACAAAGAGGTCTCGTGATTCTGCTTCTGCTCCCGCAAGTGCTGTAAAGAATGACGATCACCAAAAGCGACCAAACCCTAGAGCTCACCTTGCAGCCTTGCTCTCACATAGCCCAACTCTCAGCGGCTAATGGGCGGCCTTGAATGCTTGGCTGTCTTACCTTTGTTCTCACGACCGTCTGGTGGAGCAGCTCCGAAATGTAGCAGGCAGCATATGTATCAACAGGGGTTTTGTTGGAGAGTGTCGAGTAATTTCTGGGCATCGAACGGTACAAGTTTACGGATGTCTCTTTTCGCCCTGTATCCTACAGATGCGTAATGATTATCAGAAGAGGAATGAAAATATCTTCTAAGGCCGTTTAATTTGCCACCGATGCTTCTTAGTTTTGCATTAGCAATACCTACATTTTGCTATAATCCATTGATTGAGGCGCAGAACATGCCTTTTATCCCGCCCTTCCCCTCAACCAACCTGGCTTATGAACCCAGGAGCTGGTATTGTAAATCGTGGCCGCCTCCCACGTTGACTAAATTTATTCATTAGGTAGTAGTTTGAGATGAACAGCCCCTGAATGCAGATCTTATTTGAGAGCATAATCACCTATAGCATCTTGAATCGCATAGCTCATACGCCTTTACTCAAACTAAGATAGATACGACGACAAGTCTGGACTACGACCTAACCGTATGCTGTCGCGTTTACTTCCAACTGGCAAGCCTCTGGTCTATGACAATGATCACTAAGGATTACTAGCGACGCCGCTTCCGAGCTTAGATGACCGGGAATGGATCCCCCAGGTTTCTTTGACCAAATGATTTGAGTTGTCGTACATGGTGCTAGTTGAATACGGGGCGGAAGTAAGCAGTCCGGATTGGGGAAGTCTCTTAGTAAGGTCATCGGCTATTTTGACCAGATAGCCTAACGAGCTGGCATCGCTTCTTGATCCTAGCAAGCTGGCCAGGTTTGCCGTGCACACGACCCGATGGGCGGTCCGAGAGAGCTCAGTCCGTGGCGGATAGATGTCCGTCGTCTGCGTTTATAGAAGTTTAGTCAGCGGGATGAAGATTGCATTTGCATGTTCTGCGCCCTCAAGCTTCGCGGACTGACTAGGACTCGGGGCGGATAGAACTCCGAGGTGTGATTTTTTATGTTGGCGGCATGTCGGGACGGCATTTTTTGTGGTGTTTTGAAAGTGGACGAGGTGTTGCTAATTTGGGTCGGAGATGGCTGGGTTTGGTGGCGCAATGGGGGATCTGAGGGATATGTACCCGGAACTGGGAGCTGAGAGATGGTTATGTGTACGGCTTTTTAGGGGCTTTGATGGAAAGTATATATATAAAGACATGGCGTTGGATGTGGGAAGATTATTGAACCATCGGAAATCTGATCTCACTTCAACTGCCAGCTTCGACGGGTTATACAGCGAAGAACTGGACGTTTCTGGGTTGTCGAATCGATATCGGTGGGTGTTCGGCTTGAACCACACAGTTTCTTTCCAGTCCAGTTATCGTCACAATGGGTCCTCACAACAGGCCGGGACACTCTGTTGATCTATCCAAGTATGATAAGCTCAATGCTGCCCAAGCTGGTCACTTGCGTCACTTCCATAATCTTGCCAGCCAAATGGATGGGGAATGGCATCACATGGGAACTCGGGAACCAATGCAAGAATTCCTCGATGCCTATCGCTATCAGCTCGCCACCATGGCATACGGTACCGGTGTAGCGCATTATCACCGTCTACCAGCCCTGAGAAGCCCACTCAAGTCCCTCATGCGTCGTCTGATCCATAAGATGCTGCGGAGAGAGGTGTGGGCTTACTGGTTCAACACGAGTCTCTCTGGAAACCGAACTGACCCTGATCGAACGGAGTTGAGGACGCCTTGGGCGGATCCGGTCGTCAGGGAGAACATCATGTACAGCGGCCATCTCTTGCTCATGACTAGCCTATACGCCATGCTCTTTGACGACGATGAGTTTGAGAAGCCGGAGTCCTTGACGTTTGTTTGGGATCCTCTGTTCTTTGGTTTCGGGTCCGAGTCCTTTCATTATGATAACCGTAGCTTGCAAGATGCTATCATTCGCGAGATGGAGAGGAATGGTTGGGTAGGCGTTTGTTGTGAGCCCAATCTGGTGTTTGTCGTCTGCAATCAATTTCCCGTATGTCTCTTTGCCAGAGTGCCTTGCATGAGAGCTGGCGAGAACTAACCGAAATCTCTGAATTAGTTGATTGCGATGAAATACAACGATGCTAGAGATGGGACCGGCGTGGCTGACGAAGTCTTGGACAAGTACAAGGCGGCTTGGGAGAAGAAAGGCATGGTTTCTCCCAGTGGGCTATACGTCGACTGGTATTTTGTTCGACAGGACAAGACGTTGCCGCCGAAATCTGTTGGTTGGACTGCATGGTGAGTGTTGTATACAAATTGATGCGAAGCAAAGTTCTTTACTGACAATTACACAGGGCAAATGCATATATGAATACGTGGAACTCTGATCGCGTGAAGTCGCTGTACGATCAACAGGTATACGGGTTCATCACGAATATCGACGGCGAGGTCCAGCTCCACGAGGATCGCATTGCCGGAGAATACCGAAAGCTCGTGGAAACCGAAAATGCGGACAAGAATGACGCCGCCGTTCTCGCTCGAGCTCGAGAACGCGCTGCCGCCCTCCCGCCGTCGGATTTCCTCTACTCTAGACCGACCTTCGGCTATGTTGTCCAATGGCTGTCAGAGCTAGGCAAGAAGGAAGAGTTGGACGGTCTACTCAAGTATGCCGACGAGCATCTACAGCCAACGTGGGAGAATGGCGGACTGTTCTATCCCAGGAACGACACCAAGACGAACGAGGCTGGAGAATGGACGCACATGGATCCGTTTTCGGGGAATGCGTCGGTTGGATATGCGCGACTGAATGTGCCTGACGGACAGAAGCAGATGTGGGAGAAGCCTCGACGGCGAGGCCACGCGGCGACGCAGCCGTGGATTGACGGCATTGAGCTTGGCCAGGGCATTGATTGTCTTCGCGGAGTTTGGGACGGTGAAGAGAGTGCTTTGGTGTTGACTCTGAAGACGTGGGATGGCCGAAGGGTTAGTGCAGCTCCGGTGGCGAGTAACTTGCCTGCGGGAAGTTGGGCTGTTTGTGTCAACGAGGAGCTGGTGCGGCGGGATGTTGTGAAGGAGGGCGGAGAGTTGAGTGTCGAGATGGAGGTTGGTGGTGAAGAAGTGAACGTTGTGTTTCAGAGAGTTGAATAAGCCACCGAGCATCAGCAGGGAGCATCTTGTGTCATTGTCATATTCTCAATATCTTTGCTATGATATTGAAAAGTATGTTGTGATCCTGATTATACTTGATAAATCTAGCAGTCTAGAGCTACTAAGTAGAAGTAGGTAAATCCATGCTGCTGATGTGATAATTGAAGTCCATATAATACATGTAAGCTTCAGGTATGGTTTTGGGTACATGTACCTAGGGTGTCATCGTAGCTCTCCCGCGTACGTCATCCAGACTCACTCAGAGCTTACCTGAGTAGGTCGCCATTAGCTCTTCTAGCTTCAAGGTTCCCATAGCTTCTCTGGAACAAGCTGAACAACACCAATATTCCTTGATAAAGAGAGAGAGAAAAAAAAAATAAGTTTGACCGTCAATGCATCCAAGATATCGCCAAAGTATCACGCGTCTCAAATACAAAGATCCCAGCTCTCGGTCACGTGGAGCTGAAGCCTGTCAATTGATAGCCCATAAGCCGTAGCAAGGCTCCTGAAGCTTACCCAGTCATTTGGCTCTGTTTGCATCACCGCCCCTTACACAGTTGACAGCAGATTCAAGCATTGAACGTCAACAAGATGCATTGGGCTTCAGCTTCCGCAGTCGTGTTTCCGGCGCTGTTGGCGCTCTGTGCAGGCCAGCAACAGCAGCCGCTTTCCGAGGTCGGCCACTCAGAATCACCAGCAAACTCGCAGCATACCGGCGCGGCAGACGCTCCGTCTTACCGAGACAAGCTGCTTCAGCTGCTTGAGTCGTTGATCACCATCCCGTCGACCAGTGGCGAAGAAAACGAAATTGGCCAATTCCTCGTCGACTATCTGGAGCAGGAACAATACCATGTGGCCATCCAATTCCTCCCCCCGCTCAAGGACCATCCAAACGTGCCCGACCGATTCAACGTCTTGGCCTGGCGCGGAGAGAGACAGCCCAAGTACAAGGCGTTGGTGACGAGCCACATTGACACGGTTCCTCCGCATATTCCCTGGGAGATTGAGGGCGGCGAAATCTCGAAGCACACAATCATCAAGGGCCGCGGCACGACGGACGCCAAAGGCAGTGTTGCCACTCAGATCTTGGCGGTGAACGAATTGCTCTCCACAAACAAGAATGTCAACCCGGAAGACATCATCCTGCTCTTTGTTGTTGGAGAGGAAACAACCGGCGATGGGATGAAGACGTTTAGCGCTTCGCTCAAGCATATGAACCCGCCTCTAAGTTTCGACTCTGCCATCTTTGGCGAGCCAACCGAGAACAAGCTGGCATGCGGCCACAAGGGCGCACTCTTCTGCACTGTCGCGGCCAAGGGCAAGGATGCTCACAGTGGCTATCCAGAAATGGGAAAGTCGGCCAACGAGCTGATGATTCGAGCCATGGCCAAGATATACGATACGGATCTCGGCGCCAGCCCTCTCTTTGGTAACACGACGTTCAACGCTGGCCGCTTTGATGGCGGCGTTGCTTCCAACGTGATTCCTGCTAGGGCTTTTGTGGACTTGGCAGCCCGCGTTGCCAGTGGCTCCGAGAAGGAGGGCCACAAGGAAGTGCAGAAAAAGATTTTGGATATTTTGACTGAAGTCGATGATGAGGCGTTCACTCTTGAATGCATTCATGGATATGGACCTTATGAAAGCAACTGCGATGTGGAAGGTAAGTCCATGACAGCTACGTCTTATTGGATACGGTTTTTTGTCTAACCTGCAACTCAGACTTTGATCAAATCGTTGTTAATTACGGCACGGACATTCCTAATCTCGAAGGTGATTACACTCGATACTTGTATGGACCAGGCAGTATTCTCGTTGCTCACGGCGATCACGAGTACATCACTGTTGGCGACCTGGAGCAGGCGGTTGAAGACTACCAGAAGCTGATTCTTCACGCTCTGAACCAATGAGGAGGGTATCAAAATAATTAATTGACTTGGATATTAGATGATGTATGTTAAAAGATAATCTAATGACGCTGTGCACTAACGCTGGTCTTTTTTTTGAACCCCGTGCCATCCCTTTCGAGGGCATGTGGAATGCCTGCTCTTGTTTCTTTCTTCTCTTGTTCTATCATTAACCAACCACCTTTGCCCATCGCTCAGGCAAAATCTTGCTAAAATCAAAGGCGCCATCGGGTCCCTTCTCTACAGCTCCCTTCTCCGTCACGACGACATCGATGAATTCTGCTGGAGTGACATCAAAGGCAGGATTCCACACATCGATCCGCTGGTCAGCTGTTGCAATGCGAACCTTGTTGTTACCATCGACACGACCATCTGGCCCGACAACTGCACCGGAGATTTGCGTCAGCTCCTCCCTCTTGCGCTCTTCAATCTTGATACCGTCGCCAGTCTTGGTCTCCAGATCAATACTTGTGGTTGGGGCAGCGACGATAAACTTGATGCCGTGGTGCTTGGCTAGAACGGACAATTGGTAAGTGCCAATCTTGTTTGCGGTGTCACCGTTGCGAACGACACGATCGGCGCCAACAATGACGGCTGCGATGTTGTGCTCAGCCTTCTTCGTTCGGAAAAGAGCTGCCGCCATGGAATCCGTGATGAGGGTGCTGGGGATGCCCTCGTGGACCAGCTCGAATGCTGTTAGTCGGCTACCTTGGTTATAAGGTCGAGTTTCGGTGCAGAATGCGTGCTTGAGGTACCCCTTGGACTGGAGCGTGCGGATGATACCAAGTGCTGTTCCATGACCCGAAGTGGCGAGCGCGCCGGTGTTGCAGTGCGTCAGCACGGAAATCTTCTGGTCAGGCGAAGCGCCGGCCTGAGCGTGCAGCCATTGTGCGCCAAAATCTCCAATCGAAAGGTTGCTCTGGAGGTCCTTTTCGAAAATTCGTTCCGCTTCCTCGATGAATGCTTGCACAATCGCCTCTTTGCCCTTTCCGTCAGCGGTTCGGGTTGTCGCCTTGAGCTGGGTGATGGCGTTGGTCAGGTCGACGGCCGTTGGCCTGCTCTCCTTGAGGTAATCCAATGCCTCGTCAATCTGAGAAATGACTTGTCCGTCTGAATTGCCCGAAACGGGGTTGTTGTGTAGCTCGACAGCGAGTCCCAAGCTGGCTACGATGGCAATGGCCGGGGCGCCTCGCACTCGCATCGTAGCGATGCTGTCGAAGGCCTCTTGGCGCGTTGAGACGGTGTCATAGTGGAATTCGTGGGGCAAGAGGAGCTGGTCGAGGACCTCCAGCTTGCCTCGTTGGTACTTGACGGCTTGTAGGAGCGACATTGTGATATCGAGTTTGATGATTCGTGAGGAAGAATGAATTGTCTTGCACCCTTTTTTTTTCACATGAAAGTCTTGGGGAAGATGCGTCATGCCCCTCCTTGAAGAATTCTGCCACCCCTCCTCGGCCAGTAACGTGCTTTGGAGCCGCCACGATGGTACCTGGAATTTGGCTTACATGATTGATGTTCTCTGATAACACGTTTGTATCTGCATATCAACAGACAACTATGGACATTTGACATTTACTCAAGTAATCTTCATATTTTCTATAATACATTACCTGACATAAATAAAGATAACAGATATTCACTCTTTACAGTGACTGGAATGGCATCATTGTGCTGCAACACAGCCGTCTCACCGCCTAGAGCCCGGAGTAACGTAAATCCCGGCCTGATGAAGCTCCCCAACTGCTATTGGCAGCATCCAGACCTCAAGTCAGGGGTCACCCTTGTCGGCGATGCACCTCGACTATTGCGGCCAGCTCTTCTGTCGCATCGACATCCCACACGTCTCAGGCGGTCGACAATGCAACAGACCGAGACGACCTGGTTGCCATGGAACAGCAGACGTCGACGTCAACGGTAACAGGTAAGAGAGCGCGCGAGGCACTGCTCTGAGGCTTTGGATCCGTCCACTAATTCGAAGGACATTGCGACCTGCGCAGTCGAGTATTTCGATCCCCACGATGTTTACAAGCTCCTGGCCCCAGGGCTAGTCCCCCGACTTCCTCTGCACAACCTCAACTGGCAGTCTCACTCCGGGCCGCTGCGGTCAATCGACACGCTCCATGTTGAGCTGATTCGGGGGAGTCTCGAAATCCCCGAGCTGACCTTGTCACCGACATCGCGGCGTTCGGGCAGTGTCTCGCGGGCGGGCGACGGTTTGCGATCACGCAGCGTGAGCGTCTCTACGGACTCGGGAAAAGCTCCGCCGTCGCTTCGTTCGAAAGCTAGTGGGAATCTACGACGACACCAGATCCCGGGACTTCGTCGAACCCCATATCTCAAGCTGCTGCTGGTACGATGCGATGACAACGATTCATACAAGAACTCGGTGCGAGCCGAGGTTCGCGAGTGGGTCAAGAACCATACCTCTCCCGTGAGCACCTCAAAGAAGGGCACTGGCCAAGAGAACCACGATGCGTTTGAATGGCTCATTGTTCACGTCGTCATCCCCAACACTGCAGCTTCAACTCAGCCGCGAAGCAGCGGAAAGTCGGACTCGGCGGAGAAGAGCACGGCGTCGCGATGGCGCCCAGGGACAACTCCTTTACTAGAGAAGCTTAGATCAGACTTTAACGAAACGACCAAGGGATCTCAGGACCATGTCTCGCAGATTAGGATTGGTATCAACGACGTACCGTACGATCTTTTACCTAGGGTTGTGCCGGCAGTGCCATCAGGTTACAAAGAGACAGAGACAGATGCCGAAAACGCCTGGAATGATTTAATAGCAAAAGTCAAGAGCCTGATACTGGCCTCGTTTGACATGCGAGTCACTCAGTATGAAGAAGACATTCGGGAAAAGGACGCGCAGCGAACCCTGCCTGGCTGGAACTTTTGCACCTTCTTTATTCTCAAAGAGGGGTTGGCGAGGGGATTTGAGAGCGTCGGTCTTGTAGAAGATGCGTTAGTCGGGTATGATGAGCTCAGCGTCGGACTGGATACGGTTCTACACGAGCAGCTTGAGACGGGCTCGCCGGAGAGACACGGTGGTGAAATGCTGGCATTTACCGCAGAGCTCAGAGACATTGCTGAGAAAGCACTGGATATTGCCGCCGGCGATAGCAGTGATGATGGCAGCGGCACCAACACGAATGTAGCAGGGGAAATTAGCGGCCCAAATTTTGACGAGATAGCCATCAGCTCGACAACAAAGGCATACCGGGACATGATCTTGGCGAACAAGGTGTCGGTATTTGACTTTAGATGCTACATCTTCTCCCGCCAAATTGCCCTGCTGCTGAGGCTAGGCAACGCACTCTCCTCCAAGGAAGAGCTCATTGCCATGCTCAAAAACCAGCAGGAGTCTATCCTCTACGGCGAGGCTCCTATGGCATTGCCGCCGCCAAACAACAAAGACGAGCCGGAAAACCTCATCACGTTTGCAGAGATATGTCAGCGGACGCTACAGTTTATCCCTTCTGTTTCGCAGATTTTGCGACGAGACGTCATCCTGGGGTTAACAGCAAGCAAAACACCGAGCCGCAAGCCTCCCAAGCTGAGCCTTGTGGCAGAAGAAACTGTTGACAATATGGTGTCCTCATTTGCTTTTTCTGTTGCCCAGCAAATCCTTGCTCAAACCTCGACGAAGGCGCTACCGATCCCGCCGTCTTCGCTGTCATATGGAGATGGGCTTGAGCCAAAGTCTTCTATCCCTGAACCCAAAACCATGATACACCCAGCTCGAAACTCATCGCTGCTTCCGAGGTCTGGAGGAGGAAGCATTCCGCCGCCTCCGCTCAGTCCAGGTTTCTTCCCTGGACCGGGTAGACAGTTCCCAGATGGGCAGGGCACGAACGGCTTTCTCAAAAATGGCTTGGAGGGCTTGGCGGCTCGCCGAGCCGAACTTTACATGCTTTCCAGAAGCATCCTCTCGAGCCTTGGTAAGAAGCGCAGCTGGAGCGACGGCTGGGACGAAGCCCCCTTGGTGAGGGGAATTGGCATGGATGAAATGGAAGACGTGGATTTGAACGATGATAATGACAAAGGCAATGGGTCCGACACTCCTTCCTCACCAGAAGACGCATACGCTCCGTTGATGGCGGGTATCGTTAATCCCGTGCTACGGACTGCAATCGACAACAAGGAGGACTTTTATCGCCTATTTGAAATCCTTACGGACAAGGCCATGCGCCATTACACGGTAGCCAACCATGATCATGCGGTGCACTCCAGCATGGCGGATTTGGCCGTCTTGAAAGTTCATCTGAAGGACTACAAGGCTGCTTCATCATACTTTTCGCTCACCACGCCCTTTTTCGGAGAGAGCGGCTGGAGCCTACTCGAGCTATCAATGCTCATCATGTATTGCCAGTGTTTGGATGAGATGAATCCAAAGGGCGAGCATGTTGGTGTTGCATTAAAGCTGTTGACCAAGTACTGTGCTGCGGAAAAGGAGCGTCTGCAAAAGAAACCGGGGTTTAATAGTTTCTCACAAGGCAAGACATATCCGGATGCATGGCCAGTGACTGGCATAGTCGAAAAGCTTACACGGCTGGCCAAATCATTGTCCAAAGAAGTTAAGATACCGATGGAGAATTTCTTCACAGATGTGGAACTGGATGGGTTTCCAGTATACGAAGACAACCAAGACGGTTGTTCTCTGAATATAAGCATCAGGAGCTTGCTGCCAGAAGATATTTCGTTTGATGCCGCAAAAGTACGAATCACATCTGTCGGCGAGGGGCCAAGCAGAGAGCGGTTTTTTGAGGCAGCAACTGGTTCACCCATCACCTTGGTGCCTGGTAAGAATAAGATACGAGTGAATTGTCAAGTAAGTAGTGCATTCAAATCACTCATAACTTGTGCTCTCGAGAAAGACTAACAGGATTTTCTTTAAAGTCTGTGGCTTCAGGACATTATAAAATAGATCGACTTGTCCTTTCAGCAGAAAATCTTGTTTTGCACTTTGAGCGGGATGTCAACGCTTCTACATCCAGCACAACAGACATATTCAAGCACGCCGATGTCATGCTTTTCCAGCGCACTAGCACATTCGATGTTGTCATGTCTGCTACGAAGCAGACGTCCTTGGACAAGAATAACTCTCTTGACTTGGTAATACACACGGGATGGAATTCTATCAAGAAATGCGAGGTCCGAGTGAAGCCAGCTACTGGAGGCCTGCGTTTCCTCACTACGGAAGCAGCATTTGTGGGCTCTTCAATGGAGTTTGCGAAGCCTCCCGAGGCTGGCGTGTTTCATTTTGATGCCATCGCCGCAGACACGGTGGTGACGATACGATTCCCATACTCTGTGGAGCAGGATGTGGGGGATATCTTTGCAAAGATTGAAGCTACTTATGTTACGGAAGCGGACGAGACATATCATCTGGCCACATCTCTGGCAGTCCATGTGGCTTTGGCACTCGGGGTGAATGTGCAAGATGTCTTCAAGCACCAAGCACTCTTTTCTCGGTTCAACGTGTCGACGGCATCATCCAGCCCGCTACGGCTCTACAAGAGCGAGCTCCTAAGCTCGGATCTCTTTGATTCCGTATTTGGCGTGCCTCCGGCAAATCCCGTCTTCATATTCCCTAAGCAGCCAGCGAGCTTGCTGTTTAAAGTGAAGAGGATACCGGGGGTAAAGCCGATGCCAAAGGGAGGCAGGACCTTGTATCTGAAGCTTGACTACACTTTGCTGGAAGTTGAGATGGAAGAACTGGTTAAGCGGTCTCTAATAGAAGCCTTGGAGGTGACGCCCCTGAGGCAATACTCCAAGTATGTTGTGGCAATGGTTTGGCACGAGTTAAAGGCCAAATCACAGCCGCGAGATCTTGAGCAAGCCACGCTGCTGGGAGAGATGGCAATCACTGATTTGAAGGACGTCACATGGGAGAGGCACTTTGCAGGGATTGGAGGAGCCCCCGGAGTCGGGGAGAACGCGGCCGAGGGGCTGTCGGCGTTTGTGCGAACTTGGCAGAAAGCCAACAGCCGTCTCGCCATACCAAGAGAGGGCGTAATCGACCCGTCGTCGATTCTCATCCCGGTGGAAATACCCGCGCTGCCAGTCCTCCACACGGCAGACATCCGCCTGCAGAGCCTCATCCCAAGTCCCGTGGTGGGCAGCGCAGGCGGGGGGCTCCCAACCGTCTGCACGAACCAGATGCTCCCGGCGACGCTGCACCTCAAGTGGACGCGGATCTGGGACACGGACTCTTCTGTCCGCAGCGATCAGGAGTTTAGCTATGAGGTGACGGCGCCCGCCGATACGTGGCTCGTGGGCGGGCGTCGAAAGGGTCACTTTGTCATCCCGGGGCCGTCGGCTTCGTCGCCGGCGCAGACCATGACGTCGACGCCAGAGACGGAGGCTGAGATTCCGCTCATCCTGATCCCCCTGCGGGAAGGCTGGCTGCCGTATCCGCTGGTCGAGATCAGAGAGGTCGTCAATGCGGAGGGGGATGGTGGTCAGGGCCAGGCCACGGCGCAGGGGTGCGAGGTTGACTTGAGGAATCTGGGAGAGACGGTGCGCGTCGTGGGAGACAGGAGCGGCATGACGGTGAGCCTTGATGCGAGCGGCCCAGGGGGAGGCCCGTTGGTGTTTGAGAGCGAGCGGTTGGCCGGGTTCAAGGGCAGAATCGTCGAGTGATGGCATCATTTGGGGGTTTGTTGTTGATCTCGCATGGGGAGAGGATTGGCATGTTTTTTTCTTGGCCACTGGATGGGACGACTTACGTATGTAACGCATATCATAGAAACACTGTACTGCACGCACGGCGGTATTTTTATTTTTCACGCTTCTGTGCCATTCCTTTTTGTGTACCTTGCGATTTTGTCCTTGCCCATCCCCATCCAACGGGACCCAGTCCGGTATATTCGTTTCCGTTAATGATCTTCACAGCAAGGATCTTGACTACCGCAACTCGAAACCTTGCGCAACAACAACAACAACAACAACAACGAACAAGGGTGTTGAAAAGCGACAGAGTTTCCAACTAATTAGCATGGAGAAAAAAAAGAGCTAAAGCAAGCTTGTGCCAAGTATCAAAAAAGCAAGGCTCTGGGATTTGCTTCCTTTTTGCTATTTATTTCCCACCTGTTCCCGAAACGCTCACCATGGATGATCGGCGCTCCCTGCGTTTTATTACCAGAACTACGCCATCGCTCCCCCTTTTCCGCTTCCCTTCCCCCTTCCCAATCCTTTATGCAGGATGAGACGGAAAAGGGCTGCTGAAAGGCAAAAGGGGATGTGTGTGGAGGGGGAAAAATCATCCGACTGATATTCATGAGAGAAGATACCCTTGAACCGGGTATTACAGCATCTTCCATTCTTTCTGTGCTTGAGTTCCCAGTCTTGATAAGACGCCTCCCCCTTCTCACCCCCCCTTGAGCTTGCATGTACATACAGTATATAGGGAGTTGTCTTTTTTGCTGCATGAAAATCTTGGGGAACATTGCAGTGGCATAAGTATCCCTTTCGCTGTTCATCTTCTACTCTGGAAGACTCCCCTTGTGCCTTGACTCGGCGATGCGCTGCATATGCGTGGCGTGCGTGCGTCATGTGGGCGAGAGGATATGCATTCCCACCCCCCTCGAAATCAACGATTGGCTCGTAATACTGTAGCAGTTACAGGTAGTAGTAAATTGTAAATGGCGATTCTCGGGGGTGGTAGGTGGTAGGTGGTAGGGGAGGCGGCACGTTGTGGATGGCGATGGGATGGACGTGCAACACCACGCTCTAGCAATCAACCAACCAACTAACCTTTCAAGGGTTCTTTTCATTTCCACGGTACTGTAGGTTCACTGTACGTAGAGGACTAGGGACAGTAATGTATGAGAACAGGAATATACCCTTGCCTGGAGCCTTTTGCCCACCACTCTTTTTCGCCTCAGGGAACAGATCATTGCTGGAAGCGGCAACGATGTGTAAGTTCCGGCGCAGGTGCAATGGCTTGCGTCAAGATCATCGGCTGAGAACCCACATGAGCTCAGAAACAAGAGGGAAGAGGAGCCCCTAAAACCCCCGGAGCTTACAGTATACTGTAGTACATTTCAGTAAATCATCGGGCAGTTGAACATTGAAGATCCCGTCCGCAAGTACACAGTATAATCACCCGTTGCAGAATCGACGCGGCTTCTCTTTGCTGTTTTCGTACTCCGTGCCAAACACTGTGCATTACGTCGTTTGTAGCAGGGATTCTACAGTGGCCAGCCTTTTTTTTTCTTCTCCCCTTTGAAACCTCAGACATGCAGGTTGGTTGAATGGGGACTTTTTGGTGTTTTGTGTTTTACTTGGTATTTGGCCGTGCAGGACGAGTGCAGCATCGGGACACACGCAGCGAAAGAGGGAAAAAAGGGACTGGAGCTTAGTAGAAACCCGATGGGCGGGGCTTTTTCTTTCGGCTATGGATGTTTCTTTTTTTTTTTTCCCCTTGCTTGCATGAAAGAAATTCAGTGCAAGTTGTTGCATCTTGCAGCAAGAGACACATGCAATGCAACACACACCGATGAAATCCCTCCTTGCAAAACAACTGATACGTATAAATGAAAGGCCTATGATATCACCATCCCACAGCCTCGCATGAAACGAACAACACCAAAAAAAAAGGAAAAATACACATCCTACAATATCGCAACTAACATGCACAGGTATGGATGTACTCCGCTGCTATCAACACCCCCCCTGGTCCCAACTCGTACATACACACACACACACACACACACACACACATGAAGCACAGACAGTAACTTAGTATGTAAAAGCCCCAAATCGTGCAGCCAGCCAAAAGAAACAAAAAAGGGCTCACACTTCCCAATACTAACGTACTCCTTGCAGCTGCTTCCCCGGGCCCCCGCGTGGCGTTTTTCGCCTCTTCTTCTTTTTGGTTCCCTTGCTTACCTAGTAGTAATTGCCGAACCACCCAAAAAAACGTGTACTGTATAAAAAAAAAGAAAAAGAGAGAGAGAAAAACGACGTCATTAGTCTCTGCGCCTCTGCCGCTCGTCATATGAGTGTAACAGAACCATGCTTCTTTTCTTCCGAGACCATCGATATAGCACGGACAAATTTGAAAACGGCATCTGAAAAAGCAACGTCATTCGCTCACCTCACCCCAACGACTACGCAATCATCATTCACCACTGCGATTCCATGTTGGATAAAAAATCCATGTCAAGCAAAATGGAATACATCGTGTAAACGCCCAAATCATCTCGGAGCCAGATCCGTAGCCAACGCTTCTTTCTATGTATCTCATCTATCAGTAACAATGACATCTCGATACATACATGGTCAAATCAAACCCCCTCAGCCCTGCCTCTCCCGATCCCCATGCCGGCAGTCTGGCTCTGGTTGCCTCATCAATCGTGTTATGCGCCTTGTGCTAGCTCCAGAGCCAAAGAAAACTGACAGGTCATGCAAACGGTCGGTGGAACCGTTTACGAACCCTGGCAAAAGCCTCCCCCCTTGTTGTATCGATATCCAATGCCGAGCCTCCCAACGCCAATTGCGAAACCGCACGACACCCAAAACGCCCCTGGCCCTCCTTTGCATTTTGGCCTCCTCGGTGGCAACATGGCATGACATCAGTTGTCCCAAGCTTGCTCGTGTTAATGTATCGCCCACTTGTACCGAGTATTGTGTGTAAGGTATTGTGTAATGTGTATCGTACAGTCACTCTCATTCACTCGCTCACTCAATCGCTGCCTTGAATCTTACAGTAGACGCATCAAGTATAGGTTGTAATGTGATCAAGTCCCTGTTCTTGACTGTCGACGGCGTGGTCGCGTAAAAGCCTAAAGCCCTATTCCTTTGTACAACTTGTTCCGCATTTGTTTTCATTTTTGGTTTTGGTTTTTGCTTCCGCCTCCCTGCCCTGAACCTGCCATGCCCGTCTACGCTGCTTCATGCAAAATAAAATCCTAAACCCCTGAGCAGAACCTGCCCCATTGAACGCCTGATAGATATGCTCACTATGATAACCCGATCCAGGTACGGTGAGCGCCTGTAGATTGCAAGAAAGAAAAGGGAAAAAACTGCAAACAAAAAAAGAGAAGCCGAGAATTGTAAAAAAAAAAAAAAAAACAATGAAAGAATTCGCAAACAAGACGCCCCATGCAATGACAATGCTGCCACAAAGGTGTTGGCGCTCATAAACGTTGCTCGAAATCCCAAGCGTTGAAGGATAATGTACAGTGAATGTCGCACTCGCACGAACGTCGTAGCGCTCGTAACAAGGAAAGAGAAAAGAAAAAAAGAGTAAAAAAATATTGCATGTGGATCGTGTGCAAAATGTGTTCCAAAGTCTGGGTATCATGAATCCCCCTTCCCTTCTTCTCAAGGGGGACCCGGAGCGGCGCCGATAAAAGTCCAATGCTCCTTTTTAGAAAGAAAAATGAAAAAAATGACCGAAGCGCCATCGTTTTCGTGGCGCGATATGTTGAACCGGCCCGCGTGTTGTAGGATAGAGGGTCGAAATCTAGATTGGTTGGTATAAGAGGATACTGCCGGCATCGATTATGCCATCCCGAGCAGTGATTAATCCAAGCTCATCATGGGTCAGCTGGACCCGCATGGAAAATGGTGCTCTGTTGAAAAGAGAATGAAGAAAAAAGAGGAGACGGGTGTTTGTTCGTCCCTCCATCGAGGCCGGTTTACTTCTTGCCTCGGCTCCCCGTCGCCGTGATCTTGCTGGTGCTCATCAAGTCACCAATGTATTTCTGAAGAAACTTGTTGTTGTTGTCGAGCTTGTCGTGCTCCTCCCGCACAGCCTCGATGCGGTTGAAGATGGTGAGGAGAGACTCTTGCAAAGCCTTGGCATGCCTACGGGTCGGTGGTTAGCGGTCGTACTCTACAGGCCAACAAGTCGTGCACTCACTTTCTCAACTCCTCGCGCGCCTCCTTGCCCAGGTTTTCTAGGTCTTCGTTTGTCCTTCGGGGGCTCATGGCTCGAACGTCGTCCGGTCCAAAGTGCGAGTCTACGGGGCCGACGGCCGAGCTGTCGCGAGGGACAACCAAGGGGCCGCTGCTTTTTCGACTCGGCAGGCGGGGGCGGGTGGGAATGGGCTGGTGAATAATGGGCTCGTTCTGATCCGAGGGAGTTGTGGAAGCCGAGGAGTCGGAGCGCTCGATGGGGTGGATATGGCTAGCAGAGCCAATGGAGTGAGTATCGTGGTCGTCGGACATGGTGTTTGGTTTGATTTGAAGCGGATTATTAAGGATGCCTTGACGTGTGTCGCCAATGGGGAATTAGTTGAACGAGTCGGGCGGCAACTGGCCAAGTCTCTCTTGCTTGCTCGGGGCTGCCGTCGACGGTGGTAGGTAAAGGACAAGTGCCTCGTCTGGTGTGTCGTCTGGTTTAGTCTAGTGTGCCTTGTAGTCTGTTGTCGGCAGTCTGTCGTCCAAAATCGTGTCGGGAATGAGTCTTTTTTTTTTCTTTCCCTCCTTGAGTCAACCTTGCAATGCCCAACACGCAATGCAAACACGGAACAAGAAGGTGGCCAAGATAAACAGCAGCAGCCGCTACTCCTTTTGCAAGCGAGAGAAGAAAAGCGAATGCAGATGGTGAAAAAGAAGGCAGAGTACGGAGTACAACGAAGGAGAAACAAAGCGGGAGGAACAAGTTGGAAGAAGAAAACAAAGTAACAATCCGGTTAGGCGGCAACCACACACACTTTGGTGAAGACGAGTTTAAAAAAGGAAGAAGGAAAGTGGTTTGTGTCGAGACGATCTTGGGGGGGGGGAGGTGATTTGTGCGAACTGCTCGTGACAAGTCGAATGGGCCCCTCGTGTACTCGGCGGCTCAGTCAGCGTGGAGATGCGTCGATGCGCTGGCGAGATCGTGCGAGAGAAGAAGAAAAAAAATGTGAAAAGTGAAATGCGAAAGCGTTGTATTGGCGGAGAGGAGAAGCTGGTGGTGGAGAGAGACGGTGGATAAGGTATGTATGTGGTGTATGAGTATGAGTATGTATGTGTGAGGATAAGAATCAAGGCGAGGCAGAGTCGAGTCGACGGCGAGAAAAATCGGGCTGGTGGGCGAATGAATCAGGACAGCCGCGGTCCTTTTAGCGGTCAGCCCCCGAAAGACAAGGTGATGATGATCTGCTATAGCGTCGGGCGGTGGTACCAGTAGCGCTCAGGTGCAAGGACGGACGGGTGTCTGTTTAGGCCTGGGCGTCTCGTCTCGTTCTCGTGCTGCGTGTCAGGCAGATCTCCTGGTGCTGGTGCCGGTGCTGGTGCTGGGATGACAGCTAAAAACAGCAAGGTGGTCTGGTTTAGCTGGTTGACGATCTTTGTCAAAGTGTCGTTTCCAGCTCGCGAATCGAGGGAGCAGAGAGGGCGGCGAGGCTAGAAGCAGAAACAGAAGTCCAGGTTGGCGCTAGCAAATCCCAAGGGGCCTTTTCTTCTTTCTTTCTTTTTTTTTTTGTTTCTTTCGAGGGTCCTCTCGTACTGTAATCTTCTTTTCCCTTTCTTCTCCTGCTTTTCCTTGGACCTTTGCGTGTGGGAGGGGGGTGCAAAGGGAAATGGCAGAGGGCAAAGGGAAGATCTCGACGTCGATTGGGATGCCCGCGCTGTCGACAAAAAAAGTATTCGATGTGCGGTACCGTACAGTGCAGTCCGGGAACACGAAAAGGCAGCAGAGGGAAAAGATTCTCGCCGGCCCGCTCTTTAGTGACAGGGACGCTCTTGGGATGGCAACACGCACTGTCTGGCCCGGAGGAGGAATATTATCAGGACGGAGTATATGTAGTAGTAGCAACCAGAAAAGGGGAGTGTGTGAGTGTCTGGTCTCTGTTTGTCTGTCTGTCTGTCTCTCTGTCAGATACCTAGGACAGGACAACCCAGTCCGAGTACAAGTAGGTTCACTTTCACTTGACACAGCAGCACTTCAGGCGGTGAATTGGCCATTGGGAAAGGGAATCGGGGGGGTGGAGAGACCAGGCCAGACCAGGCCAGACCAGGACCAGGGCGGCCAGGGTTGCCAGAAGCAGTTGAGAGGAGTTGGGTCCCAACTTGCCATGACTCCCATGTCGATGAGGACCCTTTGAGCGAAATGGGTTACGCAAGACGGAGACTGGACTGGTTGCCAGGCCGGAGGGAGGTACTCGATGGAGACACGGAGACAGGTAGCGGGTACATTTGGATGGGAACTTGGGTGCTTCCATCTCCATCGCAGCGTCTTCGGCCTATCTCTAGGTACCTTGGTAGAGCTCTCAGCCGCTCACTGTATTGGGCATGCTCCATGCGGGTAGATTCCATCCAATGTCTGTTGCTACCTTACTCTTTGCTCTTGGCCATCATTACCTGTACCTTTAGTAGTAGTAGGTAGGTAAGTGCCAACAAACTTATAGAACATTACAGTGTTGTGTCGTGCAATCTCTACCAAGCGGTACTCAGTCAGTCTAGTATAAGCCTCCCGTGGATGGCAATTGTTGCCACGGGTACGGAGGCACACCAGGCATTTGCCATGCATGCACGCACTGACACGTACTGACGTATACAGAGAGATTCTGGTATGTGCACATGTGCGTCTGCAGCCTCACTCCGGAGTACCAGTACAGGCAGCACGAGTACCGGGTACCTTCTTGCAAGTACACACCCCTGCTCGCTCCGCCCCCTGTTCGGTTGGTTCTGTTCGCAATTCCCGCCAAGCACGCCCGTGCGAGAACCTGTCGACTGGTACTGGGTACCGGCAGCCCATACTCGTAGGACAAGCACCCGCACGCACACATGGCGCATTTGGAAATATGGATATGGATGGATGGATGCCCTTCTGCTTCTTCACATCGTGCTGTACGTGTACACCCCCGGAGCTGCCACCGCGACCCTGAATGGGGGGCTAGGCAAAACCCTGAGTACCTACCTACCTTAATAAAAACAAATAAAGACACAGTAAAGTCAGAACGAGCAATAAGGATAAAAACGGGCAGCGAGGGGTGGGAGGGAGTGCCAGATCGGTCATGTCCCCTTTCACTCTCGCAGCCCTCTAGCATGGCCATCCCGGTCCCCTGCTCCCGGGGCCCTTTTCTTCTGCCCTTTCCCCTCCCCACGATATACAAGTAGCTGGTGATGGACCATTTCAGAGGCTCGATGCTGTGCTGCTTGTCCCTACTCGTACTGCACTGTAGTGCCTTTGCTTTGCAGAAGCCATTGTTATGTATCGTACCGCAGTGCCGTGCATGTACTGTACAGTAGGTATTCATACCAGACAGAGCACGATACCGACTAAGTGCGTGGGTACTACCTAGGTAGCAGTGCCAGATGGGCCAAGGATCTCCGAGTACAGTAGCGCTGCTTGCTGTAGATATTTCCCAGCGTCAGCCGTGATAGCGCCATGCAACCCGAGACCGGCTGGGTGGGCTACGACTACATGTATTCTGCATGTCCGGGAGGGAAAAGGGAAAAAATAAAGAACACCAAAGAATGAATGAATGAAAAATAAACACCAACGCAAGGGACGGAAAGCGAAGGGGAAAACACATGGCTCTGCATCTGTCAACGTCTCGGAAGGCTGCACGTCGGCTGCGAAACCTGGCGATGGGGTGGTTATGGATTGATTATGGTATCCATTGAATGGATTACGGGTTCCGCGAGATGGGGATTCGGACGGAGCAGCCCGTCCGGCGGTCCCTATCTCGACAGCTGTGGACGTCCATACTCCGTACCTGCTCCAATATTGCTCACTGCTCACCTAAGGAGTACCAAGTGCCTATTCACATCAATCTCTGCTAGACCATCCAAGCTGACCATCCAAGCTTTGCCATCTGGCGCCCAGGGAGTTGCCAAACGAAGCCGTCTTGTCTGGTTGTCTGCCTTAGCTCTGATACCTGATACCTGATACCTGATACCTGATACCTGACACTCTGACACAGGGCCGCGTTGTGTTGTGTTGTGTTGTGTTGTGTTGTGTTGTGTTGTGTTGTGTTGCGTTGTGGACAAATGCGAGGTCGGGTGTCATCAGCAACGCTTCTGGCTGAGGCGCCACGCCAGAACCGCGGTGGCGGGGCCTCACAATTTGGAAAAAAGAAGATCAATGCCAGTGACGCCATAGCAGAGACCCCTTAAGAGGTGCCAGCAAAGACATCCACATTGTACCCAGTACCAGCCATCGCTGCTGGGGGCGCCGGCATGGCACGTGTTACCCCCGGAGAGGCACGTCTTCGCACGGTAGAGCATCGCCATAGTAGCTGCAACAAATACAGTGCCTTTATAGATGTGACAGCACGGTACTGCGGATACCCGCCGGGAGCAGCCAGTAGCAGATACACGACAGGCGCTCAATCCCTGGCCCTCCTAAAGCACAACCCATGCCTCCGTCACCATCGCCAAAGTACCAAAGTACCAGTGGACTCGGCTGCCCTCCCCACTTTCTCGTCCTGCGCAGTCCGATTTTTTCTCTCTTCTTCTCATCCATCCCCTCTCTGGCAGATTAGCTTGCCTGCCCGAGGGCCTTGTCAGAAGACGGTTGGACAGATATGCTGCCATCCATTACGAGCTTCACGAGTGATCAGCGCTGTTTCTGCGCCAGGTAGAGCACCAAGAATGCACCAATACCAAGGGCGGCCTCGGCGGCAGTGCTCACCCCAGACAAGGCCCTTGGCATCTAACTGCAATGCTCTGTTCCGTTCTGCCCTGCCTGGCTTGGCTTCCCGCGCAAATCTCACAGCTCGCTCACCTCGATTAGTTTCCCAACGTCATGCCCTGACTCATTACTAATCCGCTGCCCAAGGTTCAGGGTCGATGGGATAGTGCCATGGTGGGCATCCGCTTCAACTACGCGACTCCTAGCTCCCCGGAGTGCTCCGTAATCTGGCAAATTTTCTCTACCTCCACTCTGCACGACGCGATAAAAGACACCGGTCAACCGCGGCGTCGCAGCCGGTGATGCTGGTCTCCATCCCGCGCGTCAAGAAGGGGGGTGGACTGGCATTGAAGCCTTGAGGGAAACGACGTGATGGAGCGTGAGGCGCCTCTTTTGCTCCTCAACCCCTGCCCGGAATCGAGTTGGTGCCTCACCCAACGCTCTTGGAAACGAGCCTTGCCCGGACAGGCAATCTCCCAGAAAATGAGCTTGACGTCGGCCCCGCCTGATGTCATGGATCGGCCGCCCTCGTCCAACAGAAATGCCCAAAGCCGCCGCTCCACCACTCCCGCCCCAACCGCTTCATGGAGCGCCAGAGCCTGCGTGACTCGCAAACCCCTCGCTGCCACGGAGCTCTCTCCCAAGGTACACAGTGCGCCGTCTACCCGCTGCAACTTGTTTCCGGCGTCACAAGTCCTTTTCAGCCACGAGCTGCATCCGAAATCGTGAGCTGCCTTCCCTTATTGATGCCAAAGATTCAGCTGTTCGCCCCGTCACTATCGTGTCCGCCTCACCTCAAGGGCTAACGTGACTTGATGGCAGACCAGGTTCGCCTCGGCACTCATCATGAGTCCCGTTTGCAGTTCGTCAGGGTTCACGAGCGATGCCGTCTAAGCTGGATGCCTCACGCCAGCTATGGGGGTGCGAGCACATCAGACGCCCTGGCCCCGAGACACCTTCCCAAACCATAGCTCAGACTTCTTACGGGGGTGTCTTTTTTTTCCTTCTCTTCTTTAATTCTTTTTTCTTTTTTTTTCTTTTTTTGCCTTCTTTCTTTTTTAAGAAACGATGGGGACATCCTATCCGCAGCTATTTGATGCCTGACGCTGCGCTTGTTGATTATGCCTCACTCATCACCGGCTGCCTGCTTGCCTAGCCGCCAAGCATACAGACAGTAAACTGCTGTTACCATTCTCTCCACCGCGGCACCGCCGTCGTGATGATTGCTGCGGATCATTTACTTCGTCTGCCTGTTCGTTCGTGATGCTCAGTTTCGCTTTCCGTTGCCAGCCCCGTCGCCGGTATGTCTCTTTCGTATTAGCCCAGGGCTCTCTCCTGAGCCATGCCGCCATCATGCTTCAGTCCTACTTTTTAATCACGGCTCGCCAAACAGCCCTCTACGGATCGACAAACCTTGGGTGAACCGCCGTGTGTACCTTTGTGTCCAATCAGGTAATGCTCGTACAACCAACAAACGCTGGTTTTCCCCTCATAGTGTTTGTTGATCGGCCACCTCCACCCACCTCTTCTCACAGTCTCTTAGACGACAAGCTGCGCGCCGTGGTTCGGCTTCCCATTGATCCTCACCGAAAGCACAGCCCTAGTTGTCGTTCCCGCCTATCAAACCCTAGACTTCCCCATCGTCATACAAACAGCTAGAGAGGCGTGCAAGCACAGCATCCTTTTTGGCGGTCCTCGTGACAATGGCCAGTCTATGCGGTGGAACCACACAAGAAAAGTCTTGTTTCAGCGACTCTTTGGCGGCGGCTCTGCCCACGTCTCGCTTTGCTGACTGTTACTAAGTCACCTTGTTGCTTTCGCCATGGACTGGGCATCGGCTTGCCTGAAGAGCTCATGGTATCCATTCAACTGAGGCTTACTCCGTACAGCTGGTTGAATAACTCGTCAAGCTCGTGACGCTCGTGGTACGACTGCCAAGGCCTCTTGGATGCCGGCTTCCCTTCATCATCTGGTCAAGCAGCACTAGCTGCCGCAAGTTGATGTCCGGCTCGTTGCCCGTCCGAATGGTGTCCGGGGGGGCCGGCTCTCATCTGCCCTGGAGAAGAGCAAAACAAGCGACAAGCTGAAAATCTTATTTGACTGACTGTGTCCAGACTGTGGTCCCGTCTCAAGCCACGTCCTGTTGAGCCATCCCGCCCGCCCTTGCTGGTTTGTTAGTGTGTGGCCTGGGATAGGTTAGGGTCAACGTTGTACTACGGGCCGTTTACAATCCATCGTGTAACGCAAGAGCTGTCGTCGGTTCGCGATGAGAGGTCGCCCTCTTAGCTGCTGGACCACTTTCCAAAGGTTACCTGCATACGCCCACAGCTCTAACCATCCGCGATTGGCCTACAGGGTTGTGATGGAGGCAGGAAGCATGCACGACGATAACAGTCACACTGCCCAGTCACCATCAAGGGGCTACCGGCAGCAAACCAAGGGGTTCGTAGGTGAGGGCCGTGTCGGCGCTTGACAATGGCTACGGTCCACAGCCACATGCTGCGTGCCTATCTGGTGAAACGAGAATGTGAAAAGAGGTGAGGTGAGGAAAACCCCGGATGGCTTGCCGTCCATTATTCCTTCCAACCATCACCAGCACCCCTCATCCAGTTCAGACCGACCAGCTGTAGCTGATGCTTCTTGACAAACGTGACTGGATCGAATGAGCGTCTTTGTACAAATTCCTCGCCTCCAACATCCTCTTTCGTGAGAACCAAGCCGTGGGGCTCGCGGAAGAGCAAGAACAGATACCGGTGTGGTTGAGAACTTTGCACGACATATCTCGCTTAGTAATTCGTACGACAATTCCATATTTTCGAAAATGTGCAGAGGAAAAGCAGAACGAGAGGATATGAATGGAGCCCATTTGGTTCTCGGCTAAGGGGAGAGCCGGGTGCCACATGATAGGGGCAGCCATCAAGAGACAAATCCACTCTCCTACATTACCACCCACCTCACGGAATCGGACGACGGAGTAATAGGTAAGATAGGACGCGGGCAGAAGAAGCAAGGAGGGGGTGGGCTGCAGCATGACAGGACAAAAGGGCAGAACCTAGTTGGAAGAGACAAAGAGGAGAAAAACGACTTACTCATCCTTGGGTCCCGGGGCGAGATACTCTGTGAGAGGCTGCTTCGTCTGGGCGACAACGCCGTCCGCCTGGGCCAATGGCTTCAATCCTGGCAGAACCCAATGGCGCCAAAAGGCAAACTTGGGGTCATCTGGCGTGGGTGCATCGGGATCGACAAGGAGCAGCATATAAGATGCGTCTCCCGATGAATCCCCAGCCTATATATATGTGTGTGTGATGGAAATCGTCAGGACTCTAGCTCAACAACTCCATAGAAACAACTTTAAAAACAAAATGGAGTAGATACGATATGCCTCGCACGAAGAAATAAAACCAGTACTGGTACTAACCTCGGCATCAAACGAGACAAAGGGAGCCAGCTTGACCTCGTTGACTCGAAACAGATTACCCAACTCGACATCCCGTCCGCCGAATGAGATGCCCAGTCGAGTGGCCGGCTTAAAGTCCCCGGGGATGAGTGCCTCTGCAGAACCAGGCACAAGGTTTGCCTCGGCCAGGGAAGTTGACAGCGCTTGCGCAAGGTCGTCGAGGGGTGTTGCCGCCATGGCCCTGAAAGAGAGGTGGTCTGGCTTGGATTGGGCTTGTAAGCGAGAGAAATTCCGAGATCCCCGGGAAGAAACTGGTCGCAGGAGATTATGACGGGGGAGGGATGAAGCTGGTCAAACAATAATACAGTGACGGGGGGAGAGAAGCAACTCAAGGATAGGCCGAAACTTGATAGGATATGAGAGGACGTGCGACGTGAGGAAACAGGGAGGGTAAAAGGATGAATGAGGTTTTGACTGTTTTTTGCGTGCCCCCCCGCGATATTAAGGTGACGGGAAAGACGATGTGGTTTTAGTCTTGAAGATCGGGCTTGGCGATATCTGACTGGTGGAATAATTGGCTCTCTCCTTGACGCGGAATGCTAAGTACTATTCAGATTGGTCTTTTACAACGCACACACACACACACACATACACAAGAAAGAAAAAGGCCAACGGAAATTTACTACGAGAGGTAGTTGGAGAGTTGTTGCCCATTGGCTATGCTGAAATGACGAGCGTACGTTGATTGAGCCGCACATGAGAAACCCCGTGTCAGAAGAGAGAGGGGCTCCGTTACTCCAGATCCCGTCTATCCTACCGAATTGCTGTGCTCCTCTCGGATTGGCAAATTTCGAATTCTCAACTTTTTTTTTCTATCTGAGTCAGATTAACAGTGTCACCTACCTGTCCCGGGTGTTATTTTACTCTTTCACATTCGGAGCACAAGGGAGGGTTTAAAGTTGACAGGCGTCGACTGGCTGGGGTGATGTGGCCTATTATTAGAGCCCTATTCTTTGGCGGCAGAGTCTTTTTTTTTTTATTACATCCGATGGATGGGATATGATATATAATGTACAGTACGGAGTACAGGTGATAAACATGCATTGCAGTCGTCCTATCCGGATGGAGCTTACAGGCACACCCTGAAAGCGACAAGTCAACATCACAGGACACAGGCAAGGGGGAAGCCGATACCGGACATGACTGATGATAGTATCGCATCTTGTCTCAGCTTGCAGAAAGGAAATATTTTTTTTGTATGAAAAGTGAAATACTACTCCGTATCAGGCGCTGTCTCCACATGGGGAAAATCTGGGGTCTACCTTTTCTACACTGCCGGAGACACATCCGTTGTAATAAGTAAGGGGGGAACGGTGTAGAGTGTAGTCAAAATGGTGCATCTACACCACTTTGCTTGCTACGTCGACGAAGTAAACGCTTAGACTAAATACACCAAAACATCGTTTTCAAGCTTGCTACGTCGACGGAGTAAATGCTTAGACTAAATACACCAAAACATCGTTTGCAAATATGTCAAGTGCCGGTTCCGTACACGGCCCATTGGCAACACACTCCATTACCTTTACAGCACGCAGAAAGGCAACCCAGACAAAGTAAAGCTCAGCAGGTGACCCCAAGAAATCGCTGAGGAAATCCGAAATAGAGTTGGCCAACCTGCGGGCATGCATATCACCACTGCCAAGGTTCCAAAGTTCCTTCCGGGTGTCCATAATCTCGTCGAAGAACCTAACCCACGTCTCCTCAACGATGGCGGGGGTGATGATAATCAGGTTCGACTTGCCCTTTGAAATGCTGTCTGTCGTAGCGGCACAAGAAAGCCAAAAGTCGATGGACGCTAGCTCCAAGATGCGATGTCGCTCCAGGACCTGAGATGCTGTGCTTGTTTCTACAGTGGACATGCGAGCTTTGTGTACGGAGTTTAAAAGCGTCAGTTGTGGCAGGCGTTCGTCTTCCTTGAATGCAGAGTGTCGGACGAGCGAGTGCGTTGCCAGGCCTCTGACTCCGCCCCGCGCATTTATCGCGTACGGGGGCCAAGTATGTTGGCCCTCTCTGAGGTGAAGCCACAAATCTTCCAAGATTAAGGGGCCGGGAAACTCGGCGTAGATGATCTCGTTGCTGTTGCTGTCAACGGCCGACCGATTCGCCTTGGGCTGCGCCAACCGAACCGTTTGTGACAAGCCAGCGAGACCGATATCTACCAGCATGCCAAGGACGTCGATGCCGAAATTATACCAGCCCCCTCCCCACGGTGTCGCCCAGCACCCAAGTTCAATGTCAATCTGGGACGCCCAGTAAAAGGTGAGCTTTGGCGGTTCCGGGTTGACCCAGCGCGTTTTGCTCGAGGCATAGGCCCTTGTCTGTTTGTACCGCCAATTGCGCTCCGAGCCGGGGCTACTTTCACGGTGGCGGCTGGCGCTGCTAGAGTCCTCGTACCTACTTGAATTCTCTCTGCGGAACCGGGGACGGAAGTCGGGACGGGGACGGAGGACGGGGCTGGGACTTGTAGAGCCACCGTTCCTATTTTCTCTGTGAACCCGGGGAGGGGAGAAACGGCGGCGGATGCGGATGTTGGGGCTTCTAGAGCCACCGCTCCTCTCCTCTCTGCGGAACCGGGAAGAGGAACGGCTGCTGAAGCTGGGGCTACTGGAGTCACCGTTGCTGTAGTCTTCAACTGTCGGGCGTCGATATTGCATTCGAACTGGTGATGGTCTCTCAAGTACGCGTACTCTCGACCCGTTGATCCAAGATTCTCCAGGAACCCCGTCTTCCACCCCTGTCAGCGCAGGGTGCTTCATTGCATTCCACAAATCTTGTATTCGTATTAGTGCAGTTTGATTCGCTGGATCCATAAAGCCTCGACTACTAGGAAAGTATCCATCCCTCTCCATCGTATTTTGCACTTGTGGAAATAGGTCCAGAGATATATCTCTGCCGGGTTCAGGCGAGTCGGCACGTGTGATACTCTCTGTCGGGTCGGTATGTATAATGCTCTCTGGCGAGTCGGCATGTGTAATACTCTCTGCCGGGTTGGCACATACAATGCTCTCTGCTGGGTCGGTATAGATAACACTCCCTGCTGGATCGGCATATGTAATGCTCTCTAGCGGGTTGGTATGTATAATGCTCTCTACTGGGTTATTATGTATGATGCTCTCTGCCGAGTGGGCATGTGTAATGCTCTCTGCCGATTCGGCCAGATAGGCCTCGGTCAGACTAGCTGAGCCCTCTAGAGCCCTAGTTGCATATTCTGTGATGTTATCTGTGTCTGAACGGATCTGTTGGTCTGTCCTTTCTTTGATAATAGGCTCCTGGGAAGGTGACTTGAGATGCGACGCTGTTGCAAGTGGCCATGGGTGGTAGTCCCCTTCAGCAATCTTCAAAAATATTTTAAACAGAAGTTAGCCAATTGAATCACTTCTGGTGTCCTTTCAAGGGGCCCAGGTATTGGATGTCTATGCATCTTACCTTGAAAATAGTTTTCAAATGGCCTTTACGCACAACCTTGAGCAGGGGTTTCCATGACTTGGGGGCCACCGCCTTGTTCTCTGGGCCAAGGATGATGTAAGGAGCTGTTGCGATGCCTTTGCTTTCGAGAAACTGCACCAAATCCTATCACGCGACACTATGAGTCAGTACCAGCCCCGGTTCAAGACAAGAAAGCATCGGTGAGTGAAACACTTGATAACTCACTCGCCATGTTGAACATTCATCTGCAGGCACAGTGTGTTCTTTCCCTTCGAGATCGACAAACTTGAGTTGTAATTCTCCTGCTTCTTCCCCCTTCCCTCTCGTATCACTATCCTCAAATATAAGTGGGATTCGTGTGGAATTCGTGCGCCATCTCATCATGGCGGACGCATGAGATCGCCTTTTCGGCCCATCAAATTGTTGGTTGGCAACAGATGCGATACCGATGAGCCGACGGAGCCAAGATTTACTGATATCGCCCGTCTTAGGTCCTTTGATGTGGGGTGTTGTCGAAAACGCGGAGAAATGAATGAGGCGGCCGAGGATCGGGTGGTCACTACTCTTGATGAAGCCAAACGGCCCGCTCATCTCGATATAGTCGTCGTTGGCTTCCTGAATGTTCATGCCGATCATCAAACCAAGAGCGATGATATCCCGCAGGCTCACTTGCATGGGCACCACCGGGATATCGGCGGGGAGCCGGTCCGCATCGCCAGCCATGAGGCCGACGCGGACGGCAGAGGGACAGACATGGCTGACTTGCCTTGCAAATGCGACCCAACAAGCTTCAGAGTGGTTGTGTATTGCACTCTCCGTGTCCGTATTTACAGAAGGGGGATCAAAGGGGGCCGGTAAGGTGGTTATTCGATGGGTGGGAAACTGTCGTGCATTGCCCGGCTTTTCCCAGTACTCGGTGGGTATGAAGATGTTGGGCACGTCGAAGACGATGCGGAATCGAATCTGGCGCCAGAGAAAGACACGACGGCCGGCATAGCCAGGCATGGGCCCCCAAACCGACCTTTCGCATTTCTTCATATCCTGTGCCGTAGCGGCGTATTGCTGCGCGGCTTGGGCGAGTGCAACAACCAAGGCGAGCAATGCAGCTGCCAGAGCCGCCCACGCCGCCATAGTCCCCGAATCCGCCATGATTGCAAGAGGTTAGAGGCAACGTTGTATGATAGAATGGAAAGCAATATTCTAAAGTATTCTAAGGAAAAGGATCGATTAAAAGGCACGATGTGAGTCAAGGCCAGCCTACATTTTGAGGTGTGTCACGATAAATCCCACAGCCTCGTGCGGCTGAAAGGACTGTTAGGCAGGACATATTACCTGCAGTACAGCCCACATACCCTATGAAACCACAGAACTGCGTCTTCAGAGAAGAATTTCCAGTTCCCAAAGTTGTTGGCTAGGTGTTGGATTATGAAGCTAAAGAAACTCCGTCTACAAAACGTCAAGATGGTCGATCTACCCAACCATTTTCACGTAAATCTGTAGCTAAGCATACTTTATCCAGGACGGGTATGCAAGCCAATTCACCGTATCGATTCAAGAATATATTACAATCCACATCTCATAGTAGAACAAGTGTTTGTTTGATGTGGCTACGCGTGCTTCAATCTTTCATCCTCCCGGGACCCACGCCGGGCCCTTTGGGCACATCTCGAAGTTTTGGGCTTGTGGTCTGGGGAATCCTGGTTCCCCAGGTGGGGCCTATCTCGAGAGGGCAACTGAGGATTTGAATCGGGGCATTACTCGTGTTGGCGATATCGGATGTAGAGTAGTACCTTTGTTTCCTACGCCCCTGCTCTCCTACATGCGATATCTGATTTAGAATCGTGGCAGAACTGCGGACTGATGAGGTCCACAGAGTGTCTGTCTTGGGGAGTTTGAAACAAGACATGCCGAGACGGTTGATTCGTCTGCCGGGTACCCCATTTCTCCTACTGATAAAGTACATATGTACTGCTATCCCTATCCATGTGCAGGCATTTATATATACACTCCTGTCTCATCACACAGTACCTAGACATCGTCATATCATCATCATTTTTTGTCGTCATCAAGTCATCAGTCATGCAGACCGGTCTGAGAATGTGCTGTCCAGCAGCCACCGTCCTCACAAGTCTTCAAACTCAAACTTGACAAGAAGCGTACAATCCGTCTCCTTGCCCTTGAGGTCCATCATCCTGATAAAGGTCCACCCGGGAGAGGCATACGACAGGCGAACGGCCACGGCGGCGAACTTTGGGTTCCTGGCAAAGCTGTCGTCGCTCTTGATGAGCATGCGCAAGAAGACTAGCTCGTTGTCCTCGTACTCCCACTCCAGCGTCTCGTCCCAGACCGGGTCCGTGGCGTGCGGGTTCTCGCCACGGTGGAGGAACCCCAGCTTGTGGTGCTTGTAGGGCGACGTCTTTCGCTTGGGGGGCTCTTCATTGCCGGCGTCGAGTGGGCTGTAGAGCGTACACGTCAGGTACGGCTTGATCGAGTCTCGCTCCCTGTCCTCGTGGAGAGGCACGTCGGTGGCTCCGGCGACGTGGACGCGCAGCCTCCTCATCCGACCCGTGGCGAGACGGCCGTCGCCGCCGGCGCGCAGGGCCGCAGGCTTGAGGATGTAGCCGGCAGAACCGTTGAACAGCGCATCGTTGAGCTGGTTGCTGGTGCTAAAGGTCTGCCAGTTGAGGGCGCAGATCTGGGCGCCGATGCCCCAGAACTTGACGGGATGGAGGTTGGACGAGGAGATGCGGGTGCCCTTGGGGAAGACACGCATGAGGTGGCGGGCGTTGTGACGGGCGATGGGGACGGCGTGCCGGGGGAGGTGCGAGGACAAGCCAGACTCGGACACGTTGATGAGGTGGTGATGCGGGCCGTTGACCAGCTGCCCAGGATCATACCACGAGTTGTCCTTGGGTTTCACCGACTGAGCGTAGACTCCCAGCTCGGCTAGCTCTGGGACGATGAGAGTGGAGGAGGATGACGCCGCCTGCTTCTTGTCCTTGTAGGCGCGGCGGGCCAGCCTCTCGCCTTCGTCATCCGTCTGGTCGTCGCTGGAGTCGCCGCTGTCCGAGGCCTCGTCGGGCAGATGGAACTCGACAATGACGGAAATTTTGGGACCCAGATCGTCGAGCGTCACATGTTCACCGCTTCCCTGTTGCTCGCGGGTGCCTTTGCGTCGAACCGGCTCGCTTATGAGGCGGTGACCAAAGACTTGCCTCATGATGTGGACGAGACGGAGCTGCCCGCGCGGCCCGCAGTGGTTTTCCAGCGACAGCAGGATGGGGGACGCGGGATCGCCAGCCTGGCCCGCGGCGAAGTGGCCGGCGGCCTGCTCGCGGTCGTAGACGTCGCGGATCGCCTCGCACACGGAGCGGAAGGGGATGTGCGACACGAGCGTGTAGCCGTGCGTCACCTTGGGCTCGTCGTCGTTGTCCGGGTCGTCCCACGCGTCAATCTCGACGCACCGCGAGCCCGTCGTCAGCGCCGTCTCGTACGCCGACACGGACGACTTGCCGTACAGCTGGTTGGCCAGCAGGTACGTGTTGTGGCTGGAGCTGACAAAGTACTCGGGCAGAGGGTATCGCGGGTCGAGCAGCTGCGCCGGCGCCTCGAAGCTGCGCCGGCCGAGCAGCTCGCGCAGGGCCGGCGGCGAGTCGCGCGAGTCGAGGCCGGCGTCGCGCTCCGAGAGGACGTCGTTGGAGACGAGAAACGATCGCAGGGCGTGGCTGACTCTCAGCTGGGCCTTGTTGTGGTCGGATTTGCGCGAGAGGTGGCCGGGCTCGGGGGCGATGAAGTCGCCTTTGTCGTCGTCGTCGTCGTAGTTTTGCTTGAACGGGTTGAGGCCGGCTAGGCGGGATGTGATGTCGGCCATCTTCTTCTGTTATTTATACTGAGATGAGTGAGGTGGGGTCGTGAGAGGTGAGTGAGTGTGAGCCGTGGCGTGATTATTCAAGCTTGATGCTCGACACGACGCTGAATCGCCGGTTCAAGACTATGGTTTTGAGATTTGGTTGATCCAAGAGGTGAAATGCTATAGATGATCCTGAATTCGATGATTATAATCGTGTAAATGAGATTGATGTTGGGTCATAAAGGTGTCGAGTTGGTGTTTGAGCTTTATCATGGCGGGGTAAATGCCATTAGCATAGCCACTCTCATCATCAGACCAGCAAATGCAATGCGCCGCCTAGTCATGGATCCCATTTTGACGCATGGACCGAGTTTGGCTATAAGTTCAAATCTGAGAGTAGTAATTTGAAGGGAGTGGCTGAACATTGTAAACTTTGATGGTATAACAAGCGCAGGATCTAAGATCAGATCGGGAATCTTTGTCGTAGGGTAACTCAAACACAACTCTAATAATACAGGTAGGTACCTAGCTTGCACGACATTTGCGCGGAACAGACATGTACGCGTATAAATCAAATGGTATAATCAACTCTGGAGAACTCTCTACCAAGGCTAGAACCTGTATAACACCCAGTTGTCCTCGCCTACAATGCTCTTGTAGCCGCCTTCTCCCATCGTGCAGATGATCGGCATGTTCAAGTCTTTATTGCCCAGCCAGACCCAGTACCCTTCACCGTGGCCAGAGCCCTTGAGCGGCCTCCAGTGCCGCTCATATTGACCGCGGTGAGCCTGCTCTACCGGGTCGTTGTTCTGAAGGGCCCTGTCTCTCTGGCTCCTATACAGCGAGCTCGGGATGCCGAGCGAAAAGCCCCGTCGCACGTCCGGCTCGAGCCCCAAGACGAAGTCGTCCACGGGGTGCAGTATCTCGTCGAGTCTGTCGATGTTGTTGTCCCAGCGGGTGGAGCCGTTGACCGTCTTGGTCGGGTATATGTGTCCTTGGAGGGAGATGTGCGCCCTTCTGAGGGCGGGAAACGTGGTCGGGATGGCGTCGAGGAATGCGTGGAAGCTGGCCATGTCTGAGAGCGGCGGCTTGACGACTTCGGGGTGGGTGCTGGGGAACGGCGCAAAGTCCCACAGGAGCTCCACTGACGTGATGCTGGAGAGGCGCTGCGGGAGGAGGATGGAGGTGAGGCTGAGGATCATTTCCTTGCTGGCTGTGTGGATTGTGTTTGTGGAGTATAAGACATCGATGCCCTCGAGATAGCTGGCGCAGGAGGAGCAACAGTTAGTAAGTGGGAAAGCTTGATATGCTTGATAGATATATGTGTGTGTATGTGTAAACGACTCACGCTTGCCGACAGCTGCAAAGCCATCCCATCGCTCCTATTTGGCACTTTGTTGGGAACTCGCCAGGCCAGCAAAGACAGGTCGCGTGCCACGGCGACTGGCCGAATCGACAGTAATCCTCCCCGGGCTGGACCTCGTCTTCGGGACGGCGACGAGCTGGTCCGTTCCGATGGCAGACGGAGCTTCGCCAGGCCCATTCCTTTGGTAGCGAGTCGTCTAGCCTGAGATTCCTCATATCGCATGTGTGATGGCCGTTGAAGTTGACGTTGAAATTTCCATGCGCTCGGCCATTCTTCTTCATCATCTCTTCCGTCTGCTCTTCTGGAGGCTGCGGCGGGTGGTCATAGATGAGGTCCATGTGAATCGTCTGGCCGCCAAAGGCTTCCACCAGGATCTTGCGCCGGATTTCGACGGGCAGCTTGGTGAAGAAGGAGCTGTTTGCGGTGGCGGCATTGCAGGCGGCGATGAGGCTCTCGCGGGACGGGGCGGGCGTGAGCGTTCCTCTGCGCCGAGAGGGCAGCGTTGGGTGAGGCGGGATCGGAGGAGCTTCTATCAGCAGCCTCGTGGCCAGCGAGACGGCGCCTCGCTGCTTCTTGCTGCTCCTTGCGACGCGTCGGCGCCGGAACCAGCTGATGAGGGCGTTTGGCATCGTCGACGATGTTCCGGGGGGGGCTATTTTTGCCGTGGGTTTCTTGGTTCGGAGCTCAGCCTATGGTGAAGCATCGGACAGTTTTGGGTTCGCCACGAGCTTGCCATGAGGAAATTAGGCATTAGGCTCCCCTGCATCATGCGCAGTTGATGCGATTCGCTTCCGATTAGTCGTCACATGTTTGTTGATTTTGCCCGTTCAGCTCGGAGGGCAGGGATTGGGTTTATGCGCAGGATCACATGTGTACATGTAGCTAGAGCGCCTTGGCAAGATCGGAAGCTGGACGGGGGAGCGTTGCTTTAAGAGGCTGGTGTCAAATTGTTTTTACTGCTTCTTTTCTCTCTCTCTCTGTGCTTGTCACTGCATTTTTGATCAAACTGACAATTCTTGTCTTGTCTGGCTACTGACAGCGGGTGACCGGGGGTTTCGCTGTTGTGTGTTGTTTTGGGTACCAACAGCATTCATAGAACTTGTTGGACTTGCAGCCCAAAAAATACCCACCAGCTAACAAAATAAAAATAAAAATAAATTAAAAAAAAAATCACTGCCTCGAAACCAAGGCGCCAACGCGACCCACTCTGGACGACCCGCTACCTATTTTAGAAAATTTTCAATGTTTCAATCTTTTTTCCCTTTTTCTCTTCTTCTTCTTCTTCATGAACAACGCAAATAACAACGTTCGGGTTCTTCCACCACTTGACAAAAGTACCTAGTACGAGGTGCGCTTTCGAGCGTCTGCTCACGACTGCTGGGGACCTGAGGAACGAAAACGGAGAAGAAAGCGAGCAATCTTGGGTGCGGTGCTCCCCTACCAAAATGGAGAGGACCGCAATGATTGAGCGTACATGCATGTGTCGTATTACCACCGGTGATTGGATGTTGTAGATGTAAGCTGATTGATGCTTTGTGCAGAACGATGGGAGTTGAACCTGTTGATTCTCACGGGGTGACATTGTTGCGGCTTGCGGCATGTCTTGTCGGATGGCTGAGCCCTGAGTCGTATTTCCCTGATGGCATTCTGCATGTCGTATATCGTTGACAGACTTCATCAATGAGTATCCATACTGCTCTTTTCCCCTACGAATTTACATGCTCTCTTTGCACAAGTGTCAGAGTTCATGTCTCTACGGCGGAATTTTCACCAAGTGGACGAAACTGCATCAAACTCATTGCATCATTCGTTTTTTTGTACGAGGTAAACTATATTACACAACATGAAACCCATAACCATCGTAATCATACCATGCCGGACTGGTCCATGACGACCCAGGCGTGAGGTGTTTATATACCCAATAATAACGGAAATTCGTTTCTTGAGAGAACCGGCTCCCGCCTTCATTATATCAAATTCGTTTCAGGAGAAGTGAAGAAGAAGTGCATCCATGTTGCACATCATTTACTGACTGGTGATGCACTCCGTTGATGTTCTGCAGATGGCATGTCAGCAATCTTTGGGTCAGGAGGTCGAAATGGAGAGGGGAGGGAGGGGACAAACATTTACGACTCGGACATCTAGTACATGCCCTCGATGGCGCTGCGAGCCACGTCCTGGATGAGCTCAACATCGCGCTTGGCCTTCCAGCAGGGCTGGCCAATGCGGTAGCACCACTTCTTCTCGGGAGTCTCCTCCTCGACGTCTCGCTTCTCATCGCCCTCGAGGGTGGCTGCAAGGACGGCCTCGGCGACACGCTTGGCCTTCCAGCAGTCTCCGCCGTTCTGGAAGCACGCGCGCTTCTCCTCGGAGACCTCGTCGCTTCGCTTGGGGATCCAGCAAGGCTCGCCGATGCGGTAGCACCATCGCTTCTCCTCCTGGACTTCGACTTCGCGCTTCTCCTCCTGGACTTCAGCGTCACCTCGCTTGGGGATCCAGCAAGGCTCGCCGATGCGGTAGCACCATCGCTTCTTCTCCTGGATCTCGGCCTGGCGCTTCTCCTCCTGGACTTGGGCTTCGTCTCGCTTGGGGATCCAGCAAGGCATTCCGATGCGGAAGCACCATCGCCTGTCCATCTTGACTTCGACGTCGCGCTTGCCGGGGGCAGTCTCGGTTCCGTTCTGGAGGAAGGCAGTGGGATCCTCGGAGGCGTAGAGGATCAGGGTGGAGAGCTGGTCAAGGCCCTGGATGGCGGACAGAGCAACATCGTTGGGGATGCCCTGGTGCTCGGAGCGAGATTCGAGACCGCCCACGGACTGGATAGCGCTGACGAAGGCCTCGGCCGAACGCTTGATCTTCCAGCAGGGCTCGCCGATGCGGTAGCACCAAGGCTCGGGGTTGGGGGCAGCGAGAGCTGCGGAAGCGAGGACGCCAACGGTGGCGAGGAACTTCATGTTGGATAATGGATGATGGATCTCCGTGGGAGCCAAAGAGAAGAAGAAAGTCGTGGTTTGAAGACAAGAGACTGGCCCGCAGATGGAGAAGAAGGGGAGAGAGATGGAAGAGATGTGAACATTGCAAGGATATATATGTTCCAACTCCGGGTCTGGGGAAGATGCTCTCACTCTCCGCATGTTCTAGACGAAAGCTCAGATCATCGGAGTTGCAAAGTGAAAAGAAAGTCCACTTTCCGTTATTGACCGGCGTTATTGATGGTGCTTGTCAATAAGCCTCTCCGACGCTTTGCTGAAGTGGACCGCTTTCTTCAGTGCACAGGGGCTGGCCATGTCCGATGTTCAGTTGGACTCGAGGATGTTGGTGGAAAGAGACGCTGTTAGTCAACTCCATGAAGAAAGTTTGTTCAACAGACGGCTTTCGTTGTTGTGGATGATTGAGGCTGTAGTCGGTGTGGGTTGTTTCAGGGATATCGGTAAACACGTGAGGTTGGGTGTATGCAGCTGGATATTACAACGGTTTCTTCCCATCTTTGCCAAGAGAATGCCATGAAATCTTCAGTCATTCTTCATGCAACAGACTCACCCCGGGTGCATTGGCGTCAAAGATCATCACCAGGTACCAGCGCAGCCTCGGCCGCCCCTATTGAGCCATTGAGCCATTGAGGCTGAAAAGGCGGCTGTGCCTGAAACCCACAAAATTACGAGACGAAACGAGTTCGAATAGGTTTTACCGCCTGAATACGCTGCTTGTACTGTAATAAGGCAAGTAGATGCAGTAAACTCAATTGCCAGCAAACATATTGCTGGGAAAAGGTGAAGTCCGCGCCCCTTATTGAGGGCTGGCCTATTGACACCCGAATCGGGTAATTGACTTGGGTCGAGACAACGCGCCACAATTGACCGCTTGCTGCGCGGTGCTTGGCCTATGCAAAAATGAATTGTTGTTTTAAGTTGCAGCATTTAATGCAAATTCAGCTGATGTTTATTCATAAAAGATCCCAATTCGATATGTAATGCACGCCTCCAGTACTCACTCAGTCGTGGCGGTAAGTTTTTTTTGGATTGGCCGATTTTGGTCAACAATGATAATAAACGGCGTTACGACCTGGTGGTCCGTTGGATGTGAATACTGCCATGTAATAACTGCAACTTTTTTAATAACGTCCATTTCGCGCGGGTTCTATTTTAAGAATTTATAATTACAAGCTACTGCTGTATAGTCGGCGACTCTTTGCCTTCACTACCTAATTATATCATGTTCTGGCATCGATTCCTTAATATTTGTCACGATCCGCCACACTCAAGACACTCAAATAACTAACCTAATTGTATACTTTTGCAACACTGAAATCTTCATTGAGCATGAACAGTATTATTCAAGGTATTCGATCAACTCAATAAGATTGCCTTCAGGGTCAGAAATATACGCAAATGTAGTGCTAGCGTCGATTTCGTCTGCACCCTCTGTAATCGGCTGTATTATCCGGACACCATGCTTTTGCAACTTGTGCAGAGTCTCATTAAGATTTGGAACTCGAAATGCAAAATGAAAAAGGCCTTGAACAGCTGATGCAGTCAATGACGATGTGTTCAATCGAGTACTGTGTGTCGAAGACGAGAGGGATACAAGTTCGACGATTGCACTTGTTCTTGGATTCTGTAGTTTAACAGACTGAATTGTTTGTGCTTGAGATGAGGAGGGTGTTGTAGGCGGAGTTTCTGTTGGTATTTTCATTGGGCCGACGATCTGGAGAAGGTTGCTGAAGCCCAAGGTTCGATTGTACCAGTTGCGTTGTGAAGCAAGATTTGAAACGGAGATTCCGATATGGTTGAAGTAAAAAGTTGGAGTTGATGGTGAACACTCGGATGCAAAGGCTGATGATAGAAGAAGGATAAAGTATAGAGGTTGGAAAGTCTTCATGTTGGTTGGTTCTTATGAAAAGAAGTTCAATAGAGGTTTCGTAGTGCAGAATAGTTAATAATAGGATGATATAAATATAACAATGCTTTAAATACAAATATCCAGGCAGATTTGGCAAATATTCATGCTATATCCATACTATATATGCGTCATCGTAGATAACTATTCCAAGCTTCCCCTTTTATTCGCAAGGGAGACCATTCGTGTACCCATTGATATAATACCCGCTAATGAATACACGGTAGACAAATAATCTATCATCTTTGTTCAGTATGTTTACTGAAATAAATTAAAACCTTGCTTGATAAGACTTACCGGGTTTATTATAGATGCTAACTCCGTTCTTTTACAAATAATCAACATCTACCGGTATCACTGTAGATCCTATCACCGTCAATTTAGGGGTCGCAATACTTGGGGTTGGCCAAAAAAGGCAAAATTGATCATCCGGGTCCAAAACCGCAGAAATCCCAAAAAGGCAAAATTGGTCATCCGGACTCAAAATCTCAAAAGCTGATAAGCTGATCTTCAAACAACCACTCCGCCGGAAACAGACTGAAATTGCCGGCCAAATTAAACTCCGTTTCATCAGGGCTGCCAGGAAGGGAATCATTTAACGAGGTCACACTCGTTACACATCCTTTATGAAGTGTACCATTTTTAGTCTTGTCTAGGGGGCTGGTGACCTTGGCTTTGCGTTGCGAGCGCAAGGTTGTGATATAATCCGGCTCGGGCGCTGCATCGCTTGGTGGATTGACTGCCCAGGCTTTGAGTGTTAGTCTGCCAACCGCAGCTTGGAACGCTGTCTTGGCATCAATAATCTCAGGGTGGTACGAGTGGATGTCTGCCATTTTGCTCCAGATGCTATTGCGCTCCATGGGTGAAAAGATGCCGACCTTTGCCAGGCTGGTCAGGACACACATGAGCGCATCCCAGAGGAAGACTGCCTTTATTTTCCAACGAAACCTCTTTAGTTGGGGGTTACTGTAGAGTGTGCAGTCGGTATCGAGAATCTTCAGAGCTAGCTCGCAAAGCTGTTTCCTTTTGGAATCGCCAATGGTATGATTCATCAGCGGGGAGATTCGGTTGCGTAGCCGTACCGCATTGGTGGCGGATCTTACGCTTCCAAGTACAAGAAAGTGCAGCGGGTTGATGATATCGCAGTACCGGAGATACTTGGTCTCAATAGTGCTTTCAACCTCGTCGATAAGCCTTTCAAGTTCTCCACTGGCCTTCAGTTGGATCGTACCGCCGGCGTCCTTCGTTTCGACCCCAGTGCGCGTGTACAAGTTGGACAACTCTGCTTTCGTGAGGCAGTAAATCATCTCGGAAGCGCCGTTCAGCTCTTCTGGCTGGTGCGTCATATCAGGGTAGATCTGCGCATCGTTGATGTTGAGCGGTGGTTTAGTGTCCCAGCTGTTAGGCGAGATGGAAATGCCGGTGCCCGAGACTTGACCAGCGTATCCGTCGAGAGGGAGAAGCTGCCAGAACAGTCGCCGCCGCATTTGAACATCATATGGAGATAATCCGAGACCTTCTCCATCGCGATGGAGTCCCATGCGCTGGGCGATGCGGACCGCGATACCGGTCAACATCCAGAATAGGTGAGGATCAGTCTGTGTGCGGATCGAGATGAGAAAGAGCACGTAGGCCTGGATAATTGGCATTTCTGTTGTCTTAAGCCACGATGCGTTGACTAGGGCTTGTCGAACCGCGTATTGGTACTTGGACATTAATTCAATGCGTGGCTGCCCAAATTCGAGCATACAGTCCTCATCCGACATGGAGAATACGGCAAAGTGGTAAATGACAAACAACAAGCACTCGTCCGCCTTTGATGCCATCGATGGTTTCTGAGAGACTGTCTCGACCATTTTCGCTATTGTTGGAATGTGCAAGATTTTGCAAATAGGCTCGACATTCTCAACGTGCGCCATCCAAAGCTTCATCGCGTCCTTGTAGCTGGGATGATAGTGGACAAGAGGCTGCGAGCCTCCAAGCAGCGCACCGCTTATTGGATCCGTTGTGAACAAGTTTGTGCCCACTGGCGGAATAGGTTGGTCTTCGTCTTCCTCCTCTGATAGTTCATGTATGCTGACTGGCCCAGTATTGAGCCAGAGACTGCTGCCAATATACCGGGATTTGCCGTCACCAGAGAGCAATTCGCCGGTCCTTCTCGCCGGAGAGATTGGATCTTGCGTGCTCTGGTGTGTCTGTTTGCCATCGGCTGAAGGGAGAAGACCACTTTCTTGTAAGATGCGCTCATACCGTACCAACCGCTCGTGCACGTCCTCGTTCCGCTTCCGCTTCCGCTTTCGCGGGGGGTTCGGTGCTTGATAGACGCACTCAAATTCGCCTTTGCCGCAGCTTGAACATGACGGGAGAGTCTTGTCACATTTGACCTTTCTGCGCACGCACTGTTGACAGGTGTAGGGCATCGTGCGGTTGGCTTCTAAGTCGTCGTTCCCATACTCACCCGGGGTCTGGTTGGGCGTGGGAGCAATTGCTACAGGTCGAGTACGCATCGGGACACTTGACGGCCGTTAGACACGGTTCGACGATATGGAAATTATTTGTCTTCCTCGGTTCAAATGGAAGAAGTAACGGAGACAGTTTGATGTTCAATGAATGTGGTACGGATGTCGTTACGGAAGACGGAACGGGCCCGAAGTAGATCCATGGCTCCGATTGGCTGGTGGCATCAAGTCCATCCAAGGAGTTCTTTACGGAGTTAAACGTTATATAAGAGCACTCAGAATGCCAGCAGAGATGAGAGAATTAATTATTCTACGATAGTTTATTTGAAAAGAGTTTCGACTACAATGAGTCAAAAACCGTTAGACTTGGAGGCAGCAAAACCATCTGCTGAAAGCATCAATGATCCCAATGTCGTCACCTGGGATGGACCACAAGACCCAGAAAACCCAAAGAATTGGCCAACCAAGATCAAATGGCGATACACGGTAGCCGTGTCTCTCTTTACATTCATTTCCCCTGTTTCCTCGGCCATGATTGCGCCAGCTCTATCCAAGTTGGGCGAAGATCTCAACATGAACAGTAGACTTGAGATAGAGTTGGCACTTTCCATCTTCATCCTGGCGTACGCCGTCGGTCCATTATTCTTTGGGCCTGCATCTGAACTTTACGGTCGTGTACGTCTGCTACAGCTTAGCAATATATGGTATCTGGCATGGAATCTGGGTTGTGGCTTTGCACAGAACCCGGCCGAGTTATTCGTCTTTCGCTTTCTAGCTGGGATCGGCGGGAGTGCTCCTCTTGCTCTGGGAGGAGGTGCTATTAGTGACACATGGAGCGCTGACGAACGCGGCAAGGCCATGGGAATCTACACTCTCGCACCGCTCCTGGGTCCGGTTGTTGGGCCGATTGCTGGGGGCTTCATTGCCGAGTATAGCACATGGCGTTGGGTGTTCTGGTCATCTAGCGTTGCGGCAGTGTTTATCCAGGTCGTAGGTTTACTCTGGCTCCGCGAATCACACCCAGGCACATTGTTACGAAGGAAGCGAGATTGTCTTGTGAAAGCTACAGGAAACCACAAACTCCACACTGGGAATGCCGAGCCGGAAACTCTTGCCAGCAAACTTGGTGGAGCTGTGGCACGACCAATTCGCATGTTCACGACCCAGCCCATCATCACGGTCATTGCGTTTTACATGGCCTATCTCTTCGGGACGCTGTATCTGATGCTAGCCACCTTCCCAAGCATTTGGACGGAATGGTATGGCGAGAGTGTGAGTATAGGTGGGCTAAACTATCTCTCTATTGCCATTGGCTCTTTCACGGGTCTTATTCTCAACTTCTTCTTCATCGACCGAATTTACCGTCACCTCAAAACAGAAAACAACGGTATCGGTCGGCCCGAGTTCCGAATGCCAACCATGTTCATCGGATCGATCATGGTCTCCGTCGGCCTGTTCTGGTATGGTTGGAGCGTACAGGCGCGGCTACACTGGATCATGCCCAACATCGGTGTCGCCATCTGCTCGGCAGGGACCATGGGATGTTTGCAGGGCATGCAGACTTACACCGTGGACAGCTACCCGACTTACGCGGCCAGTGCCATGGCTGCGTGTGCGCTTCTCCGCAGCCTGGCCGGCTTTGGATTTCCTCTCTTCGCTCCGTACCTGTACAGAGACCTAGGTTATGGTTGGGGGACCAGCGTTCTCGCCTTTATTAGCATTGGCGTGGGTATTCCGGCGCCTTTTCTCTTTTGGGTTTTCGGAGACAAGCTGCGAGCTATGTCGAGATATGCTGCAAACTGAGAGCCAAAGGGCGACACACAAACTCCATGCTATCGCGGCACACGACAATGTGTGATTGGATGGTTCTGCTGTGAGGCGGCTGTAATAGGACTATTGTAGTCGGACAAAAAGGGTTCGCAGCATGATTGCTGGGTGTGCAGTAATTTGAGAGCCATGATATAGATAGAACGGTATTCCTATTGATTCATAACGTATACATATACACAACGATATACATACACGTTTATTTCTTCATTCGTTTACCAATTGAAGCATGATGGCTATGAATGGCGCCAGACACGAATTTCACGTGGGGACAAAGAACAGGGCAGGCAGATCTACAGCTAGAATATGAGCCAGAACAAACTCAATGCGCGATAGACTACATTCATTCACCGCCTTTACAAGTTTGCACAGGTTGCTTTGAGTTGGTGTGACACAAACCGAAGAAATGCTCCCCCCTGGCACGGTAAGATACCCTCGAGGTGGAGGCTGAGGTCTTGGGAGTCGGGGCACAGAGCAGCTGTCACTTCTTCTATGTACCACCCGACGTTCCGCATCAGAGGTAGTTCTGAGACAGTCTGTCTCGGAATGACATGTTAATCACCAGACGGTGAGACATAATTTGGGATCGTGGGGTAGACTGAACCAATCAAAAAACTGGGGTATGTGGAAAATCAGGGCGGCTGTAGCCGTTGGTTGTCTCAATTTTTATTGCGGTCAGTTTGCCAGTGGACGGTTTGTAGATGACTGGCGAGAGAATGGGGTTGCGATTTTTGTGTACGTTGGTTCGCTGTTTGATGTAGGTAGAAGTACAGTTTAATGACTTGATGTGATCTTTATGGATGATTCCAAGTATTAGATATGGTAGGACTAGAATAATTGTCCATGCTCTGTAAAGTTTCTTTCTGCAGACTAAGGGTTTTGTAGTTGTGGCTAATACAGTGCAAACTTCACTTCATCGTGGTGTATTGTTTCAAAACGGCCGTCGCAAGTTCCGCTAATTTTTGGATCAAGTAGCACCATTTGTCGCATAAGAGAGCACCATGGAACCCTTGCATAACCTTCAACCTCGGCACCTAGAAACAGCATCGCAGTAGAAAGACGTGGTATGGCACTCGCGAGTAAATGGCAGTGGTGAAATACACTAATCAAGAGGTATACTGTCCAACGATACACAGTTGTAATTTTTTAAACTTGATCCGTAAATGGCTCCAGCTGATAGCCTTCTAAAAAGAGCACATTCATAGTGGGCTTGATTTAGAGCGGTGTCAACCTCAAAAGTAAGTCAATCGTTGTTTCTGTTCATGAGTAATATCTCGGCAAGTCATATTATCTCATCAGGCATAATGATCAGGGATATAGCCATATGTCTAAGACGTACTTCATATTAACTCTAATTTAATAAGTCCAAGCAAGGGTTCTGCCGACGCTCTTGGTTACATCTCGGCATAATATGTAAGACAAATTACGTGGTATGAATAAGTTACACAGCTATGTAGTCATATTCTAAGATATACGGAGTACTTTATATTGGCTTCTGAGTCAAGGTAAGGGTCCTGTCAAAGCTCTTGGTTACACTTAGACATGGCATATAAGACAAGTGACGTGAGGACGTCAAGGTCACATGTATAAGGAAACGACTATATAAGTGGCATTCTACTCACTGGAAAAAGGAATCAACAAGTCTGGAAACAAGACCAAGCAAACATCACCTTCAGATAGCAGGAAGCTTATCTGGTGAGACAGCTACTGATAACATATCACGTTCGTTTTTCCGTTCAACTCTCTGACTATATCTCACATCAAATTAGGAATTCGCCGATCGCCATCATGCATTACTGGCCTGTTATTCTCTCCGTCATCGGGATGGTTTCCGTCTCGCAAGCCGCCGAATGTTACGCACAGAGCCATGGCAGTTTCTGTATCAACTACGATACATTGCGGTCTCATGCGTCCGATTGGTGCAGGCAAAACTATAACACGCTGAACGGCAACTGGAACACGTTGACTGATGGCGGAGGCAACGTTGCCCGTATTGGAAAAATTGGGAATTTTGAGAATCCACAAGTTTGTACGGATGCATACAATAATATTTTGACTTGCCATGGGCATAAAAACGGGGGGTCATGGACTGCTAATGGAGTATCTCTTAATATCAACTTTTGTGCGTGGTAGCTTGAGGGCTGGGGTTTACTGCAAGGCCTTGTTATGGGTTTTTCCCACCAGTTCCTGGCTAGGGTTTTTCCCCATTTCGTTTTGCAAATGCAGAGGCTAATCGCATCATGAATGATACAAAGAGTTCAATGAGAAGTATTCTATTTTCATTGCATCACGCTTGTAGATACGGGACTTTAAAGAGTAGATGAAGTTGGATGACAAACGTAGAACTTGATTCATATTCGGGCAAGTAAATCGTTTGAACCTGGCACGAAAACTTTGGATCATCCCTGCTGTTGCATCTGCCTCTCGGCCATTAGCCGAAGCACTTCTCTGGGGAATCTTTTGCGTGGATTTTCGCCTGAAAGAATAATTTGGAATAATCGATCCAAGTTGTTGGCTTCTTCTTCAAGTAGCTTCTTGCCTTCTGGAGTGTTATCAACTACCCTGGCGGCATCAAAGTCCAATACATAGACGTTCCTACTATATTGTTGTATGAAGATGTTGCAGAAGCCAACCTCCGGGCGTATCCTGAAGTTTTCTAGGTCATTATGACATATATTACTTGCATGGATTGTTTTTAGAACGCGGTTCGCTTCCGCAGCGATGGCCGGCGTAAGGTGTTCTGGCAGTAGAGGCTCTAGATTGGGAATGTATTCGAATAGCAGCGCGCTGTAAAAGTTTTCTTTCTCAGCGTTCGGCTCAATCCACCCGTGGTCTTTCATGGTCGCCCGAAGAAGCTCTACTGGCACCTGGACACTACCAAAGCATTGGGGGTATCCGGTCTTGATGGACCTTCTGCGGGACCGAGCGAATATTGCTTCACAAGCTGCAGCGGCCGTCAACAGCGGAGCGGTGTAAGACATGTCCAAAAGGCTATTGGCGGCGGTTTCTTGCTGGTACGAGACATCGGGGAATGATGCTTTGTGTACTTTCAAGACGCACAAAGCATTCCTGCGTGAATTAGAGTCCTCGGCTTTGATCACCTCCACGAGGAATGTTGAGTTGCGTCCGTCGTTTAATAGTCGCAGAGGACGGTACACAACTAATGGAGAGAGGTCATGCATAACTAAAAACAGACGTCAAATGGTCAAAAAGCTGGGAAATCAAGGCTGACAAAAGCGTCAAGCCAATTGCTGAGTTTATTGCCAGTATAAAGTACAGATTAGAGAATTCATTCAGGTTGTGATACCGGGTGTAATTCCCCGCTCCCATTACTCATCTCCTGGGGGGACGATCCAAATTCTGGCCGACAGAGCCCAGGTTCGAGATGTTTTGGGATAATGGTAGGCTGAGTTTAATAGTTTAATGGTAGGGAACCAGGAGCTTCTCGACATTTACACAGAACAAGCCACATGCTACACTACGCCATATCCCTTCGAGTGCGATAAGGCACCACCTAAGTACTCTTAAAAGCAGTAGCCAATCAAAGAGTCAGACATCAAGGATTCTCCCCTCAATCTAGAAGAAAGATGGATGCGGTACTTAGGTGGTGCCTTATCGCACTCGAAGGGATGCATGGTCTGCGTGGGATGACTTTCGTTATAATGAAAATCGGACACCTTTTTGGGCTTCTACTGTAATGGTAGTTAAAAATAGTACAGGACGCATAAGGATATCATCATAGAACATTTTTACGAAGCCGGTGGCGAATGGTTGATCAGTAGCCTTTAATATGCTATGGAAACATCACAACCCCCTGCAGATCAAACTAGCTGGCCACCAAGCAACGCCAACGAACTTGGAAATTTTCGTAGGATAAATAGATCAGCGGCTGTGACGCTTCTTCATTAGTGGTTGAGCGGAGTTGCTTCTAACAGCGGCATTCTCGGTGACAAACTCGGTATTATGAGAGCCATTGAGCGTACCGACAATTATGAGTAGAATAAAGGATAATTGAACCCAATTGAATAGTCTTGCGTACGGAAAGCTACATGCTCGAATTACGCATTAATACATATTACAAGGACTAAGATCTTCAAGAATTACGTAGAAGACATACGAGAGCTGCCAGCTTTTGTGACGATCAATTCATGCACACCCGTGCTAACCTGCGCAATTGATCCAATCACCAGAGTTGATTCATCTGGGATTCATTTATCCAGCACGCTTTACGCCACACCAAAATTGTCCCCTACAGAACAAGATACATCCTAGGAATGCCACTTATTGGCTAGCTGCATCATAATTGACGTCTGCCGCGTGTGTTGTGTGAATGCCGTCGTGCCGGACGAAGCTACCCTGTAAAAAGCCGACGTCCCGGTGAATACGGGCGAGCACTTTTAGTGGCTGGACACTGACATATGGCTCTATGCGCTTGATTTCATGATTCTAGTTTCCTCTGGTACAAGGTGGCTTATACCAAGTGTTTGCGTGTTTGCAATTCTTGGCGATGTGGTGAGTGCTCAGTAAGATCGAGTATGACTTAAACAAAGGACAGGGTGTATTCGTTTGAGGTTGCATCTTCATCATAGTGATCTAGATGGAGCATGAAGCATTGGCATGTAACACTCATTGGATATTGATCTCAAGATGCTCAGCCACAGGATCAACTCACCATTTCTCTATTCCGGAATGAGGTGTACCTGCATAGCTGTTTGGTTTGGTGCTACCTTGGCTACTCCCGCTTCCACTCGAGCAGCCACAAGTATGTAGTGAAGGCAATGGAGGTGGCTCAATTGAAAAAAGATCTGCCGTAGTTTAATTGAGTTTTAAGCCATACACTCCGTTGAGTAGATGCTTTCCCTGTTTCTGACTCTTGGCCCTTGCCCCCTGCCCCCGATGCAACAGCGAACAGCTGTAGCTAAGCTTCCTTGAAACGGCATATACCCCGTGGGTGTCGTAAAGCCTGTTTATTCGTAGAAAAGCCACCCGAATTATGATGGCTTATTGGCCAATGTACGTTGGCCGGCATGAATGATCCGTTCAGCTCATCTGGGGTCGGGCTGTCGGGATATGCGCCCCTGAGGAATTGCCACGGAGACTCCAGGCCGAATGGCGAACTAATTGGGGTGTAAGATTAGTGGGAGTATTCATCGACGTAATTTTAATGCTGAACAGGAATGCAGTTCTATCAACAGTTACGTAGATTGATGCGTGAAGTAATTCAATGTCTACAATTACCTTTGCTCAATTGAGGTGATGTCGAAAGATTCCATTCAAATATGTCTCTAACTATACCTATTTGTGAAATCTTCGTGGAATATTAAACTAGAAGTGGCAAATGAACAAACTTAATTGAACACTATCTATAAATAAGTCACTCGTTGAAGAGCGACGGAACAAAGCGGTTGCTGGTGTTTAGATCGTCTCTCGCCACCTACCAACCATTTCCATATGCTCCTAGCGTCACCTTACAGTCGCCATCCTTGCTTGATGATTGAGACATGATGATGGCATATTATTCCGAAGCCCCCTGACGTCCAAGTCCTGGTTCAGCAATTCAGGCACAACAGTATAGCTATCGTCTTGATTTGACAGATGGCGAAGCAGGATGCAACCTCCGACAACAAAGAATTCTTCCTAGCCTTTGCAGACAAGTAGGGTGATACTAGGAACATGAAACCGGATATAAATACCCCTTCATCATCTGCCTCCTTGTCGTTCAAATTCACAAAGCAAATCAGACAACCAACACTGTAAATCACTCGCTTCAACATTCACACATTCAGCTTCAGCTTTTGTCAATACTTAATACGACTCGTTCAAAATGAAGTCTTTCATCGTTGCTACTCTGTTGGTTGCTGGCGTTCTTGCGGCCCCTTCATCTGACGTGAAGGCCGTCAAACGTCAAAGCCAGCTTTGTCCTGGTGGCCTCGAGTCTACCCCCCAGTGTTGCGCTACTGATGTGCTTGGCGTTGCCGACTTGGATTGTGCGAACCGTAAGTAATCGCTCAAGATGCATAGGATGCTCTGATTGAAGATGCTGACTGTTCGCAACTTAGCCTCCAGCCCTGTCACCGATGCCCAGTCTTTCCAGGCTGCGTGCGCCGCCGTAGGCCAACGGGCTCGTTGCTGTGCCATCCCAGTTGTAAGTTGTTCCACATACATCTAGAACCGGCCGAATCGAAGGATTAGATACTGACCACTTTCCTACAGCTTGGTCAAGATTTGCTCTGCACGAGCCCAGTAGGCGTATAATCTCGTCCTTAGCGATAGGAGTTTCCATCTATGGAAAAGACAACGTCGTTTATCGGATTGGGGACTTAGAAGTTATATGGAAACATATAGCTGTTGGTATATGGACTAGTAACTTAATAAATACAATTGTCAAACAATTGATGATGCTCATACTGCGCTTTCTTTTTGCAATCTCATTGTAGCTTGGCCATATTTGATTAAGACATGTAGACATGTATCAGTGTTTGGAGGCAAAAGACTGACTGACTGTTTCGTCGTCACACTTATCTTGCGCATCAAGTGAACGGTGTTTCATGCCCTAAAGGCCATAATGAACGCAAATCTAGGTGTTCTACATGTGTTCATTCCGCGTATCAAAGTACAAAGAAAGATACCCGTTTCTTTGTGTTCAATAACTTTCCATCTCGCGTAAATCTAGTGTGCCCTTCTTGTTACTGAACATATACACAGTTAAAGGGTGAATTTTTGGTTTGACAGGATCGTGAGGTGGGAAAAACGTTCAATGCATCAAAGGATGAAACGATCTTTTCTTGATATGCCAGTGTATAAATTACTCCAGTATGGAACGACTTTTGAAATGAGTATTGTGATTAACAGCTTGAGCAAATATTCGATTCAAAGTATCTTATATCATTGCAACATATACCGCCTCCTCCTGCCAACGATGGCTAATTCTGACATGATCACCTTTGGTTGGGAACTCGAGCTGCTTGTACACTTACAGAAAAACGAATCTGATTCTCACCCATTGCAAGCCGCTAAATTACGTGAGTTGGCATTGAGTCTTAAAGAAAGGGCCCCAGATCTACCCATAGCCGCTGAATGCGCTCATTACCCAAGTCAAAACTGTTGCATCTGTGAGGATGCTCCTCCTGAAGTTCTCAGCCGCGGTCTTCGAGTCTTCACTCCGGCTATGCCTCTATTCACGCCTGAAAGCAACTCGGAGAACTTGTATTTCCACGTTAAACGAGAAATGCTCGAGGTTCCAACAAATGAATATGGTAAGACATTAGCTCAAGGCTTTGAGATTACTTCACCTATTCTAGACAATGAAGAGCTCAAATCTGGACTTCCGAAGACGGCGCAAATAGTCTCAGCTATTCGAAATTGTGATCTAAGCATTTCAGCACATGACAAGTGCGGCCTTCACATTCATGTAGGTGTCAAATCCGGCATGACTTTGACGATAGCCAAGAAAGCAGCGACATTGGTCATGCTGCTCGAGCAACCGCTTTTTACAGCATTTTCTCCAACTGCTCGTTCTGAAGATTCTACATGGTTCAAATACATAGGCAAGTATTCTTGTTTTGCATTCGACGCCGATGACACCGTTAGAGAATGTCATTCGATCACAAAAGATAATACAACTGCGCAGTTACTCAAACATGTGCCGATACCTCCATCGCAAATGAAACCGGCCGCGTGGAATCACCATAACGCCAACAGATGGTATCTTACTTTGGACTATATCTGGGAGAAAGAAAATACATGGGAGCTCTATACCGGACTACTTACAGAAGTAGGCGGAAAGACTAGCCTGGCGATATGCACCCGCACAACAGATGGAAAGTCTGCAGGCGAGATGGATTCTCGTGGTCGTGATGGTACAGACAAACTGGAAGGATCACAAACAACAATCGAGTTTAGGTACCCACCAATGAGTTTCGATCACGAGTTTATCAAGAACTGGGTCGAGATCTCGTGCCGAATTGTCGTGATTGCTACACACGACGCTCCGTTCTTTAGCCAAGTGGCTGCAGGTTTACTCAGTGAGTTGCAAAGGGATGAGAAGCAGTCTGACTTACCCACATGGGCACGACTTCTTACTGTTCTGGGATTGGATCATCAGATTGATTTTTGGACGCAGCAGTTGCGGCGTTTTGGAGCTGGTGAGACCATCCGCTTTCTTGATTCGAAGGGTTTAGTGCTGCCGGACTGTTAGCAGAGAATGAGGGTTGGCTGCTTTTGACCGTGTTTGTATTGTGGGCGCTTTATGCTTTTCTTTTGTGAAAGTTTATGGATTCGCGTGTTATGCGAAATACGAAATAGAGGTGTTTGGATTTAGTTATCAATTGTCGTCTCAAAGTTCTTCTCACATCTCTCCTTCTCTCTCTCGCTCAATCTGTATATGTGTGTTTGTGTAAAAGTGTAGTAATTTCCATTATCAAGCCATGATCAAGGGTTATTGGTCGAGTTAAGGCCATCACGCAATCTTTGACTTTGGCAGGATTCACGATTTTATATTGGAAGGAGTCACATTTCTTGAACCAAGCCGGGTGCTCGATGCCGCGATGCCGCAATATCCGGCTATTTCTAAGCATTCAACTAGACGTCAATGTCGCGCCCCGAGTCTTTTACAACTGGTTGGATTATATGAGTCTTTCTTTTGAATCATTTGACGCGCCATAAAATGACCTTTCCTACTCTTTTGAGAAGTAGAGCTTGTGTCGATCACTCTAATGCAGCACAGCCTCCTCCTTCCCCCGCTTTTCCTACTTTACAGTGTGACGGCTAATCTGGATTGTCTCGGACTTATGGAGTTGAATCCATATATATATATATATATATCTGATATCTTCGACGTAACAACTCCCAATTCAAGATTGTTCTGATTGTATAACAGAGACTCGATATGACTCCTCAGCCCCCCCAACCACCGCTAGACTTCACCTTGGATCCTGCGTCCATAGTTCAACAAGCTGAACTGCTGATATCGACATCGGCAAAAGTTTGGGATGCTGTAGCTCAAATATCCCTCGAGGAGGCGACGTTTGACCTCGTCATTCTCCCTTTGATACGCGATGAGAATGATCGGATGAGTATCTCCCCTCAGCTTGGGTTCCTTCATAACGTGTCTCCTTCAAAAGAGCTTCGCGATGCTTCCAAAGAGGCCAGAAAAATCTTGAATCGTGATAGTATCGGAAGATATTCACGAGCCGATGTCTTTAAAGTCGTTGATGCTGTCTGGCAGAGACACGAGTCTCTTGATCCGGAGTCGCTTCTCTATGTGGAGAAACTGCGAAGCCAATTCATCAAAACGGGACAAGGGCTCACCGACGAAGCTGTGAAAGCTAAAGTGAAGGAGAGTCTTGTAAGGATCAACGAGCTCGAGATGGAGCATATTCGAAACCTCGACTCGGATGTTGCCGGTTTATGGCTGACACTAGACGAACTGCAAGGTGTACCGCAGTCCCACCTGGACCGATGGAAGGCAGATGGCGATAAGCGTTGGATTGATCACAAGATTCCCAATTATACGGCCGTGATGCAATATGCCTTACGAGATGAGACTAGGCAAAAGGTGTGGTTGGACATGGAAAATCGGACGAAAGAGCTCAATGGAGTTAACCTCAAAGAGCTTCTTGTGCTTAGAGATGAAGTTGCTCGTACACTCGGCTACAAGCATCACGCTGAATTGCGAGAGAGTGACAGAATCTTAAAAACAGATGATGCCGTCCACTTTCTGAACCGCATCCGCAATGTTCTACAAGAACTAGGCCTGCGTGAACTTGAGAGTTTAAAAGCACTGAAGGCCGAAAAGGTACAACAAGAGCAATCCCAAGATGCGCACTTATCTGGCCAATTCTTTTCATGGGATAGACCATTTTTCACACGCCTAGCAGAGGATAAATCTCTGCAAGTGGACCAAAACGAGGTTGCCGAATACTTCCCCTTTGACAGATGCCTTTCGAGAATGATGCAGATTTTGGGTGTCTTATTCGGGGTGAAGTTTATAAAGTACCCGCGTGATGCTCCTCAGATTACTACATGGTATGAGGGGGTGGATGTCTACTCTGTATGGGATGACACAGCGGAAGGGGGCGATTTTCTCGGATACTTCTATATGGATGTATTCCCACGAGATAACAAATATGGCCACAAAGGGATGTTCAAAATGAGACCAGTGAGTTTATAATCATTGGTATAAGTATAGGAAAAATACTAAACGATGATTCTTATACCAGGGATATGAACGACAGGATGGGTCACGAACCTACCCTTGCTCTGCCTTTATGACAAATTACTCGCCTCCCAGCGCTACCCGCCCAAGCCTCTTGAAGATTAACGAGGTTGTCTCTTGCTTCCATGAACTTGGTCACACGATCCACAACCTTACTTCGAAGACCAAATATGCGCGATTCCACGGATCGTCAGTCCCACGCGACTTTGTTGAGGTGCCAAGTATTATGCTGGAATATATATTCTGGAACCCGCACATTGTGCGAGCGATATCCGGACACTACTTGACGGAAGAAGATCCAGAAAATGAGAAGAAGCTGCCGGAAGAAGTGATTGAGAGGCTGATTGCTGACCAGTTTGCGCATACGGGGCTTGCGCAACTTTCAACGCTGCACTTCAGCACATTTGACCTCCTCATTCACACGCCTCCTGATCACCAGGCAATTTGCGACATGAATCTTGCGGCAGAGTTTAATAGGCTACGTAGAGAAATATGCTTGGTCAGTGGCCCTGAGGATATTGGCTATGAAGCCGACTTTGGTCACGGCTTCTGTCGATTTCGTTTCCCTATTGGATACAATACAAGTTATTATACCTATCTATCGTAAGTAATTTGCATCTGTATAACACTGAAATGTCATTAAACCAAGTTGCAGATCTCGATCGCTCAGCTACGACATCTTCAAGACAAAGTTTGAGCCACTATTGCCCTCTGGAGCTCTAAACACCACAATGTCTAACGTGGACGATATTATATCTCATGAGCTCCGTAAAGAGTTCCGACGATATAGAGAGATTATCTTGGTGCCAGGAAGCAATGTGGTGTCTTATATGGTATTGCTTAAGGAGTTCTTGGGTAGGGATGCCAATCATGAGGCTTGGATCGAGATGCTACAAGATAAGATTGAGAGCCATGCAACCGAGATGTGAATGAGATGGAGGTCAATCCTTGATTTTGTTGAGGTGGACTACATGGGAGCGCCAAAAGTTACTTTCTAGTGAAATGCAATTCAGTTTAAATCATTGCTAGGTACTATGATTACTTATATGCCTGCGTATTGGCAACACACGCTATGTATATCAATCCCAGACCGTACTTTTGATCCATCTATTTAATTACAAACATGCACAACTGTTGCTCTTGTTGAAATATAAACCCCACTAACCTCTGGATATTGACGTCTTTGTTTTCAACAGTTCTTCCCTTTATATCAACATGTATAGGGCATTGCCTCACCCACTCGGTTCGGCAGTCTCAGCATCTTCTCCTTGCCAGCCCTCGACCGTATTCTTCTTCATTCTCACAAATAGAAGAGTTAAGATTATGGCTGCCCCTGCAAATCCTATTCCCAAGTAAGCCGCGCCTCGATAACCGCCCAGTAGATCTGTTCCATCCTTGTTTATGTAAATCTCAACCGTTCCGGCAAATCCTAAGCCCGTGCTTAGTCCGTACGTAAAGAGAGTTCCTATCAGGGATCCCGCTGTTCCCTGATGCTTCCTCGTCACGATGCTGCTGGCGATGATTTGGCCAGCAGCAAAGACCATGTCTCCTGTACATCCTGCCAAGATCATGGCGGGAAATACCATCGCCCAGAAGGTTTGATGAACCGGCATCGTTGCAATAAGGATATTCATCACCACCGCACCCAAGGCGCCGATACACACAACCATTTCTGCTGGCAGTTTGCGTACAACCCATGCTGCAAAGAAGGCGGCGCCGGTACCGCTGACGGCCATTGGCAAGAATGAACATCCCAGCAAGACGGGATCCCAATTCCGCAACTTCGCCAAGAAGACAGTGACATACCAGATGTATATACCTAGACTCATAAAGACGAAGAAACACACGAGGATCAGCGCACCAAAGGATGGCACTTTCCAGATCTCGAATGGGATGATTGGACTGACTGCCCACTTTGATTCCCAAATTAAGAACACTGCAAAGTGACCGATGGCGACGATGAGGAGTATGTATTCATAGGGATTCTTCCAGCCAACTATGGGGGCCTGGCTATAAGTCTGCGCATTAGTATTGGAACATAGAGTGGCATGGTGGGGAGCATCGCTTACTTCCAGACAAAATTGAACAACACCAGTCCGGCGACACCGAGATATGAACCTATCCAATCAATCTTCCCCTCGGGATCTAATCGCTCGTCATCTGGTACGGCAATGATTGCTGCTCCATAAACTACAGCCCCTAGGACAGCCCTATAATACAATATCAGCTCTATCGTTTCTTTTCTCGGAGTAGCGTAGAAGAAAAGACCATACAAGAAGAAGAAGAGCCATGTCCAGTCTGTCCACTGAAGGAAGAAGCCGTTGAACACGCATCCACCAGCGCCGCCAACCGGTCCCATAGAAGCAAAGAGCGCAAGTGCCAAGTTTCGTTGTCGGCCAGGAGGGAATGTGATTGTTAAAAGAGCTACAGCATTGGGAACGAGAAGACCGCCTCCTATCCCCGCAAGCGCTCTCATGATGCTGATGCCGACAATGTTGGTTCCATACGCCGTAGCTAACGTCCAAAAGATCCAGATGGACGCTCCAAGCGTCAGCATTTTCTTATGACCAAAGACGGTACCCAGTCGGCCACTGATTAGGACGAATGAGCCTTGTGTAAGAGGATATGCTGCCGCAATCCACGTAGACTGGAGGTCTGATGCCCCAATCGCATGTCCAACCGTGAATGCCCCAATGATACCAGCACCATACGCAAACATTTGTACCGCTTGCGTGAGGACAATTAGTATCATGAAAGTGTATGCTCTCTTTTTCGATACAGTTGTTGCTCGCGAAACGGTGGCGCCGAGGGCAGGTAATTGTCCGTTTTCTGGGTCATTGTTTCCCAATGTTTGAGATTTCGGTTCTCTAATGGTGTTTGCATCTTGACTTGGGAGGGTGCATTTCTTTCCACCGTTGGCATTGTTGTTGGCTATGTCTTCCGTCAATGATGAAGAGTCGTACGGCGTAGTTTCACATGACTCTTTCTGCGAGGAGGGTGTCACGTTGGGAAGATCGAAAGCCATATTGGCTGTGTGTGATTAACAAGATAACAATGCACGTGAGGATCTATTCCATTATTTACTTGGTACTGCACATGGTTATAACATCTTTAGACATCTACAACAGTCAGTCGGCTACTAGTATAAGCGATTTGAAGCATTCCATAAGCAGCAGAGACAAGATTCGCATTTGTAATCGAGGTTTCTTGCTGCGTGTCTTGAATTAACTGGGCATGAAGTAACAATTTCATCTGTGTTGGCTTCATCTAATAGGGAGGCTGGACCACATATTGAGACGAGGTAAAAGATGCGTTATGTTATTTCCTATTAAGGAAAGCCACCTCTTCCTTGCAAACAGTTAGCGTGAACATTGTTGGTGGAGCGTTTCATTTGCTCCATATGAGCATTCCGATATTCCGTCCCTGTGAGGCGGCACGGGAAGTTTTCGTGCGTGAATGATGAATTAGTTGCTTCACAGAATGCCATACTTAGAATAGATAGTATCCGTAGAGGTGAATGGCCAGCTATACCGGCGGCTCGGCAGCTTTCCGTGGAGAAGACGCCATCTCGGGAGTTGTGAGGCTAATCAGTTAAGAACAAGCTGTCAGACGTGTTAGTTCTTGTGCCATTAATAAATCTCCCTAGTAACCTATTACCTATTAAGGTATCTACCTGTACGTAAAAGGAAAGATTTAGAAAAAGTACTGGTGAGCATTCTTTAGTACTATATGCCTAGTTGCTAGTCTTTGACCTCAGTCAATCTTTTCTCGAGTGCCGGATCTGCTATGATCCTTTCGCCGCTGATGATGTGTGGTTACTAGTCATTCTAGCTAGCTTGATGATTGAAGTCTTCATATGTATAAATAATCTACAGCCGGTTACATCTGCAGTAACTTGGTAGATGATATTGTCACTTGTCCAACATCGTACAATCGTCAAAGGAAGGTCTTGATTCCTACGGGATAGTGAAAAACTCACTTGTTCCTGATTGGGAATTCTTTGCGAGCAGAGAAGGGCGGGGCTTGGAGTGTAGCTGATTCAGCCTGGCATCTGATTATCTACGTCAAATAAAGGGGCAGATGCAAGAGGGTGAGCACGCACGAACGAGAAGATCACCGCGCCAACTCACGTGGCTACTAAGTTTGTGTCATGTTCCATCGACATCCTCCGTGTAATGTTCCGCCAACATCTTGTGCTCCCTTGTACACTTTTGCCCTCCTTCGTCGTTCGACACCATTCATCATGTACCCAGTTTCGAAAGGCTCCTAGAGCTGCAAGGTCCCTCCGAAAGATAGGTCGGGGCAACAAGGCCACACTGATGAAAAGATTGATCTCGTGAGCGAGCCAGAAACAGAGGACTCACTTCTGGTTACTGCTGGATGGCGACTTGAAAAGGGATGGGCAGAGGCATGGGCGATCGGAGGGCTAATTCTATTGGAATTGATTCCAATCGACTTTGTACTCAGTCTGCGATTTCGCCTGTAGATTTCCTCGAAATTGCCTGACGGCCTGACACGAGTGGCGATAAATAACTGGGAGTCGGCAAAATGCACGACACGACCAAAGTTTTCACGTCTGCACTTCTCCGAGTTGTTGCAGGAATAGCCGCAGCTTTTGGTTAGAGATCCGGGATTCAATACATTGAGACAACTCCATGTCTGGTGGACTTTGAAGGTAACGTTCTGGACCCCTTCACTATCTTCCCATCCACACTCATATGGCTATGAATCCATCAAGTTATGCCATAGAATGATATTGAAATTATCCATAGTGTCAAAGATTATTAGGCATACCATCTTGTTACGGAGACAGACACGCAAGACAGATGCCAGCAGCCGCCTCTGTCCCATGCAAGCTGATTAAAGCATACCCTGGTTGCTTCTGCCAGAGGCAACCACTTAATCAGACCGAATATAGCTGAAACATCCATCATAAGGAGTGTGTATGGACTCATGCAGTTATTGTTTACACGATACAAAGCCGCTTCGACATAGCCGACGCCTTCAAAAAACCTACGCCCGGAACTCACAAGCGCCTCGACATTTCGTTTCTGTGGCACTATCGCTCGACATTGAACTCCGAAATATATGGCTATGAGGGTACTGAAATGATGCGCAAAGATGGAAGAAGGAATTTGCACAGAGAGTATAACATGGCGTCTGTATTGGAATTGTTTCAAGAACCGGGCATTCTGGTTTGCAAGCATGATGCGGTGAAGATGCAGATGATGTCACAACTCTCGATGGAGCATGTCTATATGCCTTGTGACAACTCTGCAGAACTCGACCCGTGGCTTGAAATTACATGAATCCTGTTATCGGGCAATCATCATGGAACCTCTCATGGATTATGCGACACGTTTGCGTACCACAAGTCGGCTTTGGCGTACGGGACAAAAGTGCGACGTGTACTGGGAGATTTTCATTGCGAGACATGGCTTTGACTCTATCCTCGGAACGAGAATGCTGGATCAATATGCTGGCACACTCACAATTAACGAGACGTATCGATGCAGCAATCACTGGCGAGGCGCAAAGTATCCGTGATTGAGATTATGGGCCAACACCCTGGATAGGAACGTCCACCATATTTCAGGATGGGAGCTTCATGGGACCAATTGGACGAAGTTGAGCTGCGCCAAAGGGAATACTTTGATTTGGCACTTGTCAAATTCTTTTTCGAGAACCCAAATAAGGCCGCTTTGGTGAACCTACGCAACGTTTCGTAGGTTGCTCAAGCTTGGAAGGTTGGGATGGAAGTGACCACAGAGGTGGAAGAAAAGCCGATTCCCTTGAAGGACGGAGAGGGGTTGACGATTAGAGACTTGGCTGGCTGAGGAAGAGTGGGAGACATAAGGGAATTGAGGCCAAGCCTGCTGCCATCACGATGAGCAAAGTGCTACATGACACGGCCTGGATAGAAATCGCAAGAGCAAGGAAGATACAATGGTTTTTTATTTGACTTGTGGTACTAGGTATGTTTTTAAACCCTGGAATACTGTACCTGATTAAAATGAATGAAGATGGCAGTGCTCATGGAGTGGCCTTATAGATCGCTCTCATGTGACAAACGAGACCAAGTGATCTTTACAAATCATCTGGTAATAACCATTACCAATTTGCTTCACGCTGAAGCCAGTAGTTGATTACATCCATCGATTGTTATCCAGTAGGTAATTACCCCAGAATAACAAACCAAAATGTACTTTGTCCAGACGTATGACTGACAATCATCACATGCCGAAACGAATACGTCAATCCTCAAGCCCAGCCCGCCTAGCACATGAAAAGAACAACAACAAAAAGGAGAAATAAAAGCCAAGAAGCCGCGGCTGGCACAAGTGCCTGTTACCCCAGATCTCAACCCCACACACCCATCCGATTGCTCTCCCCGCTCTTTGCGCCTAAATGGACATGGATGTACGAACAATCCCAGCCCTTTCCCCGCAACTTGCATGTGTTCCTGGGGAAGAGAGAGAGCAGAAACAAGTACCGACGGGCATAAAGGAATAGTAGTAGAGAGAATTGGCAGGATTTCGTGCTGGGGGGGGCTTTCCCTTGTCTGGGTTGGTATTGTTCATGTTTTGTTGTGGGAGGGGGTTGTGAGCTGCCTGATTGGGATATGGGCCCGGCTGAGGTAGCGACGATCACTTTGTTTTCTTTTGGTGGTGATGTGAGGTTGTAATTGTTAACGTAATTTGAATGATGGGATGGGAATGAGGGAGTGGGAAGGGGGACTAGAGGTGTTGGATGACATGGATTAGATGAAGAGGATCGAACGGATGGATGGGAGGAGTTGAACGGTTGTAGGGGGGATACGAGGGTATATAAGATGGACGATGACGGCTGTGTTTTTTTTTCCGAATGAGAAGAGCTGATGCTTCTTTTTGTGCTTAATTGCCACGCAGTTTTCATAATACTGGAGCTCGAATTGCACTGGAGTTGATTCCAACTTGGTGCCTGTTGTTGATCACGTATATACTCACATCAACACCACAACAAACCCTCCCCTTAGACATCAACAACAACAACAACAACAACAACACCAAGACGCGTATATAACCCAAACAATCCTCCAAAAAAATGCAACTCCGTCTCATCCCCCTCCTCTCCCTCATCACCCCCCTCCTCGCCGCCCCAACCCCGGACCCAAACCCCATCCTCACAGCCATCACCACAATCTCCTCCGACACCACCGCCCTCAACTCCACCGTCGCGTCCTGGGACGGCGACGCCCTCGCCCTCCTCGAAATCACCGTCCAGTCCGCCAAGCTCCTCGCCGCCATCAACCACGGCACCAAGGCCGCCAACAAGGCCGCCAACCTCACCCTCGCCCAGACCCTCGACGTCGCCACCGCCACCGTCAGCCTCGCCACGGGCGTCAACCAGACCATCACCACCATTGTGTCGGCGAAACCCAAATTTGATAAGCTGCTGGTGGTGAGCCCGGTGATTTTGCTCAATTTGAAGCTCGAGCAGGATGCGTCGAGGGACTTTTCGGCGGCGGTGGTAGCCAAAGTGCCGGCGGATTTGCAGGCTATTGCGCAGGGGTTGACGCAGGGCATTGACGATAGCTTTTCGCAGGGAATTGCGGTGTATGAGACGTGGTAATGATGATAATGATTGTGGTGGTTGGTTTCGTAATTTCTGTACGAGTCAGCTCATGAATTGGAAAAAAAAAATGCAACAAGCTGTTTTGGAAAACCATATGCCGTGATTTGATGTTGAACTGATACACGTATGTACAACGCCATCGACTCCTTTTTCTTCCCTTTTCCTTGTCAATTCCTCTCTTAATCCATCTCATCCACCGTCTGCGCATCCGCCTCATGCACACCGTTCACGCCCGCAATGTCCTTGCCATCAGCCCCCGAAACGGCAAACCGCCAGCCAAACTTGTCCTCCTTCTTGCCCAGCTGAATGGCCTTCAAGTCGGTCAACACCTTGAGGCAAACAGGCCCAGCATCCTCCTGGCTCTCGGGAATGTACGTCACCGTCTCAGCCTCCGCCGTCTGCGTAACATTGGGCCCGGCAGCGAAACCGCTGGTGCCACGGCGCGTGATGCTCCGGATGGGCACCAACGCGGCGGCGGTTCCAGCGGCAAAGACCTCGCTAAAGGACGGCAGCTCGGCGTACTTGATGACGCGCTTCTCGACCTTCCAGCCGTAGCTCTGGGCCAGCGTCAGGGCGCTGTGGCTGGTGATGCTGTCGATGACGGACTTGGAGTCGGGCACCACAAGGGTGATGTCGTCGCTGCCGCCGCTGCCCGTCTTGACGCCGATGAAGCCGCTGGTGCTGAACTCGTCAATGTCCTCGTGCCGGGCGCTGTCCAGGTGCAGCGTGATTCCGTATCCCTCGGTCCGCGCCCTGTCGCTCCACCGCAGCACCGGCGCGTAGTTGCCGCCGACCTTTGCGTGGCCGGTGCCGTTGGGCGCCGCGCGGTCGAACTCGTCGAGGATCAGGGCCTTGACCGGGTGCGAGCCGTGGTAGACGCCCGTAGGGATGACGAAGACGCAGAAGGTGTATTCCTCGGGCGCCGACAGGCCCAGCTGGGCGCTGGAGCCGTAGATCTGAGGGCGGATGTACATGGCGGCGCCCGTCTCGTGGGGGGGCACGTAGCCGGCATTGAGCGCAACGGCAGCCTTGCAAGCCTGTAGAAACAGCTCGATGGGCACCGGCGGCATGCAGGCGACCTCGGCCGAGTGCTGGAACCTCACGGCGTTGCGGTCCGGGCGGAAGATGGCGATGTCGTCGTCGCCGGGCATGCGGAACGCCTTGAGGCCCTCGTAGGCCTGCTGGCCGTAGTTGAGCGCCGGCGCCATGCCGTGGATGCGCATGTACGGGTCTGCCACATACTTGAGGGGCGTCCACTTGCCCGTGTGGACTGAGTATGTCGATTCAAGGTGGCCGTTTACTGCGAACAAAGAGAACAAGGGCAGCGGGTTAGTTGACAGTTTGGCTCGGAGCAGCAGCTCGCAACTGACCTTCGCGGACTCGGAACCCGACGTTGGACCAGTCAATGGTGTTGACCGGCGGCGGAGGAAAAGCGCCCATGGTTGAAAAAGAAGCTGTTTTGCTGTTGCAATAAAGTCTGAACTGTTCAATTGACACCGGCAAAGAGTCGAGAGAAGCTCCGGTGGATATGATAGTATCAGTCAGAAACCCAACCAAGCTGGGTTAATTAGAAGAGAGAGAGAAAAAAAGAGGAGGGCAGAAAAGGCGCCACGTCGATCACAGTAAGAACTAAAATAAAATAAAAAAACCTCACTCTCCAGAACAAGAGAGAAGAAAAAAAAGGAGGCCAGAAGAGTCTAAAAAAAGAAGACGCCAATGTGTAAGAACCCAATTGCTCTTGTTTTGTTTTATTTTACCCAAGTGACCTCCTCCACAACGGGAGTCATCGTCTGTTTGCATCCATTTTCCCCAGACCACAAAAAAAGACACCAAACAACCACACAGAGAGAGCCGATTTCGCTCGGACCTGCTCCGCTTCCGGCGATTTCGAGTGCTCCGCAGTGTCCCCGGAAAATCAAAGGCCTAAAGGTTCAATTGGTATGGATGGGAATCACGGCACACTAAGTTGTCTTGGGCAATAGTAGGGCCTTGACTGCGTTGGGTCGTTGGTTTCTGCCGAGGGAAAACAAGAGCAATGATGAGAGAAGTCCCTAGTGAGTTGAGATGGCCCAAGTACCTATGGCAGATGACGCTGCATTCTTCAAGACCCTGCATCTGCATTACCCCTCGGATGGCCTTTGTGTAACAACCCTACAACCAAACCCTGGCTTCAATGGCACCAACTTCAACGCTCACCATTACAGTTCCGCCTATCACAATACATCATCACCAAAGAGTATTTACCATTATCCCTAAACAAAAGAATCCGTGTCAAAGAGCCATCTCCAACGCCCAATTCTCCACAACCCCATCCAATCATCCTCTTGGTCCGTGTTACAGATAGTGGCACGAAGCTTCAACATAGCTCTCGGATGAAGAAACAAGTGGCAAATTAGCTTTCTTAGCTACATGAATCAACAGTATCAGCCCATCGACGAGATTCAAACTAGCTTTCTTAGCCAACTACAGAAAAACACATGAATCAACAAAATCAGCCCATCACCAGAATGACTAGGCCCATCCATCCATTCTCGCTTACCCCCAAAACTACCCGATGCCAGCCCCCGAGAGATGCAGAATGTGTACATGTAAAATCCCTTTGTTAATGCACGCGAGCGCTTATACTTAATAGCTATGTACCAAACACATGCTTCCCAATGCGTGTGTCTATGTTACCGCTTATACCAGATGAAACCAGAAAAACCAAGAAAGAAAAATGCTAGAATACACCGAGAAACGTAAAAGTAGAATAAAGGGCTTGTAGAGTTTGAGTCAAACAACGAAACACGCAGGCCAATTTACATGGTAAGGACAGTTGTTTCACCCTGGCTTCTCTCTTTAATTTAGATGCCCTATCAAGTGTGGGGGGAAAAAAAAAAAAAAAGGGGGGGGGGGGGGGTGCTCGTGCTATATATGGACTCAATCATCGTGGTAAACGATCCCCATGAAGCCATATCCAGGTATAATTCAAACTTCACTCATATCCATCCATACGCCTCCTTTTCATGTACCAGAGACGCCTTGCACGACAAAACATATAGAGAAGAAAACAAAGAAACGAAAATGTGGCCATAGAAAATTAACTTGGAAAATCGACGACAAGAAGAGAGGAGGGGAAGAGGCAAACAGCCGACGACATCAGCTATTATTCTCATGAGGTAGACGCAAGTCGCTGAAGGCAGTTGAGGACGCCTGTGCACACAAATTAGCCCCTCTTGTTCCATTGTCACTCATCATTTCAATAAAAAATAACTTACCGCTCACGCCCTGTGTCAAGGTGGCCGCGGCCTCGGTGTTACGGCTGCCAAGGCTCACTGTGATGACGTCCTTGATCTGCTTCTGGCTGCCCAGGTTATTTGCCCACTTGAACACCTTTTCGTCTTCTCGGCCGTCACCGACAACCATCAAGAAGTCAACGGGCTGCTCGTGTGCGTCGTCCGAGTTCATGCTCTCTCCGAGTTGCTCAAGCACCCGCTGCGCCGCTGTGCACTTGGTCCAGTCCAGAGGCTCAACAAGGATGGCACCGTCCACTGCGAGGGCATGTACTCTCTGTGACTCGCAGGCATCGTTGACGTGGCTAGCGCAGTCGGATGCCTGGCGAGACGCTGATTCATAGTCTTCGGCGTTGTTGTAGTGAAAAAGCAGACTGCAGCGTCGCTCCTCGATTTGCGTGCCGGGCGTTCTCTCGAGGTAGTACTGCATGATGGGCTTGACCGATTCCTTCCAGTTGGTGATCTGGGACGCATCAGCCATTTCCACCCACTTTTCTTTGCCGCAGTCCTTGAGGAAACAGCCGTTCTCAGCAATCAGGCCCAGGTTCGGCACGCGGCGGAACACTCGATCTAGCTCCTCCGGTCGTCGGCCGGACATGACATAGACAGTGTTTCGTTCGTCCAGCAGCAGGTCGTTGAGCACATCCAATGTTCGCTGTGGGCTGATTGGGATGATTTGATTCACAGGGCCCCAGCTGACGAGCGTGCCCTCGTAATCCAGAATGAACAATCGACGCTGAGCATCCGCGTACTTGGCGGAAACCGAGCTCATCGAGAGCCGAGGTACGTAGGTCTGATCGCGCTTGTGTTGCTCCTCGTACGACCGGTCCAAATGGCCGAGGAACTCTGTGAACCAGTGGGAGCCTGTCTGGTGCACTACGGACTGGTACAGCTTCTCCCACCGACGTGTCTTTTCTTCCTCGCCCATCTCGAGCGCCTGCTTGATTGCGTCGGCGCACTGGCGGTAATCCCAAGGGTTAACCGACAGCTCGTTCTTGCCAAAGAGCGATGATGTTCCAGTAAACTCGGACAAGATGAGGGAGCCGTGCTTCTTGTCGGGGAAGATCTTGCCATCCTGGCAAAACAGGTACTCATGGGAGGTGAGGTTCATGCCTTCACGCTGGCTTGTGATCATGAGTGCATCGGCGATGGAGAGGAGGGCAAGATATTGGGCGTAGTCGATATCCTGCTTGAGATAGACGACGGGCTGGTAGGCCAGATTTGCCCACGACGAATTCACGCGCGTAACAATGTCAGAGACGGCAGCATCAAGCTCAGTGGGCTCGCCCGAAGACAGCGCCACCTGGATCAGGACAGTGTTTTCACGCCATTCCGGATTCTTATTCAGGAATAGCTCGTATGCCAACAGCTTTTGCCTGACTCCTCGCACATGGTCGAGCTTGTCTCGTGCGACGATGAGCCTCTTTCCTTGGTAGCGCTCTTGCATGACGGCAAGCCATTTCTTCACCTCGTTTTCCTCACGGTGCTTGTTTAGGCTGACAGGATCAATGCCAATGGCATTGTGAACGACCTCAACGAAGCGGTCTTCGAGCTGCAGACCCTCGGGTGTTGCCTCGACGGTGAGGATGCGACTGCAGGTAAGCAAAAAGTGCCTGGTGTATTCCTGGATCTGGAAGCCAATGAGGTTGGCCCCCAGCATACCCTCGAGGAGCTCCTTTCGAACAGCCAGGCAGCGGAAGACTTCGGACGAGGGGAAAGCAACGTGCAAGAAGAAGCCAATCTTGGCCTCGGGCAGCTTCTTACGGATCATGCCAGGGACGAGCAGCAGGTGATAGTCGTGGATCCAGATGACGTCGCCTCGCTTCCAGTTCTGGACAATCTTGTCGGCAAAGGCCTGGTTGACCTTGACGTAGTATTTCCAGGAGTGGTCCTCGTACGCCTTGCTCTTGGGGTTGTCGGGGATCTGGTAGTGGAAGACGGGCCAGAGCATCTGCTTGCAGAAGTGGGTGTAGTGGCCGTCAAAGTCCTTGTCGGAGCAGAAGACGGCCAGCATGTCGTGCTCGGTAGCCAGCGTGTCTTCGATATCTTGCTTCTGCTGAGTACCCTCGAGGGCATCGGTGGGCATGCCCAAAGTGCCGACCCAAGTGTAATCCGAGAGCTTTCCGTCGCGGGCAGCAGCCAAGGCGGCATTGCGGAGCCCTCCGTTGCCCTGGTCAGCGTTGATGACGCGCCATGAAGCAGAGGCAAAGACCTTGTCATGACTCTCGCTACGGATCAGAGACCTGGGCTTAACAATGCCTCGACGACCCATCTCGGTTGCTTTCTGCAGGGTGCGGCTGCTCTCGAAGATTTCGGCGGGCGGCGGCGTGCTGGCCCGGGATTTCGGCTGGTCAGCACGGCCGCCCCAGGACTTGGAGCCATTGCCGGCGGGAGAATTGTCGCTGTGCGGGAAGTGAATGCGAAAGCCATCTTCGTTGGCAAATGGATCGGGTGAAGTGGGCTCGTCGACCGGGGTGTGAGGCGGGGTGATGTCGGGTCGCGGCGTGAAGAGACTTGGCTGGACGTCGACGGTGGTGACGGTGGGCAGAGGCTTGGGCGGTTCAAAAGCCTTCTGGCGCTTCGAGAGCGTGTGTCGACGGCGAGAGTTGCCTGGCAAATTGAATTGCACCGTCTTGGGGAGAAATCTGTAGAGGGTGACAAAAAAGACAGATGACGTGCATTAGCCTCAGAGTAGCGTAGATGTCATGGCAGCTGCCACAAAAAACGCGGGACAGAGACGGAAGATGGGAAAAAAAAGACAAAACAAGTTCAATTACAGCCACTCGACTTACAGGGAGCAAATAAAGACCGTCATGGTGGGCAATGGCTTGTGTTCAGCTTAGAGCCCAACTGTAGGACAGAATGTAGAGTGTTGTTCGTCGTCGATCGAGCTGTCGTGCAAGTCGGTGGTGATGGGCAGCAAAGATGAGGCCGCGAGAAAGCGAACGATGTCGAGTCTGTCCGTCTCCGCTGAGATGGCAGGTAAAACTGGGTATCGGCTATGGCAGAGACATAAGGGCAGTGCGGCTGCTCTCCAATGTCTGTCTGAGGGAGGGGAGGGAATGTCGTCGACCTTGTGTGTTGTGTTGGTGAGAGAGAGTAAGAAGGAAGAAGAGGAAGAAAGAGGCTTTTCGAGATGAGCAGCCAAAGAGGTAAAAGTAGCAGCGTTAATTAGACGCGGGAAGCTGGATGGATGCTGGGCAGCAAAAAAGAGACCGTCCGGTTCTTTTCTTAGCTGGTTGGCAAGGGAGCAGCAATGCGGAGCTTTTTTTGTTTTTTGGAGGCGGGAGGGAAGACAAGGGGTCCACCTGCTTAGGCTGGCGGCTGTGATAGGCTGCGCCTAAGAGACAGCGGGTGAGAAATGATATCAAACGGGACAAGCTACTAAGGGAGGGGAAAAGGGAATGATGGAGTTCAAAAAGAGACTTGGGAGTTGGGACTGTGCGGAATTAAAAAAAAAAAAAAAGAAGAAGAAATAAGAAGAAATAGGCTGGGCTGGGCTGGGCTGGGCTGGGCTGAGGGAGGGAGGCTTTGCTTTTTTTGGTGGCCGCCGCAAAACCAAGGCAGCGGGACCGATCGGGAAGCCTTGGATTGGCCGTCGAGAAAAATGTTTCGGCTGGCCCGCAGGTCGTATCACCAGTAGCGATTGCAAAGACTCGGAGCGGCGGGGGGGGGGGCTTGTCGTTTTCTTGATTTTTTTTTTGCTCTTGCTTGGCCTTTGTCTTTGACTCGATTTAGGCGTTTTCTTGCACCCGGTTCCCCTCGCGACAGGGATACAGATGCGGTATGAAACGTGCAGAGAAATTGGAGAAAGGACAAGGGTTTGGGATTGAAAGAGGTAAATAAACAAAAAAAAAAAAAAAAGCACAGGCAGAGGAGGGGCATCAAGCAAAAAAGAAAATTGATGGACAAGACGATGACGGCAGAAAGACGAATTGAATTTTACCACTTACCTAAAGAGATTTGATGGTTCGGACGGTTATTTGTTCCTGTCGACTGGAATTGGTTTCAAAGGCAAAGGCAAAAAACAGCTCCTGCGAATAAGGATGCTCCTTGTTTAAAGGCACCTCGCGCTGCCATTCTCTGACGTAATCGTCTGGAGATTACGAAAGACGGGCTGGGAGCTGAGCAGAACCGATCCAGGTCGAATTGCTCAAAGCTGACGTCCTCGATGCCGGATAATTGTGGATAGCGTTTGGGCGGGCTGGAGAGTTTGGTCCGTTTGTTTGGGCCTGCCAAGCCGTGGGAACGTCGAGAGATTGCCTTGCCCAGAGCTCTTTGCTCTGCTCTGCTTTGCTTTAGCTTCTTTGGCCTTGGAGCAGCTTACAGTAGCATCAACGGGAGGGCGATGGAGAGGGGAGGGGGGGCGTCAACGTCTTGTTGGCCAGATGTCTAGTTCCATTCTACTATATTACGATACGATACGACACGCCTCACCCACTCCCGTCCCGTCGCGTGGTATTTATACTGTACAGCCATGCAATCACATGTGCGTATGTGCTTTCGACTATCTGTTGTACGGAAGTACGTAGTCTGCGTTATATCGACCTGTTCATGTTTTCATCATATCATGTTATTAGTTCGTGCCATGCATCTACTCTACTGCCTCACCAGTCGTCCTTTCCCCCCCCTCACACCGGCACCAAAAAGAGGCCTCGGCCTACCGGAAGCCTGCAACAAACGTCGAGCGAGCAATTTGACACAAGCCTCGTTGCTTTCGGGGGGGGCTGTTCTGTTCTGTTGGGGTGTGATGACAGGCCTTCAAATCGTGTGTGAGAGCCACCGCGCTTACACGACTCCCTACCCATGACCCTTTTCGGGACCAACTTGTGCGCATCTCTCAGCGTCGCACAAACGCTCCGTGGCCCCGTACTGGATCGTAATTGGGAAATAATCTCCAGAGTGCTTGTGCTTTGCTCGGCGCTCTTTTCGTGGCAGCTTGGAGCAAATGACAGGCTGGCGAGGCGCGGGAGCTGAGGTGAATCACAAGGAGGGACAGAGGCAACCCACGAAATGCCCGTAGCACAGCATGGCATCACCGGTTGCTTTTGCTCGTGCTACTGAAGCTAGAACTACAACTAGCCCGCTGCTTGGGAAGCAAATCAATTCCCATGTCCCCTCCCTCGGAAGCTAAGCTTATTCCACGTCTCTTTGCGGGCCGATGACTCGGATTCGATTGCCCCGTGCCTCCAAGCGTTGCCGTAATCGTGATTCAATCCAGCCGTTGTTTTGAAGGATGCCCTGTAGCATATCATCAAGAGCTAAAAAAGAACGCTAGGGGGCCATGACTCTTGGATGACGGGCTACAGTAGCGTCCGTTACAAGCAGACGGCATGGCCATCGAAGAAACAACCAAACATCAAACGTTGGGGCAGCGACAGGATAATCTTGCTCGTTCCGTAATGTAACATGCGAGACCCTGTCGGCCGGGTGTTTGCGGCCCGGAAGCGTCACGATGGACCAGGGGAGCTCCGGCCTGTGGCCCAAAGAGGATTCCATGAAACCTGCGTGCAAAATACAACGGCAGCGGTTCATCAGAAGGTAAAAATAAATGACACAATGGGAAACAGATCATGTATGATGGTACTACCATAATCAATTGAAAAGTTCCATTTACCAAATCGAAACAATCCCAGCGGGCGCCTCTGCCACCGTTGACTCGGCATGGAGCACTTATTTCCCGCCGCAGCCTCTGTCCAGATACAGACAGTTGGAAGAAGAAAAAAAGGTACCGCTACGGACTGACACGTGTGAGCGTTTTTTTGACTCTCTGCCTCCGCCTCTCCCTCCCATCTGTCAAAAACGTGTCACGGCCTCCGGGGTAGATAAAATTCAAAATGATGAAAAGAAAGAAATAGATCCGGTTGGAAACCTTGTTTGTGCCCAACGACTCCCAACCGGCCCCATCCCGATGGAGCTGCCAAGTACCTGCTACTTACCCGCCAGCACAAGAAACAACGTCAGGTTCATTCTCAACCCTTCAAACGCTCACGCGCCGGCGCTTGGTGTCATCTTTGGCCGAGCTTTATCTCAAATGTCATCCTCCCCCCAAAATCGCTCTCCGTCTTTGCTTCCCATCATCCCCGAAATCATGAGTTTCATCATCATTGCCTCGTCTTGTGCAACTCCAGAGCGCCTCTTGTTCTTCGCCCTCTCCTCTATTTGCCGAAATATCAGAACTCGAACAGTAAAGTTTCAGCTAGGCAAAAGCCATCGGCCCATGCCAATCAGCAGTACAGTAAAAGCCTGGCTGTTCAAGCAAACGGCCTCCTTGACCCTAGCCGCTTGGTAGCGGATCGACAACAGCCCCATCGGCGGGGGTGGAGATGACCATGCATTGACGTTTTTTCTTTCTCTTGTTTTCCTTGTCTTGTTGCTTTCTTGGCGCTTTGTTACATCCAACCTTGAACAGCCGAGTGAGCTCCGGCCGTGCCTTACGGGCGTGGCAAGGCGCCCTCCCGTCACGATATCCAGCCGTGAAAAAGCAGGGTATACTGCAGGAGTAGTCAAATGAAATACTAGTACTACTTGTGAGATTGCATAATGTACTTGACCGACAGGTATCGTAGAAAGCAAACAAATACGGGCTCCATACGCGGCACGATGTACCAAACAGGCCTCCGTTTGTTACCAACTCCCGGGACCAAACGGAGTTGCGCTGATCCGTATAAGCCTCATTAGCGATCTGCTCCTGCGTTCCCCCCTGTGCAGCATGGAGCAGGCCTGCTTGCGTGCATGAAATCAATCAATCAGTTGCCCGGCCTTGTCCCAACAAGAAAAGCTCTCACTCCAATAGAGATTGCCCACCCTTGCCCTCAAAAAGGTAGCATGTGAAGCACAGGCTTTCAATTTGTCCGGCCGTAGCTCTGCCGTACCTCATTCGCCCTAAATGTTCCATCTAACTCTACTCCGCCCGACAAGGCCGTGAGCAAAGTGCAAGGGCATAACAAAAAAAAAGACATCACAATTACCTAGACTCCGATTCCTCCTCCTTTAGGTCAGCGGCATAGAACTATAAGCCAATCTCGATATTGATGCGCTGTTTTTTTTTTTTGCTGCTCCTGACGGCATCTTGTCCTCTCCCACGTTGTTATGGCGACATGTATCATTGGCCCTGTCGATCCCTGCATCGCCCTTTGTGGCAAACACGACAAACCTACCCGATGCTTTGGGATAGGGAAAACGAATAGAAAACGTCCCCTAGCTCACCGTATAATGCACCGTTGGATTTATCACCGCCTTATCCGGGTATTATTGAATTGCGCTCAAAAATCCTACTCTGCTCTGCGACGCTCTGCAACTCTCTGATAGGGTATTCACTTCGTGTTCGGTATTATATGACATCTCAGGAAATATGCACTCCAGAGGCAGCCCAGCCCAGCCCGTACGTGTCGTGTCGTGTCGTGTCGTGTCCATGCTGTGCAACCTTGGCCGAGGCGAGATCTAGTGGTTGTCACAGCTCCACGCAAGATGCTCGCCCATCCCGGCTTGAGTCCAGAATCGATGCAGCCCGTGTGCCAAGCCATGCCAGCGGAGATATTCCTTCACCCTTCACCCTTTTTTGTCACGACTCAGCTCCGGATACCGTGCACTTTTTACAGTTTGGCATGCAAGAGACGATCAATCTAGCAGACCTCCCCCCCTCCCTGTGCCTATCAATCAATCTCTCGTTATCCGGAGGCAATGTTGACAATCTACCTAGGTAAAAGGTAGTAGTAGACAACGGCTTAGGCTAGTAAGTGCCTTGTTTATGCTGGCCCTGTTAAAGCATGGAAAGTCAACTAGATGTCACGCCAGGCCATTATGACCGCTTGGCGGATGTGAAAGCACTCGTTGCCACCACTATCACAATCACAAAAGCTTCTCCTGCTTCTTACCCCGCACCTCCGTTGCAATATCAGGCAACGAAAACTGCCTGCTTGCCTGGAGGGATCGCATGCGCCTCAAGGGCGTCAGCAAGAAGCTCCCCAAAAGTCGTTGCCAGCTTATATGCGTCATGTAGGGCGTTGTCTCGAGGCATCACAGGGCAGACTCGGAAGTAATTGGCGCAGGGGCTTGGCTCTCCTTGGAATTCCCCTTGAGCTGGGCATACGACTGGTCCATCAGGCCTTGCTCACAAGGTGCTTCATCTAAAGTGCATCAGCCGTGCCCTTGGGCAAATGCCACATTTGCCTTTCTATCATTCGCGGATGCTGCACAAACAACTCTATAGAGTCTAGACCCAGTACATACACGTAATCAATCCCCGACTGACGCCGAAAACACACATGCTCTACCCTTTTTTTTGATTCGTTCCCATCATCGTCATCAGTTCATCCAAAGGCGTACGGCCTTGTCTTTTCCTCCGCTGCCTACTCGCTGTCCATCAGGACTCCAATCAACCTAGCACGCTGTCAGCCACTGGCTCGGGGGTTAACATGTCAGAAGGGCAAGGGGGCAAACATACGGCAAAAACTTCGTCTTGGTGTCCCGGTAGATCAACAGACAGCTTACACGTAGCCATCGACCACACTTTCAATGTGGTATCTTTGGATGCTGTCACGAGGAGCCGACTATCGGCAGAGAAAGCACACTGGTATATGGGCGCGACATGGCCGCGGAGTGTGTTGATGAATTTGCCATCCCTATATCGGACATGATGTTAGCACGTGTGCCAGACGCATTCCCTCGGTGCCCTCGAAACACAAACCTTGCGCTCCAGATTTTGGTGTGATTGTCCCATCCGGCACTCGCGATGAGACTGCCATCAGGGGAAAATGTCACGTGGTTGATGGCCTTTTGGTGTCCCAGAAGCCGTGCGACCGGCTTTGTGCCTTGGGAAGGATCCCATAGGTACATGGTGAAGTCGTCCTGTGTAAGCACGAGAACAAGTCAGAGAGATGAAGCATCACCATGGATTGTTTGCTAGGTAAACTTACGGAGCCTGATACAAGACGTTCAGCAATCTTTCCCTGGAATCTGGCTGCTTTCTCAAAACGCTCCTTTGCCTTGTTCCGTCTTTCCTCCTCGCCGCTTGGCGTTGGCTGGTGATCGTAGAATGACGTGCGTAGTGCAAAGTCGGTAGATAGAGCCAGGTGATTTACCCAGTGGGCATGAGATGATAGCGTGTGCACCAGTGTTCCCTTCTCGGCGTTCCAGATCCTGACTGTCTTGTCATGGCTGCCCGAGTAGATCAATCCAGTTCCTCCCCACTTGACGCAGCTCACGCTGCTCCGGTGGCCGGACAAGACATGCTCGGTCCGTCCTGTGTTTACTGCCCAAACACGAATTGTTGTGTCCTTACTCGCACTCGCCAACCGGGGGGATCCATTCTCCCAAAGATGATACGGCTCCCAGGCAATGTTGGTAACCCACTTGGAATGCCCTGTCAAAGCTCCGGTGCCGGCAGCAGCTTTCCCTGTCGCAGGATCCCAAAGTCGTACAGACTTGTCCATACTTCCAGTGGCCAAGCGCATACCATCGGGGGACCAAGAAACACACAGAACCCAGTGCGCATGACCAGACAGGGTGTACTTGGGAGTGCCGGTTGCCGTATCCCATATCCGGGCAGTTTTATCTCCAGAACCTGTTGCCAATAGGGTACTGGTGGCAGGACTAAACTGAGCAGCCAAGATTGCTTCTCCATGCCCAGGTATTCTATGAGACATCCGCGTGACTGCTTGGACTTTGAAAACAGCTTGCGGTTCGGCGCTAAGCGTAACGGTGGTTTCAAATGGATTCTCAATGCCATGGCTGCGTAAAAGTTGGAGCAGGTCGGTCGGGTATTGATCGACGATAATGTCCGTCTCTGGGATGTGTATTCGGAAGCGATACGGGAGGAATTCTTCCCTTTCCTATTTTCGTAACCCATCAGCTAATGCGCTCCATTGGTATGTTCAATTAAGCGGCGGAGACAAACCCTAGCCAGCAGCGTGTTTAACAATAATGATAGGTTTTTCTCAGATGCATCAGCGAGAGGCACTTCGATGACATCGGCCATCTGCTTTCCGTCGCTGTCGAGAAACCGAGCCTTGAACGAGCCCGCGGGGCCAGCCACGACGGCGGTGACATCTTGCTGTATCTGTGTTTTTTCCAAGTTTTCGCGCTTTTGGCGCTTGGACGGAGGGGGTAGCACCGTAGCCATGGCAAGTTGAAGAGCTTCCTTGGACTGACGATGTTTTCAATGATAAATGTTGTTCAAAGTTCGCTACAGAATCACAATGGTGGGGCCAAATGGCAAAAAAACTAGGACCTCGATGAAAAATTAAGGCGGTGAGAATGTGGGGTTCCGCCAAGAATGGTAAGCCCACGCCAATGCCTCAAGGGCCCCGGTCGAGATCTGTAGCATTGATGGGCCAAAAAAAAAAGTTGCATCGGATGAGATATCCGATGCTTTTTGAAAGATGACTTCGAGGGAGAGCCTAGACGTCTGGCTGCGTCGCCATTGGCGGTCGGTGGCCACGAATGCGCTTGGGCGCGGGCGTGCCTCCGAACACGGGAAAGACTGAGGTTGTCGCCATCCCACCAGGAATGGGGACGGGATTGGGATTCTGGGCCAGCTGAAAATGCGACTCCTGCATCAACGGCTGGAGATGGCTATTCTGTGCTTCTTGCTGAAGTTGATGATGAACGGCCTGTTGGTCCATGTTTTGCTGGTGCTGGTGCTGCTGCGATTGGTCTTCCGGCCGTCCACGGCGCCTTGCACGCTGCTTCTGGGCTGACAGCTGTCTGCGGCCTTTATCCACCAGCAAATGCCTCTTGTCTTGGGCTTCTTGCCTGCGCTGACGCTGCCAATCCTCGTTTTGCACGGCGTAGATGGCTGCAATTTGCATCTGAAATTGTGCCAGCGCGTTTAATCGGTCTGGCTGTGACATCTTACGATAGTCGGATTTGAGCTGGTGGAAAGTGTCGCCGGTCAATCGAAGTGTCGTTTCGGAGACGCCAGCCAGCTGAATAGCCGTTGCTGTCTGCGTGTCGGGTCGTGGGCCGTCATCGATCTCTATCACGTACTGATTAGAACCCCAGCCTCGGACGCCACGAAATCATTCAATGACCAACCTTGAAGTTCAGTAAGTTCATTCTCGTCTTCGCTCATCTCAGTGGGCGTTGGTGGCTCTGGAGTTCCAGGGGCATGGTTATGCTGGTCACAGGATATGGTCAAGACCCAGCCGCCAATGCTCTTGCGGTTGACAGCTTTGGCTTTCCAGGGGCAATCCGTCTTCTTGGTGGTGGTCTTGTGCTTGGTTGCCATGCATTTATACGGGCGGCCACCTCGATCACAGACAAGATCGCAGCGGACAATGTCATTGCCAGGGATATCGGCACCTCCCATCCGTGAGCGGTGCGACCTCGCCTTGACAATCTTGTAGCCCTCCTTCTCCATTCGACCATTGAGGTCCTTGATCAGCTCCTCGTACGTGCTGAAGACGCCGGCATGGGGCACGGCAACGGCCTCGAGGATCCCAAACATGGCTGTTCTGGTGCGCCGGCGGTTCGCGCTGATATCGCTAGACTGCGTGTGGATTTGAAGTCGAACCTGTGCGTGTCCAATGTGATTCGTGGCGTCACAGCGCGGTCAGGACGTGGAGAAGAAGGTTGTTTTGGGAGAAGTTTCGGGCTAAACCACGGTCCCTAGGCCTACAAGCCATGACTCAGCTCCCCTGGTCCAGGTACCTGGACAGCTGCAAGAGCTGATTGGTACGTACAAGCAGCCAGTAACATCACATGCTTCGCGACAGCTCCTTCCTGCTCGTTGCTGTGCAGATAGTAACAAATCTTCCCTATCAGATAAGTGAATGGGCAGGCGCAATGATGGATGAGTTTGTAGTTTCTTAGTACTTGAATTTTCAGCTATACCTCAGCCAAAGATTAATCTAGTAATAAAATCCTCAACTTCAACCCTGTTTCGTCTTTGGCATCTATCCGACTGCTTCATCTTTCACTCAATCCCAAACGGACCGTCACAGCACACAATCCAATCCCGATCTTCACCGAGTCGTAAGCAATACTCTTAAATCTGACAAGGGTTCTACAATTGTGCTCTCGATTACCGCAATCTTCCGTCTATCAGCTCTACTCAGGTGCCGCACCTTCATCCTCAACCGCCATGTCGTCTCCATCATCTCAAACTTCGTCTCGAACAACGGGGCCAATTTCTTCATTTTTTCCCAGCTCAGTCCCGCCTGGTTCTCCCAGCAATCAATCTGTTACCAGCTCTATCCGAGCTGCCAGATATATTCTCCGAAGCGAAGAAAACCCTTCATCCCAATATTCTCCATCCACTGCCGGTTCTAGGCCCAGTACCTCCTACATAACAGCCTCTACGACTACTTCTCGTCCTAATACTCCCTCGCGTCGTTCTCGAAGTGAAGCCACGCCTTCTATCCTTGGGCAAAACGACTCTCACGATGTTGTATGCGCAGTTAGCGAAGCACGAGGTGTCACTCCTACAGTGGGAATCGCTACTGTCGACCTTTCTCTCGGTGAAGTGACTCTCAGCCAAATATGTGACAACCAATCCTACGTGAAGACAATTCATAAGCTTCAACTGGCGTGCCCTTCTCGCATAGTCTTTATGCCTTCCGCATGCTCTCCCAACGAACCTAGCACATTCTTTTCTCTTGCTCAGAGACTGATACCTGAGGCGGAGACAGCCTCTCATGACCGCTCTGCCTGGTCTGAATCCGCTGGAATAGAGTACATAGAGCACCTTGCCCCTGAGGGTGATATTGGGCCAATCAAAGTGGCTATTCAGGGCAAATATTACGCTATATGCTGTTTCTCTGCCGTAAGTCGCTTTTCCATTTTGCTCTTCATTGAAAGAGGCTTATTTTACAAAATCTAGGCTATGAAATATATCGATCGCCAATTCAATGTCAGCTTCTCGTCTCAGTCGCTGCGCATCAGATATCAGCCTTCCGAGGACACCATGATGATAGACATACCCGCGATGCAATCACTGGAAGTAATGAGAAACCTCAAATCTGCCAAATCGAAAGAATGCCTGTTTGGATTGTTGAATCACACTCTGACGCCGATGGGTTCTCGCGTGCTCCGCAACAATATGCTCCAGCCACCCACTGATTTCGACGGATTCATCAAGACACGCTACGATGCGCTTGAAGAAATGGTCACCAACGAAGAAATGTTTCATGAAATTCGCAAAGGTAAGAAGAATGGCGGGAGTATTGATCATGTGAACAACTTACTGAGTCACTAATTAGCCCTCAAACTTTTCCATGATGCTGAGAAAACTCTCACAAAGGTAAGCCACAGCATATCAACTCATCAACATGTAGATAACCGATGAATGCAGCTAGTTATTATTCGGAATGTTACTGGAGTTTCTGCGGTTGAAGAACAACTCACCCAAATACTCATGATCAAATCATTTCTGGAATCGATTCCCGACCTCTACAGAGCCCTTCACCCAGCAACAAGCGACTTGCTCGTCAAGATACGGAATCTGTGCCAACCCGAGACAACGGTTCCAATTTTACTCAACATCAAAAGGGTAATTGAACCCGATGTTACCTACATGAAATCCCCACTGGATCTGCGAAACCAAAGGGCCTTTGCGGTCAAATCCGGAATTAGCGGCATGTTGGACGTTTCTCGCCAAACATACAGAGAGCTTACCGATGCTATTCACACATACTCGGATCACATCAACGGTATGGGCGGCCACCATCACTTGTCCCAAATAATGGAAACTGACACACACGTATACAGAAACATATCGTGTTGCGGCATCGTTGAAATTCGATAATCGCCGCATGTACTGGTTCCGAATCCCTACGGCGGACTTGAACAAGGATACAATACAACGAGACTTTATAAATGTAATTCCAAAAGGGAATCACATGGAATGTCAGACGCTTAATCTCGTCAAGCTAAATCAACGGCTCTTTGACACTTCGAACGAGATAATCATGCGAAGCGACGTCGCCATTCGTGACTTGGTAAAAGAACTTCGACGCCAAGTGTCACCCCTGTTCCGGATATGCGAATCCATTGCTCTTGTGGATATGATATCGTCCTTTGGTCAAATCACCACCACGCGGGACTATGTGCGGCCAAATATCGAGGACACGTTGGCTTTAAAATCAGCAAGGCATCCAATCCTAGACAAGGTAGTGCGCTGCCCTACAACTTGGGTACAAACTGCTTTCCACAGGCTGATTATTAGATTTGCAGAAAATGGCAAGCGAGTACATACCCAACGATTATTATTCTGCAGAGCAGCATCGTTTTCACTGTGTCACAGGATGCAACATGAGCGGTAAGAGTACATACATACGCTCGGTAGCGTTGCTTCAAATCATGGCTCAGATTGGATGTTTTGTCCCGGCAGAGTTCGCATCCTTTCCAATCATACACAACATCTTTGCCCGCATATCGACCCAAGATAATATCGAGGCAAATCTCTCGAGTTTTGGAGTAGAGATGAGGGAAATGGCTTTCATCCTAAAGAATATAGACAACAAGAGCCTCGCAATCATTGATGAGCTGGGCCGCGGAACTAGCACCAGAGATGGCATGGCGATCGCAATGGCGATCTCCGAGGCTCTGCTTGACACTGGGGCCTCTATCTGGTTTGCAACCCACTTTGTCGAGCTAGCTCGAGTGTTTGCAGACCGTCTTGGTGTCCTCAATCTCCATCTTGCATCCAACACATCGGTTGGGGAGGGAGGACTGCCGCAATTGACAATGCTGTACAAAGCTAATGCGGGTACTGTTGATGACGAAAACCATTATGGAATTGCTTTGGCCCGCGCCATTGGAATGCCAGAGAGTTTTATTAACTGCGCAGAGACTGTGGCAAATGATTTGAGAAAAAGGCGAGAGTCGAACCGACAGAGCTCTGATGCATATAAAGAGATACACCGACGTAGACTCGCTTTGAACCTTTATGAAGCTATCAACCAAGCCAAAAAGTCTCCAAACAAAGACACTATCTCTGGCTACCTTACGCGTCTTCGAGAGCAGTATATTTTACGGTTGAAGGAGATTGAAGAAATGTAGCGCTAAGCGACTAGATGTCTCCATCTTCTGGTACAATGTTCGAATCTTTTCACTCACCCATGTAATAGGCAGTGTCTATCTAGCTTATGAAATCAACAAATCGCCACGAAAGCTCGGTCATGATCTACTTCCTGTACTTCTAATATGCTATCATCCTCTCCATCTGTAGCTTTGGCCGGGCTGTTTACATCTCATAAAGGAACTACTACCTCGCGAACCAAAGAAAATCATATTTGAGTACGAACAATATGCTGCGAGTCGTTACTCGAGGTATAGTTCCATAGCATTTTCTTTGGGTGTAAAAGGCTGCTTCAGAGACACATCTTAGCTACTCCGTTAGAAAAAGAACACCTAGATTGAGATACGTACTGTAATAATTCGAAAAGCTTGCTCGTATAGCTGACGTTGTAGGTATTCAGATTGAGGTCTCTCTTGAGGCTGTTCCATGACTGTTCTGCCCTCTTGCCCATTTCTTCTGGAACGGACTGATCTGTATCTGTAAGACACCTGTTGAAGACCTCAAGGCTTATCCAGCCCTTGAAACCAATCCGCGAAACAAGAACTTGAAGAATCTCTTGGATAGGTAGGTAACCTCCGTAATGAGGCTCACCATAGAAAAGCCTTGCGTTTCTAGACCAGCTCATGCGAGGTTGTTGTTCTGGATCGTAGAATTCGTGATCTTGAAGTAATGGACGCTCGAGTCTCTCTCCATCAGCTACCTGCAAGAGGAATATCCTATCAGCTGGGACAGACTGGACGAGGCGATCCAAAGATTGTGTCAAGGCTTGAGTGGCGTCTGGGTTGCGGCCAGTTGACGTTGTAGGATCACCGTATATACGGCCTGCAATGTTGAATGTGTCCAGGCAGATGCCAAAGTTTGGTCGGTTTACGTTGCACACAACGTCCCAGCTGGCTTCCCAGGTCTCAACACGAGTTCCCCAACAGAGAGCTTCGTATGCAAATCGAATGACGGGTGTTTCTTGGAGACCCATCTCAGCTATTTCTACCATGTCTTGGATGATGCAGTCCATGTCTTCGGTGATTTGCTCCGGTGGTAAGCTGCTGCTTGGCAGCATGATAAGATCAGTACCCAACACATGTGCCATCTTGAACCAGAGCCTCATCTCTTCTATACGTCGATGATGCAAGTTGCGATCCATGAGGCCTTCATAGTGCATGAATGGCTGGAGACAGATGATTTCGAGGTTTCGATCGTCGCAATATCCTCTAATCAAATGCGCGGACGAGATGTGATTCTCTGGAGTGGCTCCGCCAGGCATCTTCTTGGCGAGGCCCAACAGGTCTTCATAGAATAATTCGATGCCTTTGAAGCCGTGGTTTATGGCCACGTCTAGTTTCTCTGGGAGAGAATGGCCAGCGTAGCATCTTCCCAGGGACATTGTGCATATACTTGGTCTATACGCCATTTTAAGGAGACGACAAGAGCGAGGAGTTTATAAGAGAAGAGTGAATTTGATATGAGAAAACAACTAGAGTGATACAGTACCAACCAGTTGGAAGATTCACAAAGATATACTCATCCTTTTTCAATGATCTTCAACGAAGAGTCTTTTTGGGGCCTCCTGAGTACCCACCCTTCTAGTATCCAGTGTGGATGTACGGCGATGTTGGAAAGGAGCGTTTGGATTGATGGGTTTCAATCGAACTAGGAGCCACGTACTAATTATGCAGTAGAACTCTTATCACGCTATTTCAACATCATTTGACGACCAGCCCCTAGCTGTGAAGGCCAGTCTCGCCGACGGTCCGCCGTCGACGAACCACGACGATAGCCAAGGATATTAGTGCGGGCAAAGCTCGAGTCAAACAAACAATGGGAGGGGGAAAGTGAACAAAGGCTCTCGTCGGACAGATTCAAAACTCCATGAACGAGAATTCGGGTCAACGATGTCCGAAGCAAGTATACGATGACGGCTCCGGCAAAGCGGCCGAAGAGAAAGACGGCGATAGCTCCGCTGGTGGGGCCGTGTCCAGTCCCAGTTTCCGTCGGGACAGACTCGAAAGAGAGTTGCCAAGGCTGTGTGATGATGCAGGTGTTTCCAGTTGTTGTGTATTAGGTGTTATCAATGGGCCGGAGAAGGGCCATTTCCCGGCATCTTGGAGTGAGCGATGTGGCTGCATCGTGAGGCATGCATGAGAGGCCATGAGCCTATCACGGTGCGATGTCGAGTCCCCGAGTTTGCGGAGAGTAGCTGTTGAAATGGAGACGTGTTATGAGAACCTTGATATATATGCATCTCGGGGATTGTAGAACTATTTGCTGGCAGAATGTTTATGTGTGCAGTCCTAGGCAAATCGGACCGAGAAGCCTTATGACCGGGATTCCGCGATCCCTGTTGTCACAAGTAGGAAGGTGGAGAATAAAGGGCCCAAGTACGAGCGACAAATTAAGCATCTTTATAGCCTTTTTAAGGCTGATGATCGTATGAGATATTTGCGAGAATTTCCTGGGTGCATGTTTAGTTTGATAATAAGACGTAGTGCTGGAGGGCCTCGTGACAATGGTGTTAAGCCAGCTTGTTTACAAATTAAATAAATAGTTTAATTCACAAAGCATTAAAATTTATGATATAGCATGCCGACTCGAAAAGACGGTTCAAAGATTATAATTGAATATGCTTGATCCAAAGGCGCGGCTGCAATTGTAAGATGTGGTCTGCTGTTAGTTGAAGATACGGGGCGAATACGCAGACAGATGATTATTTCATTCTGCAATACTCTCATTAATAACCAATCATCTCGCGTACCATTCAAAACCCCAGAATATTCTACTTTTGGAGTTTACCATTTCAACCCGATTGAATCCAAGCTGCTGGCCAGACAATATCATCCCAGATGCCATTTTATAGGGTATGTCACTTGGTTGCTTACGGAGGGCGATTTAAGTAACGGGCTGTGTCCATTCAGCCTTACGTATAAACAGTATGTTCCCTGCAGTATTACATCGTGTACGACGCATCATTAACTTGCGGGGTTAAGAATATTAGATAATGTTGCATTCTATCGTCTTGTTTCGTGCAGTGAAAGTGCCTGAGGCACGATGTCACCTACACGCGTCTTAGCCGTCTCTCGACTAAGTTAAATCTAAGACACTCAAACAAGTCACCTCGGATTCTGTATAAAAGGAATTGTACTTTATCGTGTCAAATCCTCCTCAAATCCGGATCGGCAGTATAGCACAATTCGAAAAGAACATTATTATACCAGGCTGTCTTTCACTTGCGCCATGCATTTCCACGCGAAAGTGAACAGCTGTTTGCACTTTGACGCCAACGGAACCGAACGCGTTGATAGGTTCATTTCCCTGCACATGTGCACAGCCTGGTCGGCACGGCACGATGGAATATGGTTGATCCCTGACCGGCAGGCTGGCGAGGCGTCGATTGGCTTGGCTGGCTCTTCGTACATGAATTTGAAACAGGCATCATGATCCCAGCCCGACAGCTGAAGCGGGGGTTCAACAAAACCATTCCAAAACTATTCCAGCCTCACACTCACACCATGGCTACCGAACCTGATTGTCCTGCCGCTGGGCCAAACCCTGTGGTACCGACTCCAAGCATCGCAGCAAGCAAGCCGTCGCATCGCTATCAACATTTCATTCCTCAATTCCTCCTCAAGAACTTTGCCCACAAATATGTCGCTCCCGACTCCCTTGACTCGACCAAGGCCAAGAAGCGGAATCCCAACACTGGCATGTATTCTGGAGAGCCAGCGGTTAATACCCTCCACCTCTCTGGCGATTTCTCCCTGGAAGAGTGTGCGGTACGACGTACTTGCGGCATGGAGGATATGTACGAGGACACCGACAACTTGCTGAAAGACCACGGCCATCTCGAGAAGAAGTTTGCCGCCATAGAAAGCACGGCGAGCTTCATCTATCGCAAGATTGTCAAGGCGTATAAAAATGGCAAAGACAACATATGTCTGACACGAAAAGAAAACGACTTCTTACGCAAATTCATATTCCTGCTTACCTTGCGTAGTGTGCAATACCACCGAAAATACAACATCAACAGCGTACATGATTACGACGGGGATGATAAGGTGTGGTTGCAGGAATACATGGAATCGTACGGGTTTACAAAGCCCCTTGATGTCTGGCTTCAGAGCTTGGAGGTGCTTATTGATTTGGAGATTGATCCCGATGGAATCTGGGTCGACTTCGTCAAAGAGGCCATCTACTTCCCTATTGCCGACAACTTTATCGACCATATGAAAAAGATGTACATGACTATCTGCACGCCGGACGAACATGTCGAGGAGTTTATCCTTACAGACAACTGCTGCAACGTAACCGAAGGGACGATCCCAACTTACCTCATGGAGAATATGATCAGTCACCTGGACCTGGCTCCTTGTTTTCACAGATTTGCCCCCGTTTCGCCAAAGCTCATGATAGTCTTGCGGTACAACCATTTGCCTGAACAATTTTGCGTTGCGGATCCAGTTGCTACAGTGCAGCGACAAACCCAGCAGCAGACTGGCTCTGGTGACGGAACTAAATCCATGCTGGAGGGCCTCCCTATCCGAAAAGCAAAGATTACACCAATGGAAGAGGTCAATGGACAACTGGTGCCAAGAATTGGAACGAACCAGAAATTGTACGAATGTGACAATTTCTACTTCACAATCTTTAAAATACCTGCCCAACACGTCCGAATAATCAATCGTCTTTTGATTGATCTCGCGTTCCATGGCTCGAGAATCATCTTTTTCAGAAAGAAAGCCTTCATGGATTTGATTACGTGGTTTTTATCACAACCATGCATAGTAGGAAAGAGATTGACAGAAAAACATGGCGCCCAACAGTTGGGCTACATCAGGGGCTTGCTCCAATTTATGAGGCGCGAGGGAAGAGATGTTACTTTCAAATGGACATTTGGGCCAAATGAATGTGGCGACCTTGACCAAGTACACATTCGTAACGTTGCTTTCACCAAGTATTTGGAAGATACGAATCGTGGAAAAGATGGTAGTGGTTTGGATCATGAAACACTTTATCAGAAACTAGGTATTGGAATTTCTAACCTTTGCTTGACTGAAATGCTAATTAATCATGTGTGGTAGGTGGAGTAACCGAGAACTTCAATAGCGATATGGCAGCGGCTACTATCATGTTTGAGACCTGGACCATGAGTGTCGATTTGAATTACGGTTCGCCTGACTACCAATCTACTTGCCGGGAGAAGCTCGAGCGACTCCTAGCAGGCCATCAAGGACAGTCTAATACTCGGTTTTGGCTTTTCCTGAAGAAAATGCGACTTGGTCAAGTAGTGGCGACCAAAGCCTTCCACTCAGTACCGGGCTTTGCTTTGCTTGTCAAACCAGAGTGCAAAGGATCGGAGGACATGCTAGCCTACGGTCAGTTTAACCGTTCTAAATGTCCGATGTTCATATTACTTACGTGATGTTCACAGCACACTCGACCGTACCCGATAAAGAGCTCAATGTGGCCATGTACAAGGCTTTCAACGAGAGCATAGTTGAGATCAGAGGTGCTGGGTGCGGCCTGGAAACAATGGGGCAATTTTCACTTTTTGGAAATAAGAAATGGAGAAATTCGAAACCTGCTGGCCGAGATGAGCCTCGCGTTGATAAGAAAAAGAAAGAGATGAAAGACAAGAAGATGGTTTGTCCTGCGTTGTCTGATGACACGAACGGGAAAGCATCAACGGAATCCGCCTGCGAGGAGAAACAGCTTGACTCGAAAGAGAACAGTGATGGTGACAAGAAAGCAATTTGTTCTTTGCAGCCTGAAAGCACCAACGAGACAGCATCAGTCGAATCTGCCTGCGAGAAAGAACAACTTGACGCAAAGGAGAAGAGCAATGATGACAAGAAAGCAACCGGCTCTTCGCAACCCGAAAACACCAACGAGAAAGCATCTACAGAGTTCGTCTGCAAGAATAAAGAGCTTGATGCGAAGGAGAAAAGTGATGATGACAAGAAAGCGATTCGTTCGTCGCAACCTGAAGACGGAAAGAAAGGACCCCCAGCGAGCATTGAGGAACCAACTAAAACTAGCGATGATGACAAGACGAAAGGCAAAGTTTGTGCAAGTAACACGGTCTGTACTGAGGGCAAGCCAACCTCTTCTTCGCCGGACGAGAGCACGAAGAAGGAAGAACAAACGGACACGGACCCCACAGAACAACAACTTCAACCAATCCATGGGGTCCAGAAGACAGAAGATGAACCTGTCCTACAGAAAAGTCCGACCAAAGCCGTGGCCCGCAATAAAAAGGCATTGAATACTCTTATCGACAATAAGAAAATGTGGTATGTTTGGGCGACCACTGTCTCTTGCCTGCTAGGCTCGCTGGGTCTCTTTGTCCTTGGAGCTCTCGGCTGTCTTCTCTCGCCAATTCTTCGCGTTTTAAGCTATGCTGTCTCGCGATTCCTTGACCACTTTGTCCTGCTGTTGGACAATATGGCAGTGGCGTCGAATAATCTCCGGTTTGCTTTGTTTCCCTTGGCAAAATATTTGCTTCACATGACAATGATTTTGATTGTGATTGTTTTGGGCCTTACCATGGCCAAGAAATCGTTTAGAAAGTAAGTTTTGAAGATGCTTGGCATTGAAGGAATTGAGGCTGGGAAAAGATTGCTCTTCATGTGGAAAGCGTACGCATAGTCGATATGCTTCTTCTGGAATTGACATGCCTGGATGCTTGCCTGGCTTTTTTGAGAAATAAACTCCATCTGACTTTATCCTGGCAGTATATGACCGCGTCTCGAGGATCACACATCTGTCTCTACCTATGTACCCGCGAATGAATAACGTTCTTGAAGGCAATAGATTGGACGGTTAACCCTTGTGCGGCCTCAATTCCCACTGCGCAATTGAATACGTCTGGCCGTATTCGCCGACATTTACCATGTACTTGCCGCCCTATCCTATTTGTCAGCCCCATTCTCAATCACCTACCTTTATTATACAGGCCGAGGTAATAATTACCAGGAAGAACCCGACCATGCCAACAAGGGTGGTTCCGTCGGTCAAGTCGAATTCGACCTTGTCGCCTCTGCAACATGGTTATGAATGAAGGATACTTGAGAAGAATAGCAATACACTTACATTGCGTATTTCATGATGATTGTGATTTCCTGGGTGATGGTGTTTGTTACTGACTGGCGCCTGGGATTTAAAAAAAAAATGTGTGGAAAGATGTCGCTTTTAACTGTTTCACAGCACGTTCATCACACTCTAATCAGACAAACTGCCACTGGCTCAATCGGGCGATGGTGCCGGTTAGTGGCCGGCTGAGATGGAGAGGCCTGGGGTCAACGTGGCACCAGACAATCAGCATTTCTCCAGATGTAAGTGATGTGCTGAGCGGAGCTTTTGAAGATTGTCAGCCATGAAGAGAACAGGTGGGGTGAACTTGTCCAGTTCTGTTTAAAGCTGGTTAAATGTCCTGCTTAGGCATCATCGTGAAGAAAAAGAAACTCATGTGGAGGAATTGCTACGTAAAACTGCAGATATTGGCTTGCCGAGAAAATGAATGGCGGCCTTATTGGCAACCTACCCCAATATTGCAGTACGAAGTAGTCTGTGGGGTAGTCTGTTCTATGTAAACTTCTGAGTTCACCTTCATCGCCTAGAACTTTTTGCTCCTATAGCTTGACTTTGACTCAATCGAAATATATTGACTGGCAACAGTGGTCCATACACGACAAACAAACAGGAAACTTAACACATCTTGTATAGAACAGATTTCCGGTACCGATACAGCCGTGATCAATACCTATATTTCGCTGCTTCGAATGAATGGATGAACCACTAGATGCCTATGGAAGAAGCTGCCCGAATATACCGCTCAGCGATGAGGGCTTGTCGCTATTCAAGGCGTCTGCTATCCTCAATACTCAATTTGAGGCATCATTGTCTACTTCATCTAGATGCTGACGAAAAAGTTCTCTGATGTTTTCGCTGACAGGGAGATCAAATGGTGTATTATCATCCAGATCTTTGATGTTTGAGTCGGCACCGTTTTCGAGAAGAATTTTAACAACTTCCTTTCTCCCCCACAGCACTGCAAGATGGAGAGGTGTATAAAAGATCATCTCTCTGCTGGTTAACGTTTGCATTCGATTCTATCAGTAGCAGAGTGATGTCAGCATTATCAGCAGATGCATGAAGCGGTGTCCACCCGTCACTCCGTGCAATATCAGGATTAGCATGATGTTTCAGAAGTTCTTGTACGGCAGCAACGTGACCGGCATATGCTGCCTTAAACAGCGGAGTTTCTTCTTCTCCCCCACGCTTATCAATATCTGCCTTTGCGCTCAGCAGAAGGGATATGGCCTCAACATTCCCTTCCCTAGCTGCGATGTGCAGAGGGTTGTTGTCATCATTATTGTCATCGTCAAGCAATAAAGCCGAAGCGCCTCTTTCAATGAGAACTTTCGCATTCTCGAACTGATCCATGTCCAGTGCTCTATGCAATGGAGTCCCCGTGTCACTGATTTGGTTCACTTTGAGTTCTTGACAAACTCGATTACCTCGTCTGCTAGGTTTTCACCAGACCCTTCAATGTGATGAAAATGGGCTACCCAGAATCGGCACGCGTAATCCGTCAATCCAAATACTGGGTCTAATTCTTTCTGTCCCAGATGGCTTCTCGAGAGTTGGGATACCGAGTTGCTTAGTGAGTTTCCAGACTCATTCTGATTAACTATCGTAAGGTACTTGAGAGTAAGTCTGACCAGATCTTCACCGGATTGTAAGCGGAATCCTTCGAGACTCTTATCATGAGAATTGGATAAGAAGTCCTGGATCATCTGAGGATTGACGATCCTGGCACATTTTTGTTCCACGACTACAAGGCCACCAAGGTGATTGTGAAGGTCTCGTTCAATGTCCATAGAGATAGCCTCTTGAAGTTCTGATAATGTTGATCGACCAAGTTCTATTGCAGCAGCCGCGGCAAGCTCATCAAGGTGCAAAGGCCAAACTGATTGTAGAATCCAAGACAGGACCGAAGTGGCCCAAGAGACAATTATGCGAGGTTTGGCACTCAACGCAAGCAAGTGGTCTCGGCAGACATCGATCTCACTAACACCGACATTTGAGATGGATTCGTTAATAGCAGTTAACGAGTGGAAAGTGAGTCGTTGAAACACCCGAGTTAAGTAATATGTTCTCATGGAAAAAGACCCCTCAAACTTCTCAGCCGACAAGAGGCACTGTTCCTCGATGTTTTTACGTAGGACATCTCTATCTGAGATTAAACTGTGACCTCGGTCGAAAAATTGTTTCACTTTTGCGGTAATGAATCGTTTCACCGATGAATAGTGCTCCTTCAAGCCAACCGGAAACTCGATTCCGGTAAAGTTTTGTATGGTGACATGACTGCTAATGAGAAACGTGCAGGTTGAACCAAGAGAATCTGCAACCAGATCCGAAAACTTTGGCCACCAGGTTTGTACGTCATTTGGCCACTCTTCGAAGTCATAGATGACTACCGGGAAGTGGGTATCTCGAGCATGATGAAGTATTGTAGACAGGAGGCATTGAAGAGCCGCTTCTGTCCACTGATCCTAACCGAGAACTGGACTGGTAGGTTTCTGCGAGCCGGTTATAAATGACTCCTATGCAGGGTGATGATAATGCTTACTCTGCGAATGACATAATGGCTTTTTTTCTTCTCTTAATGCTTGTCTTTAATATTCGCCGCGTAAACTTTGTGAAATACAAGCCGGAAGACGGCCTTTTAACAATTTATATTACTACAAGACATGATATGGCCCAATATGTATGTAATCTATTCATGGCTGAATCGGGCAAGTCTTACACAATGGGGCAGTTGTCTGGCTGGCTGAGATGGAGAGACGTGGCTCCAGACAATCGACATTTTCCCGAATGTACGGGACGGGCTAAAGTGGGAGCTATTGAAGAATTATACGGCCATGACCTATATCAGCTAGCATAAGGAGGAGTAAAAACTGTTTGACGTCTTTTAAAATACACTCGACGAATTTGGACAAAGACAATCACATTCAGCAACAGTTGAGCCTCGGCAAACAAGTAAACGGCTTGCACAGCCACAACAGTGCGCCACATTTACTTCGCCACACCTGTAACCGGCTGCCTGCGCTTTTGTCTTTTGTACTCGTCACGCCAAGAGTACGAGTACGAGTACCCCCAACATCTGGGCTCTTACAAAATCCCACCAGATTTCTGCTAAATGGCTGCCTCGAGTGAATTCGTACGCAAACGCGTAACCCAGAGGCGAATCCGAAACACAAACATACCAACAAAGCGAGGAGGAGTGGCAAAACATGGCGTGTTGAAACGACGCCGTTTATACCCGCCAAGGTCTGTCTGCCTGCAATGGGCCTCCTGGTTCTATCTAATTCCTGTATATAAAAGAGACATCAACTTTTTTTTATAGCAATTGACACAAATCTCTTTTCATTCACATCTCCTCAATTTCTTCCTACTTCAATTCACAAGGTGATGGGATCTATGCTGTTGACCTCCCAATCCGCAAATCATCCCGCCATGGCCCCAACGCTCGGGTCTTCCCTCGAAGCCCACGGTCTCGCAGACGAGCAGAGGGGCCTGCTGGACCTCATCGACAAGCTCCAATTCGCCCAGCTAGACAATGTCAAACTGCCTCAGATTGTCGTTGTGGGTGACCAATCCGCCGGCAAGAGTTCTGTCCTCGAAGCTCTCAGCGGCACACCCTTTCCCCGAGACGCCGGAGCTTGCACTCGCTTTGCGACGGAGATTCGCTTGCGGAGAGCAAAGGAGACGAATCTCAAGGTGTCTATTATTCCCGACAAGAATCGTCCTTACAATGAGCAGGCTCGTCTGCTGCAGTTTGGAGGCCGTGTGGGCATCGACACGCCGTTTGACGCCTTGATGAGAGAGGCCACGGAACTCATCGCGCCGCGCAGCATACCAGGCCGCTTTGCCGCCCGCGATATCCTCGTCGTCGAAAAGATGGGACCGGAAATGCCCATGCTGAGTCTCGTTGACCTGCCCGGCCTTGTCCGTGTGGCCAACAGAGACCAGTCTGAGGCGGACATTCAGACCATCGAAATGCTCTCCGACCGATATATGAAGAGCAGCCGGACCATCATCTTGGCCGTCATCGGCGGCAACAACGACTACGTGCAGGCTCCCATATTGAAGAAAGCTCGCCACTTTGACCCGTCTGGCTCGCGCACCATTGGCGTCTTGACAAAGCCAGACATGACAGAAGGCATTGGTCTCGAAGACAAGTTCATCGAGCTTGTCGCGAACAAAGATCGAGAAAACAACTTCAAGCTCGGCTGGTATATCCTGCTCAATCCGGGACCGGGCGAGTACTGGTCCTCCGCGGAAGAACGATCACGCCGCGAAGCGGACTTCTTCACAAAGGGCAAATGGGCCGCCCTGCCGCCTCACATGTGGGGGATCGAAGCATTGCGACAGAAGCTCAGTTCCCAGCTCCAGCGACACGTGGGAAAGCACGTCAAGTCGCTCCGAAGACAGATCCAACAGGCCCTCGAGCAGTGCGAAGCCGATCTCAAGGCCATGGGCTCCGGAAAAGACACCATCGAGGAGATGCGCTTCGAGATGGGCGAGCTCTTTTCTGCATCAGGCAATCTCGTCACACCTGCCGTGAATGGCAATTACAAGAATCCAGTGGGAGAGTCCTTTTTCGCGAGAAAATCCAGTCCCAAGGGAACCCCTCCGCAAAAGCTCCGGGCCCGAGTCCGTGAAGAGAGCGAGAGGTTCTCGCGCCTATTCCGCCAGCACGGCAGCAAAGTCAACTTTTCTGCCTCTTCCGGTTCTGGCATGAACTTGCCGGCCGCGGGAGTCGTCGACGACCAGTCCAAGAAAGAGTTTGCCCAGAGAGAAGTCGAGCCGCTGCTGCGACAAATTCGGGGTAACGAGCTTCCCCTGGACTCCAACCCCAGGGCTCCGTATATACTGTTCCAAGACTTTTCCCGAAACTGGCCTATTCTTGCTCAGGAGTACAAGGAAAACGTCGGAGTCATTTGCAACGAATTCCTCGCCGACGTGATTGACCATGCCTGGCCCTTGAGAATGAGAGACCCTCTGCGGTTCCACTTCTTGGAGACCAAGATGAAGGAAATGATGGACGAGGCGGAGAAGGAGCTCAAGAGGTTGACTGACGACCTGGAGTTGGAAATCCAGCCGTACGACCCTGAGTACGAACAACGCCTCATCAGATGGCGCTCGGAAGCTACCCAGAATGGCGGCACCTACACCGAAGCAGAGGAAGTCCTCGAAAAGATGCTCATATACTACGATCTTACGGCGCGGATCTTCACTCGCAACACCATCACTCAAGTTGTCGAGAGACACTTGCTTTTGCGGATGCTCGGCCTCTTCAACCCGATTGAGATTCTACGCATGCAGAATGCCACCGTCGAGGCCATCGCCGCCGAGAACAAGGAGACGCGAGACCGCCGGACGGCCCTGAAGGCAAGGAAAGCAGCCATCGAGGAGGCGCGAAGCATCTGTGCCAGCCTAGCTATGAGAAGCGAGCTGCGGGCATATGAGGATGAAATGGAGGACGAGGTTGCGACAGACGACGAAGACCAGCCTCGGAATGACTACAGCTCCAATCGCTTTTCAGTATCATCAACACACGAGACTGCTCAGCAGGCTCTCGCATCACAAAACCCACCCGTGCGTCGCAAGAGACGAGAGGAGCGACCCCGACCATCAATCAGCGTCGATACTACGCCGCCGACTCCTCAACTGAGCCAGCAGAATATCCAGACCAACGGGGTAACGTCTGCCCAGGAGTGGGATGAGTCGTATTACACGACCACCCAATCGGCACCGCATCATGCGCCCCCGCCGCCTCCTCCGCGACCTCAAAAGATAGGATTCGAGGATGGCGAGAGATATGACGCTACTCCGAGGGCTGATCGGAGTAAGGAGAGCGCGAGACAGAGGTTGGCTTCGGTGATGAGGTTGGGAGCGCAGAATTCGCAGGCATGAGATGATTTTGTTTTCGCGGTATAACGCTGGTGGATCTGGAATTGTACGTTTTGCATGGATAACGGGAGACATAGACCGGTAGTTTGCAAATAACAATTAGATGGTCAAATATTCTGCTCTCAAAGAACACAAATATTTCATCACAAGGATCATTGGTGAAGATGATTCGTGCATCAAATAGCCTGATTTTCAACGGCATTTGCCGGGCACAAAGTGGAAGTTTGCTTGTAAATAGTGATGTTGGCACTCATTGGTTGACAGTGGCAATTTGTAAGAGTCTGGTCTCGGCAGCTCAAAGAAGCTTCGCATGTCCCATCTCTGGCATAAGCTGTTGCTTGGATGCGCACAACAACTTTTCCTAACTTGTTTGCGAATTCGGAAAACGAGGGCCGGTTTCTTATTCACATGTCGAAAGTTGTTGCGATTTTCACAGCCGCAGCGCCAGCGGTGAGTGGCGGGTGGCCATCAAACCATGGCTTCTTCGTGATCTTGCGGCAGATTGCAAGGCTCCTTGCTAAGAGCCAATGTGTCCTCTGAGAGCGAGATGAGCGGGCATGTTACCCGTGCCGTCTCCATAAGAGGAAATGCCCATCAGATACCCAGGCAGACCATGGCTGATGAAGCGGAATGCGCAAGTCGTATCATCTGGCGGTGGACAGGCAGACGATGAAAGGATCAAGTGGAAGGATTCGGTAGGGGGGCGCCAGCAGTGAACATCTCGTGTCGCTCCGCAGCTGGTGCGTTTGTAGAAGCAGAGCAGCTTCAACATGGCCGAGCCAATGAGTTGATGGCGTGAGTCATTGTCAACATGTATCGATTCACATTACGAAGCATGTGCTGCTGAGTCTCGGGGATTCCACAAAGGCGTCGTCATCAGGCAGCGCGTCCAGCGACGAGAAACTGACTCTGAATTCATGTCGAAGATTTAGTTGAAGGTCGGGACGGCACTCGGACAGGCTTTTAGCATGCAGGGCAAGCCACCAGAGCGCCACGCGGGCACAATCTACCCGAACGGCAGCGGCTGGCACCGATCGGTGGATGCCACGGAGGTACCTCTCAGGTTCCGTGTAGACGAGAGACGGTGATGTGAGGGTGAGCATTTCACTATAATGAAGATCATTTTGAAGGAAAAAAAAGATACAGTTATGTTATTAGAGGATATAAATAAACAAGTATTATTTTTTCACAATTTATTTGGCATCATTCATCCCCATATCCCGACGCTATATGCACTTACAATCCCCTTCCAAAACATCAAAGCTACCTCTCCGATACGCGTACCATAGCTGCTCCTGTGCACCACAAAAAATGCAGCCACCAGGCGCCACAAACCGCCAACCGGCCCAACGTTCCCCCTCGCTAGCCTCCGTGCCGCCGACAAAAAATGGCAGATGCATGGATACGACTCTACCAAACCAAGACAGGGGCAGCAGAGAAGCACGGAGCACGGAGTTCTACAGGGCTTAACTTGACGCTGTTGGTTATTATTTCCCCGGGCTGACACCGACTGGGCCGATTAAGGTTATTGGAGCCCCCTTCGTTCTCGCGATTTCCTAATCCGGGCTGCTGCGACCTCACCTTTGGGCGGTGCTGCGGCGTGTCTGGCGTGCGTGGTGATGGCGTTGTTTTTTTATCAGTTGCTGCTGCAATGTGGCTCCATGGCGTCGAGGCTTTGCCGCGAAGGATTGTCCGTTGTGACGATGGCGCAAGTGTTGGATGGGAGCATGTCCAAGGGGAATAAATAGGACGCGATGCCCGCTGGTCTTGGAGATGGGAAGAGCTGCTCAGCATCACCAGCAAACACACAGCAATCAAGCAAGCAACACCAAAGCAACAGTTCATCTCTGATACATCGTCATATTTCAAGCATCGTCATCATTTAATACCTCTTCTCTATCTAATACAACATCTTGCCACTTCTTGGCAAAACGTCTCACCACTTACACCAACTTCACCACCACAACCTCAACTCACCAAAATGGCCATCCCCAACCGCAAAGTCGTCATCACTTCCTTCGGCCCTGCCTCCACCAGCCTCTCAATCGTAAACTCCACCATCGCGCCCCCTCCCAAGGCCCACGTCCAAGTCAAGATCTACTACGCAGGCTTCTCCGGCGCCGACATCAACATGCGCCTCGGCATCTACCCCCTCCAAAAGCCCGCCCCCCTCACCCCCGGCTACTGCTTCGCCGGCCGCGTCGCCGCCAACGGCCCCGGCTGCTCCAAGTTCAAGCCCGGCGCCATGGTCACCGCCATGACAAAGTACGACTCCGACGCCGAGTACATCAACATCGAGGAGAAGCACCTCGTCGCCGTCCCCGAGGGCGTCGACCCCAAGCAGGCCGCCGCCATGGCCCTCGACTGGACCACCGCCTACGGCATGGTCAACCGCACTGCACAGGTCAAGGCCGGCCAGCGCGTCTTCATCCACGGCATCAGCGGCGCCGTCGGCCAGGGCATCATGTATCTCTGCCTCCTCCAGGGCGCAACCGTCTACGGCACCGCCGCCGAGCGGAACCACGCTGCTCTTAAAGAGGCTGGCGCTCACCCTTTTCTCTACACCAACAAGGACTGGATCCGTGCCATGAAGGAGCTCGGCGGTGTTCACGCCGTGTTTGATGCTCTAGGCTTCGAGAGCTTCGACGAGTCCTACGACATCCTGTCGAGCGCTGAGAGGAGCGTCGTCGTCGCCTACGGTAACAATCTTTCTACTCTGACCAACGGCAAGACGCGCTCGATTTGGCCTCCGATGTTCAAGCTGCTGTTCAAGGCGCTCTACTTTTGGTCCAACAAGACGACCAGGTTCTTCGGCATTACGCGCGACCAGTCCTCTTTCCAGCCCACATTCCGTCTGTTGCTCGACATGGTCAAGGAGGGCACCGTTAAAGTGCCCATCAAGGCAGTCTGGAAACTCGACGACATCAAGCAGGCTCACGAGGCTTGGGGCAAGGGCGCCGGTATGGGATCGCCCCTTATTCGCATTGCCTCCGAAGCGTAAGACATTCGCTCTAATACTGGCTTCCTTTATTGTTGTTTGTTTAATATAAAGTCAAAACGTTGTCTGGATTTACGGGCCTTTTTATTTGTTTTTCTCATTGTTAATTCCCACATAGACCGATATTTTCCTTTTATACCATAGCAAATAATTAATAGCAAATTTACTCTATACATAAGCAAACGCAACACATCTCACATCTCAATCGCTGATCCCTCCATTCTCGCCTACTGAACCCCAAATTCATCTACACGGATGATGTCATCCCCCCTTGACGTCAACACCATCTCACCACCCAAAGGAGGCAAATCTCCAAATAAAAACAGCTTATGTACAAGTAACCTCCAAACCTCAATTCCCTACAAAACAAAAACTCCAAAATCAGTTCAATCCAATTCAAATACACAATCACACAAAAGACACAACACAATGGCCTCAACTCTGCATCTCCGCAAGCTCCCCTCCACAAGCTTCATCCGCACCTCCATCCGCCCATTCCACCAATCCATCCCTCGCCTCATCCCCGCCATCAAGCAAGAAGGCGACTCAAAACCAGAACAACCCAAAAACGGCACTGTTCCACAGCCTAAAATCTCCAACCTGAGCATGCCCGGCGTCAACAAGTCGGAGGAGCTCACCAAGGAGCAAAAGGAGGAAGTCAAGCAGCAGTAAGAAAATAAACCTCCTAAGTCACCTCCATGGCCTGGAGAACTAAGCTGACTTGGGGTGTTACAATTAGCAACAAGGACTTTGAAAAGAAATTCGACCATGGTCACACCGCAGCCGATGACAAGGTAGACAAAAAGTTCTGGCAAGGCGCAGGCAGCAAGGAGTGATGAAAGCGCGTTGGCTGGCGATCGTGTATTATATCTGTAAGAGTACGGCAGGGCCGCAAGGGCATTTGTGCGACGAGTTACGACATACACACATGGGCTTTTGAGAATTGAGGATTTCTACGCTTAGTAAAGGGATGCGACACTTGGTGGCGCTTGTAACCACACACGACGGCGCGCCCATCACAAGGCATATGCTTGACATGCAACGCACTCGTTCAACGCACTTATATATATGGGGATGGAGATAATTGAATCATCATCAGCTCCTTGAGTGCAATACGCAGGTCCAGCACCGAGGATTACGGGCAATAGTGAACAAATCTTTTGGATATTGATGACTAGATGCTCCATATAGTGAGCTGTATCAGCTCATATCTAATCAAGTCTTCCAAGATAACTGCGGCTATGCAGTGACAGAACACGCTACATGTTACCAATGACGCCAAAGGCCCAAAGCAAGTAACGGCATTTGATACAACAGTACATGTCAGTAAGCGGTCACTCCTCCATCTCAGATAGATACAAGAGGAATGAATTCGAGAATGATCATTATATGTGACTTGCAGCGTCAATCTCTTGATCCTGCATACAAACATGTTATTAAATACTCTGACGGCCAGGAATCGCAAAACACTCACGATTCCGTAAGCTGCAGCCCACTCATAATGGACGAGGGACTAGACAGGTCCCATCAACCCCGTCTTTTGTTTTGTTGAAGCAACGGTGAGAAAGCCAGATGCAGTCGTCATGAAGCCCTCGCTACCATAGTTCAGTCGCTTCATGAGAGAAACCTTAACGTCCAGAAGGTAGCCGGCGTTTATTATTATCGAAACAAGTTCGTTTTCATTATTGTGATAGCGCGCGTGCCATCAAGTTGTAAGAGCTTCGGGGTTCCAGCCTCGTCTTCCACCAACCAGCCGAAAGCAGAGAGGTAAATAGAAGGCTCGATAATCTTCATGATAGGGCATGAGACATTGAGGAAGTAAGAGAGGGAGACTTTATCTCTGCCGAGTCGGTCTCTCGCAAAGGAATAGACTTTAGCGATTAAAGCCCACATATTTCCGAAAGGGTCTTTGTTCCAGAGACGCACCGTCCCAGATGCTCAGCGCGCGGTGTTCATTCCAGAAACTCGATCGAAGCCGGCCAGCCGGCCTCGTAGCAGCGTATTAACAATCTTCTCCAAGAAAGGGAACCGACATGTTCTTATGGCCGGTCCATCCCGGACCCAGCCATGCCCCCGATCAAGCCGCGAACCCAGTCGACAACGGCCTTGACCATGCCCTGGGGCTTACTCTTGCCCTCCATGCCTCGAACAGGCTCCGTGCCCATTGTAGGCAGCACATTGTCGCCCGCAGACAAGCTCACAAACAGCGCGAACGGCACCAGCCAGACACACAAGCCAAAGTATGACGCAATCATGGTAAAGGTTGGGACGTCCACCTGCTCATAGTACGAGGTTCGGTTGTAAGCACGCGCTTGGCTGTCGGCGAAGTGTCGGAACCACACATAATGATCGAGCAACACCAACACTAGGATCCATGTTAGCGCAGTGCACCTCTACATCCATGATCTCAAATTCGAATCCATACCACAAGACAGCAGAAACAGCGGGTCAGTGAGCTGCACGTAAGGAAACCTCCTCATGTTGCCCAGGTAGACGACATGCGACACAATGCCCAAAACGGTCGCCCAGAAGGGGAAGCCGTCAATTAGCCACAGCACCACCTGCACGCCGATGATGATTTGAATCAGGCGCGTCAGCAGCCGCTTTGCCAAGACGGTATGCTCCTCCACAAGCTCCGAAAGGTAGTAAAGCCCGGACGCGATGGACAGCGTCAGGAAGCAGAAGCCGAGGATCGCGCCGGCGTAGCCCAGCAGGGGTAGAATCCACATCTTGGCTAGGGAGCTTATGACGACAAGCACGAGGTTGTATTTAGGGGACGAGATGTAATGCAACAAAAAGAAGCTTGGGGGACCAAGAATGCTGGAAGGGAAGAAGAAGAAGACAAGGTCAAGGTCGTCTTAGACAAGGCTAGCTGTGGACACGTTCATGTGCTCATAGCTGAGATGAGCTGCATGGGATCTCGTGGGTCTGTCGTCATACGGAACGAAAGCTTTTCCCGCTCCGAGGCGAGCTGATGAGGATGCGAACGAAGCGATGCTTGCAGCTGTGCGGCGTGTATTCGACTGAAAACAAAAAAATAAACAGATATCCATATTCAAGTCAAAAATTATAGAAAATCTGTGATTAAAATTCGGCAATAGCAATGTGCTCGTTTCATGATGTCAATGTTGATTGGCATTCACATGTGAGCATGGCTATTTATGCGCCATCCAAGCAAATCCTTATCGATAACACCCACAAAAAAATGGTTCACGATGCGCCCACTCGCAGCGCAACCTCAACGATCCAAGCAAAAGAAAAAAAAAAGCAGAACAACCAATCCATTTCATATAACTCCTTCTCACTGGGCGCATTGCTTACAATCTCCAATCTCCAATCCAACGAATCCCTAGACAAAACTCACACCATAATCTCCCACAATGTCTCGCCCCGAGGACTCTCTGTAAGCTTCCTCTCCCACCTCCATCATCCTCCCCTCCCATCCTCCCGTCCTCATCTTCTAACAAAACAACACTCCCAGCGCGGCCGACGTCCACTATGACGACATCGAAGCCCGCAAATACACAACCTCCTCCCGCATCCAAACCATCCAAGCCTCCATGACCCGCCGCGCCCTCGAGCTGCTCGACCTCAAATCCCCGTCCTTCATCCTCGACATCGGCTGCGGCAGCGGCCTCTCCGGCGAGATCCTCTCCGCCGTCTCCCCCTCCGACGGCGGGCCCCACGTCTGGGTCGGCATGGACGTCTCCCCCTCCATGCTCGACATCGCCCTCCAGCGCGACGTCGAGGGCGACCTCATGCTCGCCGACATTGGCCAGGGCGTGCCCTTCCGCGCCGGCACTTTCGACGCCGCCGTCAGCATCTCCGCCATCCAGTGGCTCTGCAGCGCAGAGTCCAGCGAGACTTCGCCCACGGGGAGGCTTAACCGCTTCTTCAACGGCCTGTACGCAAGTCTGCGCCGCGGAGGCCGTGCCGTGTGCCAGTTTTACCCCAAGAACGACACGCAGCGCCACATGATTACCCAGGCCGCCGTCAAGGCGGGCTTTGGCGCGGGTATCCTCGAAGACGACCCCGGCACCAAAAACGTCAAGCTATATCTCGTCCTTACCGTCGGCAACAACGACAACGACGGCGGCAACACAGACATCACGGGCGTCGTGGACGGCATGGACAACGTCGACGTTTTGGATGCCAGGAAGAGGCTCAAGGTGAATAACGCACAGGTTAAAAAGGGCAGCAAGGCATGGATTGTCAAGAAAAAGGAACAGATGGAGCGCAAGGGCAAGATCGTCAAGGCCACGTCCAAATACACTGGCCGCAAGCGTCGGGTACAATTTTAAGAGCGAGCTGTTATGTCGAAGTTGGATGGCGAGCTTGCGATGCATGGTATAGGCGTTGGTGGCGCATTTGGTTTCTGGAGAATTCTTAGACATACATGATATATATGAAATTGTTGATACCCTCTTATCAGTCATGTCCACTCCAAGTCCGCACAGATTTGTTAAAGTAATCTAGATCTTGCTTCCGAGGAAAACGTTTATTGTTTTATTCATCAATATCGAGATGCTGTACTTTATAGAACAACATTCTACTCAAATCCGCCAATATTCCATCCCTTGACAAGATAGATACCTCTCGTCACTACCCAATATTTTTTCTTCGTCTTGAATTTTCCTTGATTTTTTTTAAACTTTCAAAGTACATCATCTTCTATGCCTATGCCGCCTCAGCAGGCTTCTCTGTTGAGCCAGTGTTCTGCTCGGGCTTCATGGTGGGGAAAGCCAAAACTTCTCTAATGCTGTAGTTGTCGGTCAAGAACATCATCATTCGGTCAATGCCCATGCCCCAGCCACCGGTGGGAGGGAGACCGTGCTCGAGAGCCTTGCAGAAGGTCTCGTCAACGCCCTGGGCTTCGTCATCACCCTGGGCCTTCTGTCGGGCCTGCTCTTCGAATCGCTCACGCTGCTCAAGGGCGACGTTCAACTCGGTGTAGCTATGTGACGATGTTAGCAAATCAGATTGACAAAATATCAAGGAGGTGGAAACACTTACGCGTTGACGATTTCCTTCTTGCAAACGAAAGCCTCAAATCGCTCGCAGAGGCCGGGGACGCTGCGAGAGCTCTTGGCGAGAGGAGACATCATCTTGGGGTGGCCGGTGATGAAGGTTGGGTTGGTCTAAAAACAGTGTCAGCCAAAGGGAAGGAAATGCGTTGCGATCTTTCACCGGTGAATCAACTTACGCATTGAGACTCGAGGAACTCTCCAACCAGGGCGTCCAGCATACGGGCGTTGGTCAGAGGAGGGTTGCACTCAACACCAGTCTTCTTGAGAACTCTTCTGAAGAACTGGTTGGCCTCATCGGTGTGAAGCTCATCGGCAGGAGGGAACTTTTCGCCGACACACTCCTCCAAAGTGGGGATCATTTCAATTCGGCGCCACGGGCCTTCCCAGTTGATCTCAACCTCCTCACCCTTGATGTTGTGGTACTTGGTCTTGTAAGAGCCGTGGATGTGCTTGACCAGGCCGGTAACAAGCTCCTCGGTCATGGCCATGAGGTCATAGTAATCGGCGTAGGCCATATAAAACTCCAGAGTGGTGAATTCTAGACAGAAAAAAATTAGTTCCATGTCAAAACTAGAAGTGACAAATTCAGAACCTACCAGGGTTGTGAGTCAGATCCATGCTCTCGTTTCTAAACTGTCGGCCCATCTCATAGACACGGTTCAATCCGCCGACGACAAGCATCTTGAGGTAGAGCTCAGGAGCGATACGGAGGTACATGTCCATGTCGAGATCGTTGTGGTGAGTAATAAAGGGCTTGGCGGTGGCACCACCGGCAATGGCGTTGAGCATGGGGGTCTGGACGGCAATGAAATCCCGGTCGTCGAACCAGCGGCGGATGTAAGAGTCAACCTTGGCACGGGTGATGAAGACGTTTCGGACGTTGTCGTTCATCATGAGATCGAGGTAGCGCTGGCGGAATCGCTGCTCGGGGTTCTTGAAACCGTAGTGGTCATCGGGGATCTGTGAAGAGTTAGAGAAACGGAATATTGACAAGTCACGCGATCACAATGGCTTACCTGGTGCAAGCATGGCGACAGGAGAATGACCTCGACAGCCGCAATAGAGAGTTCACCAGAGAAGTCGCCGGATCCCTGCTTGTTCTTGGGGTTGGTTCGAGTAGGGTAGCCTCGAATGCCTAGATGAGGGCGAGTTAGAAGGGGTTTCGCCATTAGACAACGGAAATTTCATGTACGAACCGATGATATCACCACGGCGGAGGTTGAGGTGCTGCTCGTCAAAGTCGGGAGTGCCCTCCTCACGGTTATCAGCCTGAGCAAGGACTTGGAGTCGAGTGCCCTAAATATCGTTAGCCCAGAATTCGACTGTTTATGAGCAAGGGAGGCGTGGCACGGCATACCTCGGAGCGGATGTCGTAAAAGTACAGCTTGCTGCCTGCTGATCGGCGGACGTAGACTCGACCAGCGAGCGCAATCATCTTGTCCTTGTTCATCTCGCCGTTCTTGAGGTTGGAGTACTCTTCGGCGAACTTGCGAATGTCATATGTGACGTGGAACTATGAATTGGTGAGTAACCGGCGTCGTCTTGGTTTCTTTGCTAGTTATCTGTAGGAACGCACCTTGTGAGGGTAAGCCTTGCCCTTGGCATGGAGGTCGTTGACAGTTCTTGATCGGATCTCGAAGTACTATTTGTCATGTCGAATTAGCAAAACTGCGCTCGCCATGCCACATCTCGAACCAGCAGAACAGCGCATACCTGGTTCGGGGTGAGCTCCTTCTCGGCAGCCTCGGCGTTCTTGTTGCCAGCAGCCTGCGCGGGCTTCTTGTCCTTGTTGGCAGCCTCCTTCTCCTTCTTGGCGGCCTCCTTCTCGCGAGCCTTCTGGCGCTTCTTGAGCTCCGTCTTGGAGATCATCTCGCCAGTGACCTCGTCAAGGTGCAGCTTGCCAGCGGCAGCAGCGACAGCGTCGACGGCAGCATCGCCGGTAGTGGGTTGATTGTCCGCCATGGTGTGCAATGTTCGTGGGAATCTGGTTGTGTTTTGGCGGGAAACGGAGGATATCGTGGTTTGGGCCGGTTCGAATAAATAAACCAGAAGAAAAAAAAAATATTACTGTCGCAGAGTCATACAGTAGCAGAAATCGGAGTCACCCCGCTATGCGACCAATGGAGGGGTTGGCTGCCAGGGTTTTTTTCCTTATTTTGGACGGGAATTCGATTTCCCCGATCCGGCCAATGCCTGTGCGTTTTGGCTCACTGCGGCGCTGCTGTTTATAGCGGTAGATATGCTGGATCTCAATATTATTCAACGGGGAGAATTTGCTACGGACTTGGAATGCAAAATCCATTTCTGGGGACTGTCGCTGCCCCTTATCTTTCTACGTAGAAAGGATTTTTGCATTGGCTAAGCCACCCAAACTATAAGACATCCATAGGACCTACATACGCTCGAAAGCTTTTGGCGCATTTTGAGCTTCACAAAAACCTCCACTTTCACTCAGCCGTCATTACGGCTTAAATGCCCCAAGGCTTTAAGCTTTTTTTTGACCTATTGACAAAGGGATACTTTTTGATAAACCCCCCTTTACACCAAAAATATTTGCTATATTTTGTATAGGTATATAAGTACTAAGGTATCATTGCAACATCACGGCGAAGCCCGCCATTTATACCAAGTAACACGCATAACTCATGCAGGCAATTGAGTCTTACCCGCAACTCGGCCGACCACCCGCTCGGCCAAAGACTCACCGACACGCTCCAAAGAAATCGGTAAATAACAGCCTCTGCGGGAATAACATCGTAAGCCCAATCATCCCCTAACTCGTAGCATCTTCTCTATCTCAAATAGAGGGGGGCCGGTCTCGTATCTCACCCGGCTAAATGACTAAAGGCCGCCCTCAACTAACAAACACTATCTCTCACTCTCACCTCTCACCAAAATATGGATCACTTATAAGCCCCCTTTCTCCTTCAACTCTCTCAATAGACTTTACACCTTGTTCAGCTATTCTCATCATATAATCCCTTCTCACATAATCTCACAGATACTTTCCAACATCAAAAAAAAAAAAAAAAAAAAACATCACAGCAACAAGAAAACTCCCACTCCCACTTACACACAAACCGCCCTCATCATGGCCCTCTCCTCCCGAGCCTCCAAGCTCACAACCCCAGATCCCTCCGGCGCCGTCCTCTCAAACAACTGGCACCCAACCCTCAACCCATCCGGCTACGTCAACCTCGGCGTCGCAGAAAACTACCTCATGCACGCCTCCCTCCAACAGCACCTCCACGCCAACCTCAACGTCCCCACCTCCGCCTTCACCTACGGCGACTTCTTCAAGCGCAGCCGCACCGCCATCGCGAGCTTCCTCACCAAGTACCTCAACACCGTGGTTCCTGTAACGCCGGAGCATGTTGCTGTCGCGAGTGGCTGCACTTCGGCGGTGGAGCACATGGCGTGGGCGTTTGCAGATCCGGGCGACGTGATTCTTCTCGGGAGGCCTTATTATGGTGCTTTTCCCGGTGATGCGACGCTCCGCACGGGGACGAAGCTCGGCTTCGTCGATTTCGGAGACGATGATCCCCTGGGAGCCAGTTGTGTTGAGAAATACGAAAAAAGACTCCTCGAAGCACGAGCAAACGGCGAAAAAGTCTCTGCTGTTCTTTTATGTCATCCGCACAATCCCCTTGGAAGATGCTACTCCCGAGACGTCCTCATCGACCTGCTCAAGTTCTGCAACAAGTACAAGCTTCACCTCATCAGCGACGAAATCTATGCCCTCTCGATATTTGAAAACAAAATCGACACGAATCCCCCTCCCGCACCCTTCTACTCGGTCCTCTCCATCGATCCTACGGGATTGATAGACCCGGCGTATGTGCATTGCCTCTGGGGCATGTCCAAGGATTTCGGTGCCAACGGATTACGATTAGGAGCCATCATCTCTCAGCATAATGTGGATTTGATGACTGCTCTATCTCCCGCTGTCCTGCTATCCTCCGTCTCGTCCCTATCAGAACATGTCTTTGCGAATGCACTAGAAGACGACGTCTGGGTCGAAAACTACATCAAAGAAAACCAACAAAAACTCGGCTCCTACTACGAATACATTGTAAAATGGGCCAAGGCCAACGACGTCGTCTACGCCACCGGTACCAATGCCGGCTTCTTCATCTGGGCCGACCTCGGCAGGACATATCTCAAGCATCAAGGCTCCCAGCCCCAGGATATCGACCAAGCTGTCATGGATGCATTGCTGAGGCACAAAGTCTTTCTCGCTTCGGGGGTGCGATTCGGATCAGAGAAGCCGGGCTGGTTCCGCATTGTGTTTTCGCATGACATGGACTATCTGAACGAGGGCCTTGACCGGATTGTCGCTGCGTTGACGACCCCTGAGCCTTCAAAGAACATGTCGAACGTATCTTTACAGGTAGATTTGGATGTTGCTTTTTGATTAGAAAATTTAGAGGCGTACTTACTTTTCTTTAGAACTATTAGATCGGGCGATATATGCGAAAGAAGAGGAAATGAAAACTCCAGTGTCACCGTTTACATGCAATAGTAAAGCGGAATCAGCCGGAACATGCTCATGCCTGAATGCATGCAATGAACTGCAACGAACAATCGTGAATCTACATGGGCAACAACTATGCGAGCAGTCCCGTCGGCAACACATCAGTTGCACCCAAACAATCAAGCCAAAATAGCGATAATTGTACTGTAAAATTCTATGTATTCAGACTCCATACGCTCATGTCAACCATGGTTACACACATCCCCCTGATCATTCTCCCACCACCTCAATAATATTCGCCTCCCCCCCCAATAACCATTTTCATCTGGCCCTTTGAACTTTGCCCCTTTGTATCATATTTTTTTTCTTCCCAGCGGCGTCGCTCCGCATCGCCTCGGATTCTAAGGTTTTTGAGGTATCATTCTTCCCAAACACGCCTGTCGAGATGGGTGTCAGAAAGAGGTGTGGTTTGTTAAATTGGTCGTGTTTGGGGTAAAATTCGGTTTCTCTTTTTTAAATACGTCTTTTTGTTGGGTTTGCCTTGCGCGCTTTATTTCAAGGCTTTGTTGAGAATTGGGATTTGGTATTTAGATGGTCTCCATCTTGTCGAGGATGGCCTTGGTGAACTCGTGTGTTGTCGACTCACCGCCCATATCCCGTGTGCGAACCTTGCTATAGAAATTGTCAGTACAAGATGGTATGATCTAGACGAAGACAATGTCAACTTACCCCTCGGCGATAACACCGTAGACAGCCTTGGAGATGCGGTTGGCGTGGTCGTCGAGGCCGAGGTGTCTCAGGAGCATGCTGCCGCTGAGAATCATGGCAGTGGGGTTGGCCTGGTCCTTGCCCTTGATATCCAGACCGACGTGACGGCAGCCGGGCTCGAAGACGGCAACCTCACGGCCCATGTTGCAGCCGGGGACGATGCCAGGGCCACCGACCAGGGCGGCGCCAATGTTGGACAGAATGCCGCCGTACAGGTTGGGCATGACCATGACGTCGAACTGCTGGGGGCGGGAGACGGCCTGCATGGAGGCGTTGTCGACAATCATGTCGTTGACCTCGAGGGTCGGGTACTCCTTGGCGGTCTGGTGGAAGGTGCTGCGGAAGAGACCGTCGGCCAGCTTCATGATGTTGGCCTTGTGGATGCAGGTGACCTTCTTGCGGCCGTTGGCGAGGGCAAAGGCGAAGGCGAACTTGGCGATGCGCTCCGACTTGGCGCGGGTGATGATCTTGAGGGACTCGACGACGCCGGGGACGCTCTGGTGCTCGAGGCCAGAGTACTCGCCCTCGGTGTTCTCACGGATGATGCACAGGTCGACGTCCTTGTGGCGGGTCTCGTAGCCGGGGATGTTCTTGATCAGCGAGATGCTGGCGTAAATGTCCAGCTCCTGGCGCATGGCCACGTTGAAGCTCTGGTGGCCGGAGCGGCTGACGGGCGTGTGCAGGATGCCCTTGAGGCCGAGCTTGTTGCGCTTGAGCGAGGCCACGCTCTCGCGGAAGGCCTCCTCGGTTCGCAGCGCGCTCTCCTCGACACCAGACACCTCGATCTGCTCCCACTCGACAGGCACGTTGTCGGCCTTGAAGATGGTCTTGACGGACTCGGCAACCTCTCCACCGATGCCATCTCCAGGAATCAGGGTGACGGTGTACTTGCCGCCAAACTTGGCAGGCTTGAAGATGTCGGACTGGACGGTGGCGAAGGATCGGCTGAGCTGCTGGGGCTGGGCAGCGGCGCGAAGGACCTGTAGAAGACGTGGCAAGTCAGTTTCTGGTCTTGGTTATGGTTTGTCTTTTGTTCCAACAACAACAACAACAGCATCTTCCAAGAGGCCCCCCCATTGAGGAAAAAAATCTCGCCAACAAGACCTCGGCTCAGAGCCAGCCAGCCAGCCCCTCCATCTCTTCTCCTCTGCCCTCAAGGACAACACAACCCAAGAGTACACTGCACTTGACTACTCTTTTCTTCCCAATCCAACCTGCAGCCCATTTCCAACCCCGCCATGGCAAATCCACACATGAAATAAAACAGAAAATATCACGTACCTGGGCGGTCCGGAGAGAGCTTCGTGACAGCATCTTGAACAAAAGAGACAGATGAGTATCAGCCTTGATGCTAAAGCAAGTCAAGTGCACGGTCCAAGAAAAAAACAAGGAAACCCTAGTTCAAAGAGAAAGAGAGAGAGGAGAGAGGGCAAACAAAGTCAAGTTGTTCGAAGAAGAAGAAGAAGAAGAAGAAAGGAAGAAGAAGAAAGTTGGTTATTTTTTTCTCCGGAACAAGTTTCAAAAAATCGCCCTTGGAGCCAAATTACCGCAGTGACCGTTGCGCCCAATTGAGCCGAGCACAGCCAGCTGGAGCACTTTTCGGCCTGCGCCGGCGCCGCCGCAGCGCATATTATTTTCCGCTTCAACTGGATTTTTTTTTTTTTTCTCTGCTCTAGGAGTTCCTTTGCCCCGGTTTTCGGAAAAAAGAGCGGAATGCGACGTCTTTCCGAGCGCAGCTCCGGGCTTAGGGTGCTTGACCTGTTTGGGACTAGGTAAGATGGGCGAGGATAGCTATCGTCAGCGGTGGTTTCTTATCGCTAGTAAATGGTGAGGATATAACAACAGCAAGGACAGCCTCATCATATAAGAGTAGTCACTAGGTACTAATTGTTATACGGACTTGACAGAGTCTTACAGACCATGCAATTTTAAAATCAACTGACACCCGTTAATTTGTATTCATCAATTCATTCATTCACAAAAAAATAAAAAGCTATCGGAAATTCTATTGCTACTCCTCCGCGGTATACAACAAAGCAAAATAGCAGACGGGACTCCCCCTCTAACAAGATATTCCAGCCCTTTACCACGCCTGCTTTACCCAAATTCATTCATTCCAGTTCCATCAATCACTCTTACAATCGCATTTCCGTCCTCTCATATCCAACATCTTACCATCCTGAGATTGGTCTCTTAGACATGCCTTCTTCTTCTCATCGTCTTTCTTTTTTCCCTTTGTTGTAGCATACTTACCTTGATTCCCGTTTCCCAAAAAAAAAGAACAAAAAAAGTGTCGGCCGTTAGCTCCTCGTCATCATGATTATCTGTTTCAGTGTAGTTTACGCCTCGTCCTCGTCAAGTGGTTCGACTCGAACGAGAATCTCCTCAAGCAGTCCCTCCAAAAAGTTCCCAACGTCCCGTCCCATGCCTACGGGTTCTGCTTTATCATAGTAGTCAATCTCCTTGCAAACGTGAGCTAGCTTATAGACCAGTTTGCGAACTTTCTCATGAGCAGCCTCAGCTCGCTGCTGCTTCGACGACACGGTCGAACCGCTAGGAACAGGCTTGTACATATGCTGAAGCCGAATCTGCCGTCGCTTGAGAGCCTCTTCAAGGGCGGGAAAAATGACGTCGTTGAGAGCATCCAGCTCTCCGTTGGGGTTCGGAGCCGGAGGCGAGGGAAATGTTTCCAACAATCCTGGGGAATGGCCCTGTGACCGCAACGAGGATACCGATGCCGATGGAGCGGCCGCGGGCGCGGGAGCAGGAGCAGGAGCAGGAACCGGAGCAGGCGCGGATGCCGGTGCCGGTGCCGGTGCAGATGGAGCCGGTAATCGAGATACTGGGGACAGCGGCGCAACCGGAGCTACCGTTCGCTGCACGGTAGACTGCGGCTGAGGCTGCGGTTTTGGCGAGGGGTTTCTGAACGGTGGGATTTCTGCCACGTCGTATCTCGCAATCTTACCGCTTGTTGATCGTGGCGAAACGTCGTATTTCGCAAGCTTACCGCTCGTTGATCGTGGCGAAACCCCATGAGCAGGCGGCACCGGTTTTCCAAACTTTTCAAACCCAGGAGGTATGGAAATCTTCTTGTGTGCAGGCGCCGGAGGAGGAGGGGGCGAGGGTGTAGGCACGGGATCGGGTAGATCTATATTTAGGTTTAGTATCCCCATGTCGCGCTGCAAGTGTTCCTGGAGCTCCCGGTCGTAGTCAGGCGAGGGTGGCTCCGGTGGATGAGAGATGGCCGGCACTGTTATAATCTTTGAAGATCTTGGGGTTGTCTCTTGAACCTCCCAACTTGTAGTCTTGATTACCACAGGGCTAGCAGGTAGAGGAGGAGCCACTTTGGATACGAAGCCACGCTGCTGTTGGGTGGGTGTGTGCTGTTGAGTAGGTGTGTATTTCCGCTGCGGGCTCGATTGCCGTGAGGCTCCCGCGCTGGCCGGATTCGTAGCCTTGAGCGTATCGCTCGGCTGAAGGGCCATCTCCCTCATTTTCGTCGGGCTGGATGGCTCGCGCCGTCTTTCACCGTAGTCTGCAGAGTTCCGCGTGGCTCTCGTGTTAGTAGCACTCGCACCGAGCGGGTTGAGCATGGGCGCCCGGCTGACGACGCCGCCGCGGTCATTGACGAGCCGGACGGTGCCAAAATCCCACATGTCTTCGTTGACTCGCGTCCTCTCCGGTGGCGCACTCTCGTGGGCATCCCATGTCTCTTCCTCGTCCGTCTTGTGCGTCGCCGCCCACCGGGAATGTCGCTCTATCAGCTCGGTGAGATAGGTAGTCTTCTTTGCCTTTCGGATAAAGGGGTGTCGCAGGAGGTCCCTGGCCGTCGGTCGTTCCTTGGGGTCTCGCTGCAGGCACAGTTCGACAAAATCCTTGAACGCCTTTGTAAAGTTTCCTTCCAACCTTGGAGGGGGGTTTTTCGGGATGAGAAAGAGGACTTTCATGGGGTGAATGTCGGCGTAGGGAGGCTCGCCATTCGCAAGCTCGAGAGCCGTGATACCGAGTGACCAAATATCAGCCTTGTGATCATATCCAGATTGCTTAATGACCTCGGGTGCCATCCAAAACGGAGTCCCCACGAACGTGTTCTTCTTGGTCATGGTGGCCGAAAGCTGGCCCGACACGCCAAAATCGGCCAGCTTGACCTGGCCATTGGCCCCCAAAAGCACATTGGCCGCTATCCTATGGCATCAGCAAACCGATTGACCCGCGACGCTCGTCCAGAAGAAGAGCTCGAGCCCTCACCTTTAATATCCCGATGCAGTTTCTTGTCCGTGTGGAGATAATCCAGACCCATCAGCAACTCCCTTATGATTATTGCAATGTAGTCCTCGCCCATGATACCGGGCTTCATAAGGTCGGCACAGCTCCCGCCGGCGCAAAACTCCATGACGATCCATAGCTCGGCACCCTTTGCATAGGATCCGTAGTACTTTGTCACGTATGGAGACTGCAGCTCGGACAGGATGGCAATTTCCTGGATGATGTCTTCGACCTCGTCTTCGGCATTTTCAACGTCGATGATCTTGATGGCGACAGAGCGACCGCTTCGTTTATCGACCCTAAAGAGATGCAGAGGAGCCAAAAAGTCAGTGAATCGGTCAGAAAACAACAATAATTCCCAGAGGCAACCCGCACAGGTCAGGACATACCCCTTGAACACCTTGCCAAAGCTACCACCGCCTGCGAGCACCACAGCGTTAGGGACCATCCACCAAGACACCGTCTCCCAGGACCAAGACCAGCCAACTGACCAATGCAGTATTCTTTTGTGTACAGAAGCTCCGGATCCAGGGCCTCGTTGGCCTCTTCCGCATACCGATGCGGTTCCGCCATGGCGCTGCTCCGATGCCTCCCTTTGCAGCCGCGGCCGAGAAGCGGGAATGCGAGATGCTGTGGCTGTAATCGTTATGCTATGCGCTCGTCCGGGGTCCAGCTCTCGTCGCCGCGGATCATAAAGCCATGCACTCTGCTCGCGGGTAAATGCTGAAGACGCTCGTTCGCGGTGTATCACAAGCCCCAAGACAGAACTCGCCTGCTAGCAACAAAAGACAATGGGCGATGGGTGAATGATCAAAAGTGTATGTGCTAACATGAATCAAAAATCCACGGGTGGTTTGAATGTGAATGTGATGAGCGGCAGTCCCTGGGATTGGTGCATCGACCTGCTGTGGCGGGCGGTGAACCCCACTATGGGCCGCTGCGGTGCCTGTAAACTGTTTAGTGTTGATTTTGCCCGGATCCCGTCGCACCGGCAACAACGAGCAAGGAGAGGCAGATGCATGCATCTGATTAGCCAAGGAGCAACAAATCAAATCAACGGCCGACGACGTCACATTGGCGACTTGCGCTTGTGCATAAGATCGACCAATACTGTCATTTTACCTACTCGTACATGTACCGAATAGCTGCATACAACGGGGTAATAAATACATTCGAAACTCATCCAAACAGCTCTGTCTCTTCTTGGTATTTTTGCCCCAAACAAGAGATCGTCATCACCAAAAGTCAAATCCACTAGCCGCCTCTTGTTTATCTTCCCCCCCAAACGCCGCCGTTTCGTTTCGAGGGGTTTTGCGGGGCAACGCCCATCACAGACACGGCCGGGCACTAACAAAGACAGACAGCCGTGGTTCTACAGCATCACAATATCATTGTATCAAAGGGATGGATACTGGGCCAACCACGGGCCGTTTGACAAAGCCCACTGATGTCGTGTCAAAGCACTTGCATTGTCTACCTGCCCATACTAGCAATAGCACGAGGCCGATTGGCGCCTCCAAGGGATAAAAGGAAAACTACCGAGACTGTAGAAGAAGAAGAAGAAGAAGAAAAATGAAACGAGGAGGCCTCGGGAGGGGCAAACCACAAGCCCATCCCCTGCAACTAAATCCGCCGTTGCCGCTTCGTAGCACACACAAGTTCCTCACCCGCTGTAAACAGTGGTTTCCTCCCGTATCGCAGCAGCAAATAAACCAAAGCCAATCGTCCTAAGACCGGTTCGCCCATAATGGGTATTAGCATCCCATGTTGTCTATATCAAGCAGATGTCCTCATCGCCATCCTGGCTACGCCCAACGGCGTTGATCAAGAGACACGTCGCGTTTCGGCATCACGTATGTCGTCATTCGTCATGCAATGTTAACAAAAGGAAAAGAGCCTGTCTCGGTGCCATTACTCGTCCGTAACGAATTCTACCATCACTGTTCCTTGCTTCAAACCAGCCTCTTCAATGGTGGAGTCGAGAAGCTCGATCAAATCTTGGCCTTGGGGCATTCTCTTCAACTCAAACTTGACATCTGCCTTGCCCTCCAGGGGCTCCGCCTTGAGCCATTCATATATCGTACGGACATCATCCTGCAGGTTGAACCGTCGGATGACACGTCCGTCTGGGTGTCGAAACTGAATTCGCGTTGTCGTGGCAGGATTGTTGGCGGGCTCGGTGTGGGGGTTCGTGCTTGAGATCTGGTCAAACGGACTCTGTGCTACCTGATCGCTTGATTGCTGAGGCTCCTTGGTCAGCGCATCGGGATCATGGACGCTCGGTGTTGATCCTGAGCCCGAGCCACTGGCCTCGGCTCCCGCCAGGCTGTTTTTCAGAGCCATCTCAAGCATCTCCTCTTCCGTCATCCGGTCCACATCAATGACCTGGGGCTTCCGGGCCGCGGCTCTAGCCACGGGGTTCTTGCTGTTAGCGGCGAGGCTGTATCTGTCCAAGAACTCGGCCACCTCGGCGTGGAACTCGACAGCACTGGGGAATGGCTTCCCGCTCCAGACCTTGACCTGCTCACCCGTCCGAGGGTCGACAATGGACACATGGGGGTAGTTGTCTGGATTTTCATGTCCCCGGTTGGGGAAGTAGAATGTGATGTACTCCTGCGCGTCGGGGTAATCTTTGTCCAGCTGCATGAAGATGAAGTTCTCCTTCACCAAGTCGTGAACAGCTCGATCCTTCCAAATGTCGCGGTTAAGCATTTGGCAATTGAAGTCGCTCATGTCTTGCAGGTTGACCATGATCCACTTCTTATCTTCCTTGCCCAGTGTGCGAGCCTCGTCCCACGAGATTCGATACATGAGTTCGTACGGCGGTCGGAACAGGTCCTCCAGGCGTCGAGCATGGGCGGACGGTGCGCCGTTCCCAGATGCGGGCTCGGGCCGGGCCCCGTCATCTCCCCATATCCGATGACCAAAGGGACCTCTGCCCGGGGCTATCACAAGGTGGTTAGTCTCTTTTTGTTTTCTTGACCTCTCTTTGGCTTCTCGGTGGGCTTACCCGGCATCTGGCGTCTCCTCCTCAGTTGCTCCAGAATAGCTGAGCTTTCTTCTTCCGACCAGGTAGAATCCGGGGCAACAAGTGTTTCTGTTGTCCTCGCAATGGGTGCCCTAACATCACCAGCAGCATTTCCCGATTCCTGGTACATTTCTGCTTGTAGACGCTTAGCCATAGCAGCATCTTCCTCCTCCTGAGCCAGCGCAGCAGCCTGCGCGACAGCAGCTCGCTCATCTTGGTCGTTGTCGTCAAAGTCGTCCGCGTCCATATCAGCGTCCCCGTCATCGTCGTCATCGCTAATGTGAATCACCCCGCTGTCGTCTTCTCTGCCGATATTGGCTCTCCTAGACGCAGGGGCAGGGCGAGATGTTGAGGCGGCGGCGGCACCGCCATGGGACACACCCGCCCCAACGAGATCTGGACTCTCAAAGTACAGCTCGATGGCACGCTGGTAGTCGCCGCCTGTTATCTCCAGGAAGCCCCGAGCCACATCGAGGCTTGCCCCGGTGATGCTAACGAAGTGGTGAATGCTCTCGTCCATGGCTGATCAAAGCCCCCCCGGTCGCTTGGTGGTTCGTTGGCTGCAGGGGCAGCTGGTGGGATGTTGCGTCTGGTGCCCTCTTTGAGCAGATCCCTCGGTATATGTATATCCTGTCGGGTCGTGTTCGTGAACAGACGCTTGACTGGTGGTGATTGGGTCGCGCTGCAACGGGATCTGAGAAGCTGCAAGAAATGCCGGTCAGGTTGGACTTGGTGGATGGAGCCCCACACTGGCCGCCTGGCTGAATCAGACTCGATGTGAAGCTGCTGTCGGACTCAATCGAGGTGCAGCCGGCGGAGGAACGGGACTGATAAAGAATATGGAGGGTGGAAGAGGAGTATGGAGCATGGATTTGTGCTCTAAACTGCTGAGGTGAGGATGCGGATAGTGTAGAGGTTCAAGTTGTACCAGACGCTCGACCACCTTACTGATGAAATAGTTTCAGCACCTAAAGTCAGGCTGTTACTGCGCTGGGACTCGACGCCACAGGCACCGCGGGCATGACGCAACATTGAACCGTTGGAGCAACACACCCCGCCATCGACTGCGCAGGTACTTCCTGCGGCATCTCTTGCGGGCGGGTACCTGAAGAGGCGAGGGCTGCTGTACCCAATCGCCGGAACAAATCAATCCATCAGCCGGATCATTCCTAGCGCCGCCGCCTGGCGTCAGATGCTAATCGATGAGGGTGACTTACCCTGCAGCTGAGCAGTAGAACATTGGGCTTTCCTCTTGGCTATTCTCTATTATAAGCTGTATTGTTCTTATGATGCGATATGTCACGTTCAATAAATGTACCTTGCCATTTTGATGCGATGATTCATCTATCAACACGGAAGGATGTAGTTGGGAATCCGTAAAGTGGAGCGAATATCTGTTGTTAGCAACGGTCAACTCCAAAATGAAATCTCACCATCCCACTAAGAAGAGCAGAATATCTCCTGCATCTTAGAAAACATTCCAATGAAGCCCCTTCCCCTTTAAACATTCCAAAGCAAGCAAACCTTTTAAAATATGACCCAAGACTCTCACTATACTAAGCCACGTCTCTTGACTTTTCTCTCTATGGGCAAGCTGAGTGAGCATAAGTAGGATAAATCTTAGTGCCTATGCTCTGCCTATGCTGTCTCTGTCCTGGGAATCAATCTCCGAGGCTTGTTGCGCCAATATCCTGCTGCTGCTACAACTCCGGGTCCACATTTGATATTTAGATGATATACTTGATTACTCAGGATCTCTAAAGTAATAGCCAAGTAGACTTTGTATTACCATCGACAAGTCGGCAGCACGGAGACTATGGCTCTATGCTTCGATCATGGAAACACGAGACTATGGCTCTACCCTTCCACCATGACAAGATTAAACCCGGTAGTCAACCGAATCATGCTGGCTCATATCCCTCGTCCTTTTCAACAAACATGTTCAACCTCCTCCGGACGGCCATCCTTCACTCCCAAATCCGTCTTAAGCGCCCTCCCAAACAACTCCAGCAGCACCTCGAAGCAAACCTTCGTAATGGCCGGATCATACCGTCCCTTGCTAAGCTCATCCCGGATAAAAGCATGCTGAGCCCACGCAAACTCATAAAAGCTAAACACGACACCGGCATTCCGGAGCTTCTTGCGGATCAAGTCTCTACCTTCGTCTGGGACGTGAGTATCCTTGATGCCGAATATCATGGCCACCTCGCCCTTGACCTCGCTCAGCCTATCCAGCGTGTGGTCGCTGTTTGCCGGTGCGTCCTCGGAGGTGTTGGCGGCTTCGTAGGGACCGAGGGTTCGGCTGTGGACGTCGGTTGCGAAATAGTTGACTGAGGCGCTCACCCGAGGATCGAGCTAGACGAGACGGAGATTGTCAAGTTAAAACTGGTGTATGAGAATCCGAATTCCTTTCTTACCGCAGCGCGAAGAGCCAAGTGACCTCCTAGGCACATTCCGGTTGTCCCAATCCTCCCAGTACAGGTAGGCAAGCTCAGCAGGTAGTCAACCGTCTTGTACGAATCTTCATCGTAAGATGCCAGCGTCTAGTGTACAACTGTATCAGCATGTTTCCTGACTTGACGCTACGAAGAAAAACAACACATCGCTTACCTTTTCGACTTTCCAGGCATTGCCCTTATCCGTTCCCTCAACATCGTATGCCAAGGGTTCAGGGCCGGTGAAGTCATGGTAGGACGAGGGGGCAGCCACAATGTACCCTTGGCCGGCAATCTGTCGTGCGAACCGAGCAACAGGGCCCGTCACTTTTGGCGTGTCAACAACGGCCACTCATGATGAGGCTGAGCTGGTGTATAGGCATGGTATCTACCTTACCTTGGTAGATCTCCGAGAAGACGGCAACCCCCGGGAATCGCCTGCACAAGGTATTTCTCAGTAAACGTTCCACTAATTGGGAAAGCAATGGAAGATTCAACTTACGCGTCGGGATACTGCGGAATGGTCGGGTGGAAGAGGAAGATGCCTGTTGCATACGCCGTGTATGTTACTCGTAGTGCTCACAATGATCGCTCACCTATAGTAGCTATAGGCATGTAGGGACAGGTAGATACGCACGCATCGTCGTCTCCTTTCCGCCCACCTTGGTCTGCACATCCGCGTAGCTCTCCTTGATCAACATGTTGGCAGGTGACTGGTTGTTGTGAGATTTGAATTGAGATGAATGTTCTATCCGTCTGCCCTTTGATATTTTGACGTGCTCAGTCAGAAACAACCCCGCGGTTAGTTGGCGGGGCTAAAATGCTGGAGCTCTCGGAGCTCTACCCAAATCCCCGCATCGCCGCAGACCGATCTCTCCATGGTTTTTATGATACTTTATTCATGTCATTGCTGACGTATTTCAAGTTGGCTCTTCGGCAATCTTCAGCATTGTAGAGAGCATGTTGTCGAGATGAAGCAGGGCTGCAAACTGGGAACAAGACCAAGTCACTTTCAGGCGTAAAATATGCAAAACTAAGGTACCATTATTAAACCCATACTCCTCGTTTTAATTGCAAAAGAGACAAGTTATACCATTTAGATCACTGGATTCAGAGGAAATCATGAATGTAATCATTCATTTGAGTGGCCGTGCCACTAAGAACTATCTACTATGAACCTCAGTAAATCATGAGGACAGCCGAAACTATAATCTCGCAGCAACATTGTGTAAGCTAGATAGAAGCAAGTAATTCACTGTTTATACATGACACCCGATATCTCAACCACGCGCCTCCTGCAACTCCGTCAACACTCTCTGCCAACCTCTCTGCACTTCCGGAACACGTTCTTCCTCCTTGGCCTTGACCACAGCAGCTTCGAATTCGTCCAGTTGCACATCTGACTTCCCAAACACGCCACTGGTGTAAGCTTTGAGAGTTGCGGAAACTGCCTCCACTCTCTTCAGTCTCTGAGACTCAACGCCAACTTCGGCCGTGTCCACATCGAGGCTGCCGAGATATCCTTGCAGAACACCGTCCTTATCCAGTGATGTCGAGTCTGCCGGGGGCTCGGATGCCGCGAGATCCTTCATTAGATCGATGACAGATTCGTACCAGACCTCTCGTTTGATGGCATTGAATTTGGGGCTGGAGAGATAAGACTCAAGGGCCTTGATGACTTGGCTGGCAACGGCGTATGCTCGTCTATCTGACAAGCGACTGTATCCGCGTGCCACGGCCTCGAGTCCATTCTTCGCAGTCTTGATCACAGTGTCTTCCTTAGAGTCCACATCCATCTTGCTGTCGTCCTTGAGATCCTCCAAGTGAGGAGACACAATGTCCACGATATCTTGCAAAAGGTCAACACTGTCCACCGCTTTCGCAAATCTCCACAGGCAGCGGAAAGCATGAACACGGTAGTCATCATTGTTTCGCTTCGCTTCTCGGAGGGCAATCTTCTTCATCAGGGCTGCAATGTCGGCGTTGTACCTCCACAGGGATTCGCCCTTTTCGATAAACTCAGGGAATGCTTCCAACAGCTTCTCCTTCCCTGGGAAAGTCTTCAGAGCGAGAGCCTTTTCAAAGACGGGCCATATGGCTTTCAGGTTGGCTTCTGAAATTGCACCCGTGGTATCGCTTGCGCTGGCTACATCCGTGACCATGGCGGCAACTGTGAAAGCACCGGTGTGTCGAAGCGACCATTGGGTGGTAGCCAAACAGCGCTCAACAAGGCTGACAATCTCCGGCACATAGCGAACGACGGTTCGACTGCTGCCAGAATGCTGATCCCAAACCTCTCGGAATACTTTGCTGGTGTAGTCGTCAACATCGTGAGACCCAAGATAAGCAAATGGCAACAAGATTGTCTCCTGAGTGGTGAAGTGATCAGGAGATATCTTGGCGAGAGAAACAATGACGTCCGAAACCTTCTGGCGACGAACCTCATCTTCCGACTGTAGGTAAAGATTCAACATGCGCTCCGAAAAACGTTGCTTGGCGCTGTCCGAGACGACTCTCATGATGTATGCAGAGGCACGAGCATAGGCTTGGCTAACTTCATCGTTCTTGTCCAGAACCTGCTTGCCAAGTAGTTCCAAGAATTGAGTAGAAACAGACTTGATCTCGTTCGTATGACGAGTAAAGAGCGTCGTCAGGACCCTGCTGCAGCCAATCTTGGTTGGCATTCCAATCGCAGTCTTGATAGTTGCCTCAAGGCGCGGGGCCAACTCAGCCATCACGTCTTCGTCAACGAACCGCAGGATGTTGTCGATGGCTTCGGAGATGGGGGATTGATTAACCATTTGGGATCGTATCTTATCAATCTTTTCTCGGCTATCCTCTCCAACTTGTTGATAGTAGTAATTGATACGGTCGGGCTCGATCGTGCTGAGAAGACCGAGAAGCTTTGGGATCACCTCTGGGATAAATGGCTTCAAGTGTTTACCACCGTGTCGTGCAATCTTAATAATGGTGATGATGGCAAAGACTTGCACCTCTTGAACTGAGCTTTCTGCAGCCTTGTCCGACAACAAGAAGGGCAGGGCCTTTTGCATCATGGCGTTGGCTGATGCCTCGTGAGTTCCCTCTTCGAGCTGTCTGGCGAGAGTATTGGATAGGCTTCTGCAGAGCCTGAAAGCAGCTTCTCGGACACTTCCCTTGACATCGTCAAAGACCTTTACTGCCTTTGTCCAAATATCACCATAGAATTTCTCATATCGTTCGAACGGAACGCCGGTCAATAGTTCGGAAATGGCAGCGCAGCTAGCTTCTCTCATTCTCCATTCTCGACCGAATATGCTCTTCAGCAGCTCTTCCATGATTGCGTCAAAGTGAACGTCCATCACCGTCTTTGGATCCTTCACCAAGGCTTTCCAAATCTCGTTCATGGATCGTTGGACATTGGTATTCGGATCAAATCGGTATCTGTAGAGCTTTGGATAGATCTTGGGGTCGACTTCGGCATCTGAGAGGATGTTAGTGAGACCAAAGCGCCCAAAGGCTGATCTGGTGGACCATGTAGCCGCATTGACCGCTAGAGCCATGAACTTGTAGACAAGTCGCTGGTCACCAACTTCGTTTGCGAGGCTGACAATGTCCTTGTACGAAGAGATCGAGCTGCCCTCGCCGGTGGGTAATGCTCCTGGCTCAAACAACTCAGTGTCTTCATCCACCTTGATTTGCGTTGCCGATCCTGTGAATGCAGCCACGAGATCTTTCACCAGGGCCGCCTTGAGCTGCTCGTCTCCACGTTCATGGACAAGATTGAGACCACGCGAAGCAGTCTCCTGCACCAACTCATCCCTAGAACTCAGAAGGCGCATAAATGAGGCCTGTGCCTGTCGGAGGCGAGATTTGACTTCATAGAGACCCGAACAGTACTGCACGATACAGAAAAGCCAGATACCGGAAGCCTTCAGAAGAGATGGTTTGGTTGCTTTGCAGTCCTCGAAGAGTTTGTCAAGGATGCTTGTGAGCAACGATGCCCGACACTTGCTTTGGAAGTCGCGGGTTCGGTATTCGACATCCACCATGAGCTTCACATAGTCTGAGTCCCAGCGAGCAGTTGCAATGGTTATGGCATCACCGACGGTGAATTGGACCTCCACCCGCTTGATTTCATGAAGAGCAAACAGCTCTGTCAAGATGGCACCAACTGGGCCTTCTGACCATGAAGCAGGTGATTCTGGAAGTTCAGAGTCTGGTATACTGGCGGCCAGCATTCCAAGACCAATAATCGCCTTCTCATTTCCCTTTTTGGCCTTCTCGGACAGCTTTTTGATCACTTTGTCAAGAGAGGTGGCTCCGTCTTTTGGAGGGATGGCAAGTTTTGCTAGCCACAGATGGGTAAAAGCTTCGACGGCTGCATCAAATAGAGATGCTGGAACATTCTCCTCGACCAGGATATGGAGAGGATACTTCCAATCAGCCACAGAGGCGTGGTTATAAAGAACAGATCTAGAGCAAAGATGTCCATATGCAGCGAGGGCTCCTTCGGCTGCATTCAGGTCCGGACCAACAGCCGTCGTGGCCTTCTCAAACAAAGCATTGAGGGTCATACCCCAGTTTTGAATGTCATCAACGTCCATAATTGGATGAGCCGCCAAGATACCCAGAGCTCTTGCGCCCAAGTCCCGTATCTCGCTCTTGTTAGATTTGATAAGAGGCAGCAGATTCATAACTCTGTGCTTGGTGAAGTCTCCGACAATGACTCTGGGAGAAAGAGATGCGACCTCGACGAAGCAGCGAAGACACTCTTCTGTTATGGGAGCATCCTCGAGAAAAGCGCCAACAAGACATGCATTGAGGTAGAGACTGAGATAAGAAGGGTCGATGTATCGCAAGTAGTCTTGAATCTTCTCCCGAGTTTTGATGTTGGTTTTTATTTGTGCGCCAAGCGTTTGCATCCAGTCGGGCTGAACCTTGAATTCAGGAAGTGCTGCGAGGAATATCATATGCTTGCAATACTGAATAATCAGAGCAAAAGCATTGATGTTGGACCCTCTGAAATTGTCAAAGATATTGTTAGAAGGTAGCGCTATCACTCCAGGGCCTGGCTCATAGTCGGCAGGAGGTGCAAGATCAGGGGCAGTCGTGAAGTATTTGAAGACCATCAGTCGCCAATCAGGCATGACAGGAGCTATCTCGCTGTGAGCGGAGTAGGTCCATGGATCCAGACCTTTTTGTCCTTGCTCAATCACGTCACTCCTCTCCTGAAGGCGACCAGCGACAGCCATAAAATTGATCCATCGAGCATCAATATTTATGAATGACAGACATTCATTGGCCCATTTGACGACCGCATGTCGAGTGCTTCGTACAGCAGGTGCCTTTTCAGGGAGAGACATGTATTTGAGGAGCATATTCCTCAATTCGAGATCCTCATCTGCAATGTGTTGAGGGATGTTTGCTGTAAGGCTTGAAAGCGCTCCGTCAATGTTGACCACGGCTTCATTTGTTGGGTCTTCTGACAAGGCTTGGAAGAGCCAAGCAGCCAGAGCGATTCGCTCTTTGAAAGGCATATCAGCGGACCGCGCAAGCAGGCCAATAGTTTCATAACCTCTCGAGCGAAGTTGGACCTCATCGTGGGTTATTTGCTGAACAGGAACAGGCCAACCTTGGGACTCGATGTAGCTTTGCATGCTCTTAATAAGATTCGGCCCGATGGAGAAGTCCTTATTGGATGGGCCTACTTGAGCGACCC